GTGTTTCAGTTTGAAGGGTGGGATATGGCGTGAATTTACTGGGTACAGAGGAATAATACCCGAGTCCACAGGAATGGCAACACATGGGGGGTATCATGGGCGAAACTGTATAGTCTGTTATGTCCATGGTACTGCTCATGTCTATAGGCGACGGTTACCACTTTCCATCAGGTGGGCAATTAACTTGTTTGCCATTCTAAGTTGTATAAAAATAAAATAAAAAAAAAAAAAACTAAAATTAAGCTTAACTCTATTTCTCTGTGTCACTGTGAAATCTGTATGCTTTACACATTTATTGGCTATATTTATTCATATTAGCCATTAATTGTCCACTGCTGAACATAGGGCTCTCTCATAAGAAAGGTTTCGCCAGTATTCACCATACTTGGCAGGCGGATTGACAACCGCAGTTAGCCTTTAGTGATGTTTTATGAAGGACGCTGCTGCTCCATCCTCGACTATTAAATTCCTTTAGTCGTCTCTTACGACATCCACAGAAAAGAAGGGGTGGCCTATTCTATGCCGAGACCACGCGAATATTAAGACTAAAGTTATTGGCTCTATGACCATTTATTATCACGAGAACCGTACGTTAGAATATCACCCTGGTCCTATAAAAAAAACTCGCGGCATATGAACACTAATAAATTATCATAAATTAAAAACTACTACTACCATTCTTCATATTGTGAAATGTTGTAAAGAATAAAAACTCTAATATGGCGTATCTGACGTAATATATATATATATATATATATATATATATATATATATATATATATATAATGTCAGCCATAATTTGTTATGGATGATAATGGTATGGTAACCCCACCTGCGCTATCGGTATACACCGGCGGTGTACTAGTGAAGGATGATAGGTGAGTGAGACGATGGTTTCCAGGGGGAACCACGTGGAGGTCGACCTAATAGGGCATATTGCTAGCAATGGGACTGTCAAACTACATTGCTAACAATCCCTTTCCCCTCTATATATATATACGAGTATATACTGACATACATTTTTTAATTCGTACTTACTTTAATATTATCATATTACCAATATCAATACACTATTATCAAACCAAATTCAAATGTTTTTGACTACCTCTTCAGGGAATACAATTGTGATAAAGTTGTTCGTAAATTCTCATTAAATTTGTAAGTTTTTTTTTATACTGAAAACCCAATAGTGCTATTTTAGACAAGCGAATTGGCGGGAATAAACGTCAACTTGGAAATTGACGTAAATTCCCTACAGGCCTACTCGTGAGTATCATAATTATTCTCAATATACTTTTTGCTCTGATTTATTATTTAATAATTATTAGCATCGATTTCTTTTGTCGGATTATTTAATAATTCAACAGAGCAAACCTTTGTTTAAATATGTACCTACTAGCTGTCTGTATAGAATAATGTATTAATACTTAATTGATTAAATAAAACAATAAATCACTGTTCATCCCAAAGGTTGACTGATATTGAATGTTACTAGCATTAACTCTTTGTGCCGTCTTTTTTTTGATATTTTTTATGCTACTTAGAATGGCAAACAAGCTGACGGCCCACCTGATCGAAAGTGGTAACCGTCACCTATGTCTATAGGTATATATACATATAACTTTTTCTATGCAACGTAGAATGGCAAACAAACTGACGGCCCACCTGATGGAAAGTGGTAACCGTCGCCTATAGACATGAGCAGTACCATGGACATAACAAAGCATACTGTTTCGCCCATGATACCTCCCATGTGTTGTCATTCCTGAGGACTCAGGTATTATTTCTCTGTACCCTGTAAACTCACTGCCATATCCCACCCTTCAAACCGAAACACAGCCATGTAAACACAACTGCTTCACAGTAGAAACACGAATGGGACTAAGGTGCCCATGCAAACGACTTTTGTACAAAGTCTCCCTCTGGTACGAGTAAATAAAATTATTTAAATAAATAAACATTGTCCATGAAACACAATGTTTTTAGCTTTATTTCTACATTGCTACTAAGTTTACTACTTACTCAGTATTTTTCTTATCTTTAATTCTATTAAATTAAATTGCCATGTGGTTCCGGCATAGAATGGACCATCCTTTCCCGTGTGTGTAGTAAGAGGCGACTAATGGAACTTACCGGTTGAGGGATGATTTGGGCATTACCAAAAGCCTAAACGTGGTTGCCAACCCGCCTGCCACCAGTGAGCTTTCGGCAGTAGTTGACACGTTTGGCACGTGAATTGGCAACTGCATTTAGGCTTTAGTGAAGCTTTAAAAGAGACACTACTGCCCATCCCTTAATCATAAAATTCCCTTAGTCGCCTCTATTGACACCCACGGAAAAGGAAGGTATAACACAGCTTTTATTTAAATATATAATAATCTATTAATTTAGTTAGATTAAATATATCAGCGTCTCATCACTTACAACCTTGTCCTCTCAATCTTTTACCATCTCATCTATAAACCTCTGGAATGCACTGCCTATTGATATCAAAAAGTCCGTAACCAAATTTTCCTTTAAAAAATCCCTTCGTGAACTTATTCAATTTATCACAACAATGAAAAGCCTTAATCTGTTATATAAATAATTATGATTTATATATTTATTAATTTAATATATACTATGTATTTAAGGAATTTTGTAAAAAAAATAATAAACAATAAAAAGGATATTTTATTCATATATACTATGTTTAGTTATTTATATATGTATTGTATTTGATTTATGTGTGTATATTTTTGTAAGTATATTATTCTATATGTTTGTAACATTATTTATCATAAAATATTATCTTTCAAAATATTCATTTAATTTACATTTTTATTTAAATCTATGCACCGCCATTTACTCTCTCTGTTTAGCGTAACGTTTGACTGGTAGAGAATGCCACCAGGCATTAAGTCTGCCCTGTAGATATTTACTAATGTGTGCAAGAGTATAAATAAACAAATAAATAAACCTTGTTGTTATTAAGAGATGGATTTAGAGGTTCTTTCTTTTAATAGGTGATAATGGAATGGTAACCCAACCCGTGCTGTTGGTATACACCGGCGGGACACCAGTGAAGGATGATAGGTGAATATGAAGCAGGTCAGTTAGCCCATCGTGGCGAATTTAACAAGAATTATTCACGATAGTTTACAGGGGAAACCACGTGGAGGTCGACCTAATATTGCTGGCAATAGAGCTGTCAAACTCCACTGCTAACAATCCCTTTCCCCCGGATTTAGAAGTCGTTTTTTTTTTCAATCAACTTTTATTATAAAACGTAATAGAAAGCAAGAATCTAATAAGTAAAATAAGCTAAAGCTTTTTGATGAAGGAGTCAAGTATCTCCGGATACAGGGGAAAGAACAGTTAATATTAGGATCTGAAAGCTCCTTCGTCCCCATAATATAGCGGAAGGTATTCTTTTGAAGTGTTCTGTTACCAATTACATTCTTTCTAAAGTCTGTTACAACCATATTACGTATTTATAAGACATGTAATATAGGATTTTGTTAATGGATGATAATGGAATGCTAACCCCGCTTGCATTCTCGGTATACGCTAGGGTGGCACCAGTGAGGCATGATAGGTGAGGACTGGAAATTAAATTATTTTGTCCATTAATGACAGTCTGTTTGGATGTTTCTTCCTCTTTTACGGAAAAAATATTACTAAACGTATATGAAAGAAATTTGGTACACAGATAGGTTATATCCTAACTTAACGTGTAGGCTACCAACCTCTTTCAAACCTACATAGTTACAGAAAAATAAATAGTGACGTTCTTAACAATCTTCTTGTCTTAGCAATTTTACCGAACAATATTTTGTATCGCGACTTATTATAACTGGATTTATTTACTGTAAATATTATTAATTATACAATCTCGTACTAAATCTTTCTTTCTTTCACTCCTTCTGAATCTATATTTATATAAATATCATCAAGCCCACATCTACACCCTCTACAAGCGTATAGGACACTCTATGTACTGATCCACGCGAGTGAAATCGCGGGATACAGCTAGTCTTAAGTACGTCAATCGTAGTACCATTTATATACATTACATGTTACCAATCTACATTTATCCATAATTTATAATTTCTTATAAACATCGAAGTACATTTCTATAATTAACAGATGTCCAGGTGATATACCTAATTCTACATAATAAATATATGTGATTTTGTATTTTTTTGTTATATTTATAATCTAGATAAATGGCCAGCAGCGTCCCTCTTAAAATACCATCAAAGCCTAACTGCAGATGCCAACCTGCCTACCAAGCGTGACAATTACTAACAAAACCCCCTTTATGGTTAGTAGCTGATATGGTGATAATTTTTAATTTAATTTGTATTGTACATACAAGGTCTTCGTATTTGCCATTTGACTACACCATAAAATCCATGTATAGGTGCAGTACTGAACTTCCGTTTGCAATATATTCTGCGGATTTATATTATTTTAAAGTTATTAAAAAAAGAATAAAAAATATTTAAATGTATTTTTTTTTATTTATTATACGTATAAAAACTATACTAAAACCAAACTAATACTAAAAACTTATAAAACAGCGTTTATATATATATAAAAAAAACTAAATCTACAAGTTTTTTTCTGTATATTGTATAATTGCCGAATTAATTAATTATTCAACTTAATTATATTTATTACTTTTGATAATTTATTTATTATTAAATATACTAATAATAATTTATTAAATAATCGTTTCTTATTTATTTGCATTTTATAATAAAATATGATCTGATCACAATTTTATTAAATTCAAAGTTAAACGTGACAATTTACACATGCCATCATTCCTACCAATATTAAAAAATACAACAAAAAAATTTTCTATTAGAACCGGTATAAGATATTAATTTTCAATTTAAGAGAATGTTTTCGGCTACATCACTAATAGCCCATAAATTATAACATTTTCTCATATACTTAAAAGGCGTCTAATACTAGTAACTAGATGTAATAGATGTATAACAAATACGAACCTGGCAAGGCCTACAGTCGCCGTCGGGCTGGAATGTCGTGGGAACCCATTTTGGCGCCACAAAAATGAAACGTATTCAAATATTTAAAAATGGAATGCCACTGCACTATTTAAAAAAAAGTTCATCACATGTGTGTGCCAGCATCGAGATTGGTCACGAACGGCGGCGGCCGAGGTTGTATAGCGACTGGCTGTCAGGCGCTGACGGGTCGGGAGACTCCGGCGGAGGTCGGGAGGACTCGGCCTGCTCCGTGCTCGGTTCTCAGGACGAGAGGAGTCCATCAGCGTAGTAAATAAGGCTCGCACAATGAGCTCTGATGCCCACTTCAGTGGCGTTGTAAAATGTACATTAACCATAACACGGAAGCATTTACCAAACTGTTATTTTTTTTAGGAAACTCTAAATGTGACTATTATTATGGCAATACAGATAGCAGTGTATTCAGCAACATTTAAAGTTATCAATGAATCTAAAGTGGTTAGCTTAATGATTATAATGGAACCATAAATCGATTTTCATATTTACGACTCATATAATTAATTTTTTTCTAAGGTTCCGTTCGGCAACGCGCGCGTAATGCCTCTGGTATTGCAGGTGTTCATAGGCTACGGTAACCACTTACCATCAGGTGGGCCGTATGCTTGTTTGCCACCTCAGTGGTATAAAAAAAAGAATAAATCCATGTAATTATAAATTTAAAAACATTAATCGGTTTGACCAACTAGCGATGCGCCCCGGTTTCGTTATAGGTAGATAGCAATATATGTATATATTGCCGTGTGGTCTCGGCATAGAATAGGCCACCCCTTCTTTTCCTATGGGTGTGGTAAGAATCGACTAAGAGAGGGCGAAGGATGGGCAGCAGCATCTCTCTTAACACATCTCTAAAGCTTAACTGCGGTTACCAACCCGCCTGGCCACCGTGGCAATTACTGGCAAACCCTTTAAGAGGGAGGCTTATGTTCAGCGGTGGACAGTTAAAATCTGATATGATGATGATGAATCGGTTTGACAAAATGACTATTTTAGACCTTAAAAGCTCAAAGAGTAAGCAATGCATACGAGACATGCACGATATTATAAGCATTGGCGAGCCATGTACTTGGTTACAAACATTTTACAAATCTTACTTGCTATCTTCAAAAGGATAAATAGTTGCTTTTAAATGTAAAATTATAAATATATTTTGCAATTTAGAATGGCAAACAAACTAACAACCCAGTTGATGGAGAGTGGTAACTAACGTCGACAGAGGATGATGTTCATGTGAACAATACCATAGACATTACACAGTACTCCGCGACTTCCTCGAACTTTCCTTCAATGTGCTATATCTCTATTATCTGTTATTTCATTACCATATATCACTCCATTATGGAATGTAACAAAATAAATAAATCCAGAATAACAATGCTCGATATACATATATAAATATAAACTTCTGATTATCGCCTTACGAGTGAAACGAAATTAAAAAGAGAATTCTTACCAATGAGTGGTGCAAATAGATTATATATCTATCTATCTAATATAGAACTAACATCTAAAAACCCCATTCGATATAAAAAAAAAATGTTTCAAAACACGCAAAGGTATCTCGTAAAACACATAGCAAATGCCTTTTTGAAATCGGTTAATAAATAAAATCAATCTGTAATAGAAATTAAAAAAAAAACTAACGCAATGCATGCAATTACAGCAACGTACCATTCCTCAACAGTGCGGTTAGAACATTGCGGAAGTTATCGGCACTGGCCACGTATGCATGATAAATACTAGCTATGTTGGACTGCATACGGCTCCAATAGTGCTCTCGGTGGCAAATAACGAACTACCCTTTACCAATAACATAGCTCTATATCTAGAAAAGACTTTAAAATGTTTTTTTCCTAAAAAAAGTTAAGATTGCTCAGTAGAGTAAAACATTATTTTTTTTATGCTACGTATACTTAGAATGGCAAACAAGCTGACGGCCCACCTAATGGAAAGTGGTAACAGTCGCCTATAGACATGATCGGTACCATGGGCATAACAGCGTTGCCATTCCTGAGGACTTAGGTGTTATTCCTCTGTACTTTGTAACACTGTGTCTGTACTATGTGTCTGCTTCACGGTAGAAACACGAATGGAACAGAGGTAACCATTCAAAAACTAACAAACAAACATCGCTTGCAATTGCATAAAACTCAAGTCCGGCCACATATGGAATATTATTCTCACCTCTAGGATCAAACATCACAGTACCAGCTTCTACCATGAGACCGTATTCAACGTCGAGCGGCTCGAATTATTGATGATCACTCCCTTACTGTCCGATTCGACGCACTGAAAATGCGTAAAGGCGTTTCATCTCTATGCATTTTTAACGAATGTATCATGCGCAGTGTTCTAACCAATTATTCAGATTGATAACTACTACTAAATTCCACAATTATACAATCCGCTACAAATTTAAGTTCTATCCCAACTATCAGGATGACTGATAATTTTCCATTGTATGTTTTGTAAGTAATATATAGCAATTTCTATATATTGTAGTAACAATATCTACACATATATTGACCTTATAACATCTATTACACCGATACGACAACATAACCTTCAAGAAAAGAGCATATTCCTTTTTTAAAGGCCGGCGGCACACCTGTAATGCCGTTGGTGTTGTGGGTGATCATGGGCAGCGGTAGTCACTTACCATCAGGTGAGCCGCAAGCTCGTTTGCCCCCTGTATTGTAAAAAAAATTCTTATGTATAAGTATGTTACTATAATATATAACATATTTTTCACCATATCTGTCCTTGATACGCTTTCTGTTTTTACCTAATGGTTAGTTGGTAGAGAATGCCATATGGCATTAAACTCACCACTTGTACAAAGTTTTATTGTGCTATTGCACAATAATATTTATTTATTTATTCTTTATTAAGAACAAATAAATAAATATTAACTATCGGTTATCCAATAGATAATATCCGTAGAAGAATCCAGTAATAGCCAGAACTAAATATATATTGATATCGGATATTACTCATCTCTATTATTAATGAATTTTTTTCCACGCATTAAAAACTTTGACACGCTTTGAAATCAACTTCCTGCAGCAGTATTTCCGACTCGATACAACATCGTAACGTTCAAGAAAAGATTATATTACGTTTTAAAAGAGCGGCAACACACCTGCAATTTCTCTGGTATTGCGGGTGCTCATGGGCAACCATAGGTACTTACCATCAGGTAAGTTGCATGCTCGTATGCGCCGTACCCTGTACTCCATATAAAAAAAAATTACCTAATAATACATCCGGATTACGGGAGGAGATTATTAATAATTGGAAGCACGGCCCCATTGCTAGCAATATGCCTTATCAGATCAATCTCTACGACGTACTAACTGGAAATCATCGTGGTAAATTCCTCGTGAAGTGATCATGTTGGGCTAACTAGGTCAATTTTTGTATATAGGCGTTATAGGTGAGGATCAAGACAGATACCTCCAGCCGTGAAGCAATTGTGTTTGCATGGCTTTATTTCGGTTTGAAAAGTGGAATATGGCAGTGAATTTACAGGGTACAGAGGAATAACACCTAAGTCCTTAGGAATAGCAACGCATGGGGAGTATCATGAGCAAAACAGTATACTCTGTTATGTCTATGGTAGTGCTCATGTCCATTGGCGACGGTCACCACTTTCCATCAAATGGGTCGTCAGCTTGTTTGCCATTCTAAGTTGCATAAAAAAGTCATACATTTACTTTACTAATGTCCTATCTAGTTTAAAAGTAATTCCTCAAAAGTTTGGTTCGTGGCAAACCAAACCTCCAACGTCGCTCACAGAATCAATGCAAACAGACCAACGAAAACTGAAATGTAATTTTAAATGTATATGATTAAGAGATACCTACCTATCTAGCTGCAGCTGAATTTTAAATAAAAAAAAAGATAAAATATTAACCCTTTTTTTTCTTCTCAATAATAATAATTATGATAATCAATATTTTTAGTTCCAGTTCATAAAAATTTGCATTATTTTTTAGAATATCAATTTTTTTGTCTTAGATATAATATAGTAATAATGATTTTAAACTGGCTGTTTCTCGCGGCTTTTTTTTTAATCTTTACTGAAAATATTTTAGGTGTTCAATTAGGATAATTAAAACATGCTTCAATAAGAAACATACAAACATCTGAACATCTACACAACTTTATAAACTTTTACATTTACAATCTTAGTAACATTAGTTTCAAATTTATTCATAACCTGTTAATGATAATTAATATTGACATTTTGCCTATAAATTAACTTTACTGAACGGTATTTCTAGAAATAAAAATCAATCTATCCTGTATCCTGGGACTTCCAACCGTATAACTAATCCATAATTTAGGTTACCTATTCGTGTACAAAATTTCATTTGAACTCGTGCAAAAATTTTTACGTGATAAAGTATAAATAAACATCTATTCATACACAGGTACATCCATACAAATTTATTTATTTAGTTTATTAGGGATAACACCAGCGTTATAAATGATTGAATATATATTACACACTTACTAAATGCTAGCCAATTATAGTTACCCACAGCATAATACGTAAGCACCCGTTGAGCGAATAAAACCATAGTTTATAAAACGAAAGGTATTTGCAATAGTAATAAAAATTTTAGTATTAATAAAGATGCATTTCGCTGCATATCTGGTGATATTTGCATATTTGACGGTGGTAGAGCCACGCTGTAATACCATATGGTATTGCAGCATGAATGGGCCGGCTCGACCGGGGAAGTACCACACCCTCACAGAATACCGACGCTAAGTGGTTGCACTTTCAGTGCGATCACATTCCGTACGGTGAGTGAGGGAGTCCGGAGGCCCATCCCATACCCATCCCATACCCATCCCTTTCCTATTCCTAAAATCCTTTCCCCAACCCCGTCCCCCTATCTTACAACACGCAACCATGGCAGTGGAATTAAAAAAAAATAGCATACCCCAGGGAGGTACCAGTAACCATGTTGCTGGAGAATCCTCTCTCGAGCAACCACGCTCGGGCTGCCCTGCGTATTCTGGGGGGGCAAAATTCCGCTCTTTGGAACCAAGGGCAAACGGAGCAAGATTTCTACGGCATCCCCTTCGCTCAATGTGAGCTTCTGCAATATCAGGGGATTACATTCTAACCTAAACGCTGTCCACCACCACCTAGAAACGGCGCGGCCGGCATTGCTCTTTCTAACGGAGACACAGATATCCTCTCCAAACGAAACTTCATACCTGACGTACCCGGGCTATAAACTTGAACATTGTTTTGTTTCGCGTGCCGGTGTATGCGCGTATGTCAGAGAGGATATCTGCTGTCGCCGCCTTGGAACTCTTGAAGGTACGGACCTGTCTATTTTATGGCTGCGCGTAGACTGCAATGACCATCCTCGCGTCTATGCATGCCTATACAGGTCCCACAGCGGTAACATCGAAACCGACCAACTCATTGAGCACGTCCAAATGGCTACAGATTCCCTGCTCGAACAGATTCCTTCCGCTGAAGTCGTGATTCTTGGCGATTTTAATGCCCACCATACCGAATGGCTTGGTTCACGTACAACCGACTATGCGGGAAGATCTGTTCATGACTTTGCTTTGGCTTATGGTCTGACGCAGCTTGTTTCCTCGCCTACGCGAATACCTGATGTGTTGGACCATTCACCTTCACTGTTGGACCTTCTGCTGACCACCCACCCAGACAACTATGTGATTTCCGTCGAAGCTCCGCTTGGATCGTCGGATCACAGTCTGGTGCGGAGCGAGGTGCCTCTCATGAGTCCGATTCCACCACGTTCCACGGGTAGACGTCGTGTCTGGCACTACAGGTCAGCGGACTGGGATGAGATGCGGATTTTTTTCGCATCTTACCCATGGAGGCGGGTTTGCTTCACACTGGATGATCCTGACGCCATTGCCGATTCCATTGCTGATGTGGTGCTTCAGGGAATGGAATTATTTATTCCTAACTCTGTGGTGCCCGTCGGCGGGAAATCCCAGCCCTGGTATGGAGCCTCTTGTAGAACAGCATCTCGTCTGAAACAGGAGTGCTTCCTAACCTGGGCTAAAGGTGTGGCGTCGCGAGATCCTAACACCAGTGCTCTCAAAAAGAAGTATAACTCTGCCTCTAGGTCTTTCAAAAGAGTTATAGCCACAGCGAAGTCAGAGCATATCAGTAGAATTGGCAAGAGATTGGCTAGTTTGCCCTCTGGGACTCGAGCTTTCTGGTCTCTTGCCAAAGCTGCACAAGGGAATTTCTGTAAGTCATCTTTTCCACCATTGCGCAGGGAGGATGACTCGTTGGCCCAGAACGCTAAGGAAAAGGCCGATCTTCTTGGATCCATCTTTGCGTCAAACTCGACATTGGATGACGGGATGAAATCACCACCGACCATCACGTGTTGTAGGAGCTCTATGCCTGACATTAAATTCACGCATAGCTCAGTGCGTAGAGCACTTTTCTCCCTCGAAATCCATAAGTCGAGTGGGCCCGATGGTATTCCTCCAATTGTGCTTAGGACTTGCGCACCAGAGTTGGCTCCGGTTCTTACGCGTCTTTTTCGGCTTAGCTACTCATCGGGCATAGTCCCAAAGTTTTGGAAGACTGCTCTGGTGCATCCGATCCCTAAAAAGGGAGATCGCTCAGATCCAGCTAACTATAGGCCCATAGCTATCACTTCCTTATTCTCGAAGGTTATGGAATCCATCATTAACCGTCAACTGCTCCGGTACCTAGAAGAGCACCAGCTGATCTGTGATCGCCAGTACGGCTTTCGACGGGGACGTTCGGCTGGTGATCTTTTAGCTTACTTAACACACCGATGGGCAGTGGCAATCGAGAGTAAGGGAGAGGCCTTAGCAGTTAGTCTGGATATCGCGAAGGCCTTTGATCGGGTGTGGCATAGAGCGCTGCTTTCAAAGCTACCTTCATTTGGGTTGCCTGCGAGACTGTGCATTTGGGTCGCCAGTTTTCTCAAGGAACGTAGCATTAAGGTCGTAGTCGACGGAGCATGCTCTGATTTAAAACCTTTGATTGCTGGTGTCCCGCAAGGCTGTGTACTATCTCCGACTCTGTTTCTTCTGCATATCAATGATATGTTACAGATAAGTAATATTCATTGCTATGCAGACGACAGTACAGGAGATACATTATATACCGGTCATGCAAAGATCTCGCGGGCACATACCGATGAGTGCCGGAATAGACTTGTGTCTGAAATCGAAACTTCACTCCATCAAGTTTCGATCTGGGGTGAACAAAATCTTGTCCAATTTAACCCCAAAAAGACACAAGTCTGCGCGTTTACCGCAAAAAAGACGCCGTTTGTCGTATCTCCTCACTTTCAGGGCACTTTCCTTGATAAAAAGTCGAGTCTAGGAATTCTGGGCGTTGATATATCTTGCGACGTCCAGTTTTGCGGTCATCTGGAGGAGAAGGCTAAGATAGCTTCCAAAAAGTTAGGAGTACTCAATAGGGTGAGACGATATTTCATGCCAGAACACCGCCTGAAATTATATAAAGCCCAAGTCAGGCCGCATATGGAATACTGTTCTCACCTGTGGGCAGGAGCGCCACAGTACCAACTCCTTCCGTTAGACCGCATTCAAAGTCGGGCGGCTCGAATTATCGATAGTCAACGCCTTACTGTCCGACTCGACCCACTGAAACTGCGCAGAGATGTTGCATCTCTGTGCATCTTCTACCGAATTTATCATGGGGAGTGTTCTGAGGAATTGTTCGGATTGATACCTGCTGCTGATTTTCACCACCGTACAACCCGCCACAAACTAAAGTTTCATCCCAATCATCTGGACGAGTGGCGGTCTTCCACCGTGCGTTTTTCAAGGCACTTTCTTCCACGCACAACCATTCTTTGGAATCAACTTCCAGCAGCAGTATTTCCGAACCGATACGACAACATAACCTTCAAGAAAAGAGTATATTCCTTTTTAAAAGGCCGGCAGCACACCTGCAATGCCGCTGGTGTTGTGGGTGATCATGGGCGGCGGTAGTCACTTACCATCAGGTGAGCCGCATGCTCGTTTGCCCCCTGTGTTGTAAAAAAAAAAAAAAAAAAATATCTTTTCCAGTGACTTGTCAACAAACGAATTCTTATACCGAATTTAAAACCTGGATTCCGCTCCAATTCCTCTATTTATGCTCTGTAAGGTGCTTAAAAGCCGAATATTAGAAGACGTCTCGCGCGGTCTAGCCGGGCGTATCTCCCATGACCGCGTAACCGGGCTGTGACCGCATGACCCGGTCATGGCCTGACCCGGTTGCCGGGTATGCACCGTCCGGGTCTCCCCCACTTGCATTCCGCGATTGATTCTGTGGGATATTAGCAGATCTGTATGTGCTTAGTTACATGCAATCGTGTACGTGTTTAAATGGATTCGATTTATAATATACATAGTGGAATGTAGGGCTTTTTATGACGTTAGATAATTTAAGATTTATTTCCAAAATAAAACTTGCTTCAATCTTTTTTTTTTATTTAGAATGGCAGACAAGCTAACGAAATAATTTTTTTAGGTATTGTTTTAGAAATTAAAATGAAATGGTAACCCCGCCTGCACTATTGATATATTATATACTGGCAAAGTATTTTTGACGGTAAATACCACTACACCGAATAGCACCTGGAACTTCATAGATACACCGAGATACTTCAAGTGTTATCAGGTCAGGTCAGGTGTACCAAGCATGTACAGCTTTTATTTTTTATACAACTTAGAATGGCAAACAAGCTGACGGCCCACCTAATGGAAAGTGATAACCGTCGCCTATAGACATGAGCAGTACCATGGACATAACAGAGTATACTCTTTCACCCATGATGCCCCCCATGCGTTGCCATTCCTGAGGACTCAGATGTTATTCCTCCGAACCCAGTAAATTCACGCCATACTTCTACGCCATACGCCATACGCCATACGCCTTCAAACCGAAACACAGCTATGCAAACACAACTGCTTCACGGTTGAAACACGAATGGGACAGAGGTACCCAAGCAATCGACTTTTTTACAAAGTCTCCCTGTGGTAATATTGCCAATTGTTATCAAATTCTTTTAAATGCAATGTTGAAAAGTAATAAACATGTTTTATACTGAATTTTCTTTCAAATGATATAAAGCAGAAGAAATTCGTATTGGAATTTTAGCTAAATTTAAATTTCATCGGTGATCGGTGGAGATAATTTTGTTATTGTCAGTTATCGACGAGCCGTGCCTTCCACAAAATTGTATTATATCGGAAAAATGTATTTATAGACAAAACGTGCTTTCGGGAGTCGTCTGTTTGTTTAAACGACATAAAATGGCGGATGAAGTGACAACACGTGTATTTTTATACTGTAAAGGTAGGAAAGTAGCACACAGCCCATCTATTGGTAAATGGATACCGTAACCTATAGACTCCTGTAACGTTATAATTATCAGCTATATTATAACCTATAAATGAAAGCATATACTCAATTTACATTATATAAAACATAGAGAATTTTAAATCAATCATAATCAAGAGGAAGGGGAGGACCGAATAATAACTACATGGGACTAATAAAGGAAACACCAGATGTCATATCGTATAGAGAATTCAAAGACATGAAAAAGAACTAGTTGGAAGAGAATGCATGAATTAGTTGCACCGACAAGAAGAAACTCTCCAAAAAATTATAGGTGTATGTAAGGCTGGACGGTTGGGCCGTGCCTATCTAGGATCTAAGCAGAGCTTTCGGCTATGCGTATAACTACGTCTGAGAATACAAAATATACACCTTTTTTGAGCGGCCAAGCCCCCTCTACAGAATAATCTTAAATACGCCAATACGAGAACACAAACATTTTCAAAAGAAGGGTAATTTTCAGTAAGTACGACCCCTCTCCAACTTCGGTGGACCTTTAAACTCTGTTTTCAACTTTCGAGTCCCAAGAAAAAACAATGTCCCCGAAATATGAAAGGAAGCATTTTATAAATTACCTTTTTGGAACACCAACTTTTCTGAAGAGTCGAAAACAAAAAAGTTCACCGAAATTAGACAGGATTCGCATTTGTTAAAAACCACTCAAATATTTTTGAATAAGTACAATAAGGTGGCCTTATTACTAAAAGCAATCATTTCAAGGCAATCTTATGATTTAGGTTAGTATATTTCTTAACCAATATCTTTTAGAACTAAAAGTACTAGTGTCAATGATCAATTTGATAAATGAAAGGCATTCTAGCTTGACATAGGAGTACATAGGTGAGTATTTTAATCTATTAAATTATGGCATATTCCTACAAAGTTCTTAGTTTACTGCTTTCATGTAACCTTAGGTATGTCTAATATCTCTATACAATCATACATATAGTAGTAATTTGGGTATAAGAACTAGGCAATTAATATGAAAGTAAGTTAATAAAAGATATAATAAAATATTAGCTGCTGTAGCAACTCTGTTCAATTAAGATTACGTATACCCACAAACATATAACCGCTAACAATCCGCACTCATAAAACATTTGAGTGTCGTTAATAAAACTACAATTCAGGATACAGTCTTTACTAAACAACTTACTTTACATACATGTACTTACGATAAACATCAATAATGTTTTTCAAAAGAATCCTTAATATTTTTTAATGCTACACTATCGAGCATCGTCGAATCATCATACAAGTTCACAAATTTAACTCGGCAATCCTTCTTTAATACTCTTTCAAATTCATCATACTCATGATACGAGCTTAAACTGAAATTTTCTACTGTATTTGGAAAGCAAGAAATACCTTTCACAACAAATTTAATAATCCTTCTCAAACTAATCAACTCTCTTTTGAATTTCTTTACCAGGTTCGTTTTATATTCCAATAGCGTTTTGAATTTTTCATTTTCCAACTGGGCGTTCAAATATCTCGATTGTATCTCAATTTCTCTGTCATTAGCTTCAGCCAATTGTTTACTCATTACATTAATAAATGTTCTAAAATCTTTTCTAGATTCTGCTAATAATGAATTTGATTTATTTAATTCAGTCACTAATTTTTTATTAATTTCTTTAAGTCTTGCAATATTTGGATGATCAGTAAAAGTGTTTTGACTAGAATTATCGGTAAGTGCCTTTCTATTACCTTTGTCACCTATTTCTTTAACTATCACTTCAACAGCCGTTGTGTTATTTCTAAATACCTCATATGATGTGCCAGGTTTTGTTTCCACGTTGTTTTTCTTGTGTTCTTTACTTTTTTCAGATTTAGTTGAAATTGTATTAGACAAATGTACAGTTCCTTGCAATTCACTGGCCATAATTAAATATAGAAATAACTGTGACGATCAATCATAAATTTAAAGGAAAAGTAAAACTATGTTTTTCTGATTTTGTAAATTTTAACTAAGTCCTAAACATGTCATCATAATGTCATGCTTCAATACAAAGAAAAATACTTACTTAGAAATAATTTAAACCTCTTTAGTGGCGTTAAAGTACGAGTACATTGTTTTTTTTTTCAAAATAGTTCTATCTGCTTATTTCTTAATCTATTCGAGATGCCTCAAACCATTACTAAACCGACCATAATGAAACGTTGAAAATATGCTTTTAGCAAATATAAGTTAAAAAACGTTAAATAAAATTTACACATTAAGAATACCTACTAGAATAAAAATTCAATTCAAACTTGATTTTGACTACCTAACTCTGTACAAATGGATTTAAGATTTTTTTATGGAGTCAGCGATGGTAGGTGGGTAAGTAGAAAATGAAAAGAAGAATGAAGCTTTGAGTAAAAGCTCCAAGAAGAAAAATTAAAGCTGATGAATATTGAAAGTGGAAAATCATATGTATTATGAATAAAACTGTAAAAAAAAAAACATAATGTAGTAGTAGACAGTTTTTTCCTGATACGTGACATATATGAAGCAAAAGAACGTATGCCGATTGGGCTAGTTAATTATAAAAGCGAACTTTTTCACAATCTAGTACGTATATACGAAAGGAAAGGATTGTTAGTAATGGGGACAGTAGCAGTCTCAACACAAGTACGGCGCCATACACCACGCAGGCGAGAGTACTATGCCATTTTCAGCTATTAAAAATTTTTACCGTTAACGCAGGCAAGGTTACTATCATATTATCATCGACTAAAAAAAACTACGTACTTTACGTACGCATTTTGTGCATACGTATATTGTTACATAATAAATCATGTTTACATTCCTAATACCAATAAAACAATTTAGTTCTGTAAATAGTACGGTTTTGTTTATAATAAACAATATGCTTATACAGCTTCACTGTTAGCAACAACTTTATATAATGCGACGGAAGCAAGTTTAATACGTACCTACTCAATGAATTAAATCGGCCATGGTCATAACTGAGTCATAAATAGAAGTCATATAAAATTATATTTCGTCATAATATTAAGTTATGCTATGACCAAAAATAATGACTGCTCTCTGTATGAATAGGTACGTAATAAATTTTATATAGGAAAATGTTTATTTATTATTTATTATGTGTAAACCCAAAAAATGTTTAATCAATTTTTAAAAAAAATATTACATCTATAGACAGCTGTATTGTCAGCGAGTAACATGGACTATATTATATGCTCAAAAAAAGCGTGCCAAGTCGGGGCGTGTTGATAGTCTATAATATTATTATTCTAAGCACGTTTGAATTTTTTTTATAACATAGGAGGCAATTGGCATGAGTTCGGCTGATGGTAAGTGACTACCGTCACCCAAGAACAACCGTAACACCGGACGAACTGCAGGTGTAATATTTATGTGGATTACAGACTTTTGTAATTGGAAAAAAAGGAAACGTGAATAATGTGAAGCTTACTGTTAGATTTACTTTTAGCTATTACTACTACTAGCGTAATGGCGTCACGTTTTTACCCCAATGTCAAATAAAATAACACCAAAAAATTTTTTAAAGATTTCATTTCTCCAAAATTTCGCATACAGAATTTTTTTTACCCAATATTGAAAAAATATCCAATCTAGCAACACTGCGGTGTTACCCTCTAGTGGCAAGAGTTTCTAGGCCCTTGTCATAATGCACGAAGACCTCTGATGTGGTTCACCGGACGATGGATTTATGTACACTCCAAAGCACGTAGCGTGAAGCTAGTGACATTTTGCTTTAAATGATCTATGACTTTTTGAATATTCAAAGACTTAATAGAAACTAGTGGCTATAAACTGTCAAAAATAAATATATAGTAATTTTTTTATACTGTGGTATAACATATTAAGGTTAACGCAGTATAAAAAACTACTCTTTATATACCTACACTGTAATTATATTGGGTTTATCATAGATTTAAGATTGTATCTACATTATCTATGTACCTAACAATCGTTTTTTTGTGACTATCACATTTGCTATACTTAATCTATGTATTCATCGGAATTCAATTCAAAGTTTAATTATGCATAATTGACGCTGATAAAATATGATTGCTATTAAGCAGTATCGTAATAATAGAACCCACATTTTAATATCCTTGAACTTATATGAAACATATACTTTTATTATAGATAGGTTTTGATATGCCTCATCAAATTTTTAGGCGAATGGATTTAACGGTCTATTAATTCGTCCTCAAAGAAAGTGGTTTAAATCAAAGAGCTCTTTGGACCTTTTCATTCCACTAGATATCTTAACGAAATTAGCAGAAAATCCCTTCAGATTTTCCTAACTGTATTGTAGAATAACATTGAATTCATAAAAATATTCTTATGTTATCATTGAAACAATTTTTTTAATTATTCATTTTAAAAATAAGAATGGCGTAAGAATTTTCTTATGAATTTGTAGGTTGACCTATTAGATACGTAAAATAGGAATAATTTTTAAACTAAATACTATGACAGTTATTCACGACATAATTAGAAAGATTAGGTGGATGTTGTCTAAGTTTGTTGACAGTTGTGGACTGGCAACAATAAAATTATATTTTTATAATAGCAACATTTTTTGTACTTTCGGAATAAATGAAAAAACTTTTCTGATCCTTATCCTAAATTCCGTCATCCAAAACTCCCTTTACAAAAATACACTGTCCCAAACTTTGTTTTTGACGGTCGAACTCTGTGCCGTGCCATATGAACAAAGAAAAAAAATATAAAAATAACAATAGCTCTTTTTTAGAAATAAAATTAGAATTAAAAAATAAAATAGTGGCTTTGCGTCCCGGTTTTTTTTTTTAATTTTCCCATCAACTTCACTGACCATACGATAGGTGCAAAGTTACAGTCCACGATAACAACTTCCTACAATAGTATCAGAGATAAAAACAAGCTATCTATTAAGAAATACTGTAATATATCAATGTGTAACATAAAATATCTATACATTTATTTATGCACCCGTAACCTCATTCCGAGAGTACATTCAACGCCCTAGTTTCGTGGCCTCGCTAGATCTCACAATACCTAGGTAGCAATCCAGTAGATGGATAACTACTTAGACCTAATAGCCACCTCTCTCCTACTTAGCAACTGAATAATTCAATTGTTTCAATATCCTATTTATAAACTGTATCATAAGAAAATGTATGTAGAACATATTCACAGATTACACTTTTTTTTTAATTCTGACATACACTTCTATAATTCTCGATGCTAAACCACAGACTATCTGCGACGAGGTAATATATCATCGACACTACTATACTTGTCTTTTAGTTCTAAATTTAAATCAATTATCATTCAATTAATCAAAGAACAAAATTCTATCATCTTATCAGCCATTACCTGTTCGCTGCTAAACACAGGTATCCCCTATAAAAGAGGTTATGCCAGTAGTTGCCACTCTTGGCAGGCGTGTTGGCAATCGAATTTAGACTTTTAGTGCTGTTTTAAGAGAGTCAATACTACCAATTCGTCGACCAATAAATTCCCTTAGTCACCTCTTACGACACTCATGAGAATAGAAAGAGGTGGCCCATTCTATGCAGGGACCACACGGGTAACACTGCCGAGTTTAGAGAGTTTAGTCCCCATTGCTATCAATATACCCTATCAAGTCGACCTCCACGCGGTTCCCCCTGGAAACTTTCGTGACCAATTTATTATTGAACTTGTCACAATGGGCTAACTGACCTGCCTTTTCGTCCTCACCTATCACCGCTCACTGGTACCCCGCTAGTGTATACCGATAGCGCAGGTGGGGTAACCATTTTCACGCATAACACTGCCGTAACAAATGACTTTGAGAGATCTGTGTGAAACATTTGAGATGGTCGCTCCATCAAATGGAGGAGAAGCGGAGATTCTACACTGTGGTTGCCTATACGAAGTCGTTACAAATCTTTCACCGCCAGTTCTCAATCTAGTTATATAAAAATTCTTGCCAGCCGACTGTGAATATTAGTTTCATACGGCATGTAACCGCTGGTACCACGTAACTAGATTCGTTACGGACTCCACTGTAAGCTGAAGTCGGCTCTAAACGGTGCCTTAGTCAATTGAATTTGCCACTGTATATCGAATCAACACCGCCGGCATCGTCTCATTCGATTACGAGGACTGTACTCGCATTTATGTCTGTTTTATGTGTGGATTTTTTACAAGCTACGAAGCATATATTTATAGATAGATATTATAGATACTCTTTATTATTTCCTTCAAGAGATTACAATAGTAAAGTTATTATAAATATAAATAATTACAAGAAATAATCACAATGAGAAAACAATGGCCGACCTTATCGGTAAAAGCGATCTCTTCCAGTCAACCTTTGAATGGAGAGGAGTAATTATAAATAATTTTTAAGTATATATTTGCATTGTAGTTCTTCCTTTCCTTTCTCTGTATTGTAAGAGGTAACTAAGGCAACTTAATGGTCGACTGATGGGCAGTAGCATGCTTCTTAAAATTCACTTCAAGCTTAAAAGCTCAGTGATATAAAAAAAAATGCGGTTGCCAATCCATTTGCAATTCCGGTTGCAATTCCATTTTTATTCATTCAAATAATTTAAGATTATGTTCCGCAAGAAGCAATTTAAAACTAAACTACTGAACCGATTTCGATAAAAAATTATAGGCCCAATCTGTGGGTAATCTATAGTGTTCAGATAATAAAAGGAATTTTCGCAATCATAAAAAATAAACAAAAAAAAATCCACCGAATTTAAAACCCCTTCCTTTTTTTAAGTCGATTGAAAACAGAAGGATTATGTCGTACCATATATATATATATATATATATATATATATATATATATACATAAATATATATATATATATATATATATGTATGTATTACATACCGGAACACACGAATATTATATTAAAGAAACGTTGCGTTGTTTTTTCTTACATATCATAAATATTATATAAAATTTATTAATATTATTAATGCAAGCTTGTTGGTTTGTTACCTCATAACACCGAAATGGCATAACCAATTACTATGAAATTTTATTCATACATACTACCATAAATAATATAATACTGGGCACTACTAACGATGGAAAAGAACAAACGTTCTTTTCTATCTAAATCAGTAAACATATTTTGATAACGCAGACAAAGTTACAGCTAATAACTACTTATTTATTTATAATAAATAAATAAATAAGTAGTCATTACCTGCGACTTTATCTGTGTCAAAAGGAAGTTTAAAACTCCGTTATATATGCATGTATATTGTGCATGCAGTAGAAGCCATAATGGCGACGCCATTCTGTACCCTTCACCCATTTTTTTTTAATGGATGATAATGGAATGGTAACCCCACCCGCGCTATCGGTATACACCGGTGGGGCACCAGTGAAGGATGATAGGTGAGGATGAAGCAGGTCAGTTAGCCCATCCTGACGAATTAAACAAGAATTGTTTACGATGGTTTCCAGGGGGAACCACGTGGAGGTCGATCTAATAAGGCATTTTGCTAGCAATGGGGCTGTCAAACTCCATTACTAACAATCCCTTTCCCCCCCTTCACTCATTTAGTACCTTGTAGTTTTACTGTACAATTCGCTAAAAATAGCAAAGCTTTTCATTTCATATTATTATGAGGTTTGTCAATAAATTTCATTTTATAATACCAAACACACATAGTTACATGTGACACGTTCTCGAAAAACAGGAAAAGATCACGTTTACTCGCCACAAATGGCAACAAAGTCGGAACTTTAACGTGACCTACTTTCGACTTCAGAGGGTAAATGTGTTATTCTTGGTACTTAATTATACAGTCAACACAAGGCTTCCAAGTTCCAACCAACTAATCGCCTGATAATGCCCGTCCAAATGAAGAACAATCCTCGGCCTACATTTTTGTCTGTCATAATGGAACATTGAATTACTTTCTACTTTCGTATCTTTTTTTTTCTATACAACTTAGAATGGCAAAGAAGCTGACGGCCCACCTGATGTAAAGTGATAACCGTCGCGTATAGACATGAGCAATACCATGGATATAACAGAGTATACTGTTTCGCCCATGATACCCTCCATGCGTTACCATTCCTGAGGACTCAGGTGTTATTCCTCTGTATCCAGTAAATTCACGCCATATCCCACCCTTCAAACCGAAACACAGCCATGCAAACACAACTGCTTCACGGTTGAAACACGAATGGGACAGAGGTACCCAAGCAATCGACTTTTATACAAAGTCTCCCTCTGATGAAATCTAAGGTATCTGTGGGGAAAGGGATTGTTAGTAATGGAAATTACAGCCCAACTCAACCTTCACGTGAATACCTAGAAAGCATCGTGGTTAATTTTTGGTAAATTCGTCACGATGGGCTAACTGACCTGCCGTCATCTTTACCTACTATATCTCGCTGGTGTCCCGCCAGCATATCCCATTAGCGCAGAGGAGATTATCATAACAATATAACTCATTAAAAAAACCCGTGTCTATTATGTGAAGTATGAGCTGAGACAAAAAGGAAAATTTTGTCCATTTACGGACAAAATATCCTTGGTATCCCGAAGGCTTTATGACGGGAAACACGTGTTATAGGACAATGTGGATCTTTGTGTTGCATATTTTTTCTTGCCCTATTCAGTCAGTTAATAAAATAAACAATATGCAAGTATTTACACTATTAATACTTATAAACTGGTTTATTTATTGTTTTTATATTATCAATATTTTATGTACGTAGTCCAATATGTTACGACATGTACACAGATTTTAATTATTCTTTTTTTTTCCATTAAAATATTACCTTTAACGTAAAACTCGTCCTTATTTTCTCCGCCTTAAAGGCTTTTTAATAAATAAAAAAATAATCCTTTTAATAATATATACCCTTAGATTATATAGGTAGAGCATCAAGTCTCAAAAACTGGTCACATAATGTATATTGTACGTATTTATAATTAATTATTTAATAAATGAATTTTTACTAATTAAAAAGATGTAACAATTATAAAATAAAATAAATATAGAAGTTATAAAAGAATATTGTAATATAAAAAAAATTGCATGATAAGTATAGAAACTATTTAGCACGCAAAATTGTATGAGAAAGTTGACTCGCTTTTCTGGAAGCATTTGTATGGGGACACCATCTATATAATCTAAGTATATGTCTCACATCAAACTATTGCCATCCTACAGCTGAGAAGGGGTCTTTGGTTCTCTTAACAATAATTCAGGTAGGTACGTGATAAGCATTAACAATACACTTTATACAAATTACTGGGAAAACCCACATATATTTTCCAATTACAGCAAACATGTTTGTTTCCCATAACGTGACTGAGTAATGGCATGCAATAGTCGAATACCGAACCATAGGTAAGCGAGTTTTATTGAATTTATCACAAAAATACACTCTATATGAAATTTATAACATATGGATACATTTAAACAATCAATTTATTTTATTGTTTGTTTGGATATAGTGTTACCGTTCCATTTTTACCCATTAAGAAAAAAAACAACCATCCGACTGTGGACTTCAAATAAATTTTAATAAAATTTCTATGGGATAAATCAAATGAGCCCAAAGGCGACTAGGTTATTTAATATAGTTCACTAGTTGTTCACCCACCTTCCGACTTCACCATCAGACCCTGGAAATCACCTAGGGCTATAGCATTTGAGAAGATAAATGAGTCCAAACACGACTACGTTACCTAATTTAGTTCAGAAGTTGCTATGTCATCTTACTGTATATCTGTTCTTTCAGGTAAAAAAGAATCTACCAAATCAGTTTGCTAGTGTCGGAGTTATGAAATAACTAACATACATAACAAAAAATACAACCGAATAATGGATGATAATGGAATGGCAACCCCGTCCGTGCTAACGTTATATACTCGCGGGGCACCAGTGAACGATGGCAGGTGAGAATGAATACACTTGGGATTTGACACAATAGTTTATTGCTAAGAATGAGACTGGTAATCCACATTACTAACAACCCCTTCCCCCCAGATGAAAGTTTATGAGATTATTTGGATGGATGGATATTTGTTACTCCCATCAAAGGATGCTACTATATATACTGATTCAGGTAATCGAAGCCTATATAAGAATATATATATATATATATATATATATATATATATATTTTTTTTTTTTAATGGATGATAATGGAATGGTAACCCCACCCGCACTATCGGTATACACCGGCGGGGCACCAGTGAAGGATGATAGGCGAGTATGAAGCAGGTCAGTTAGCCCATCGTGACGAATTCAACAAGAATTGTTCACGATAGTTTCCAGAGGGAACCACGTGGAGGTCGACCTAATAAGGCATATTGCTAGCAATGGGGCTGTCAAACTCCATTGCTAACAATCCCTTTCCCCCATAAAGTAATGGTTAATGAACCTTATCCACTGTGGGAGCATGTTGCAGTAAGGTATTATGATAAAATAAATAAATAAACTTTTTATATTTGCTAATATTTTATTGCGATATTTAAGTATCATTTTTTTAAAAAAACCTTCACGTATAAAAACATTTCACTTAAAAACTAATAAGTAGATATAACATAAGTATAATGGGGTAGAAATATAAAGAAGCACGTGGTTCAAACAATTCAATACCTAGTGTGAATTGTACAAAGATTTATTACAACTTTTTACAAGAAATTTATGATACAAATACATTTACGTTTACATAGACAAATTTGTATGAAAATCTGAGTTTCCGAATGTACAATTAAGTCCAACAGATATATATCTTATATAAAAGCTAACGCAGTCGTATTATCTTGATGTCATACACGGCTAGTACAGAAATTCAGCGCTGTTGCGACAGCGCTCATTCTGCATTGCAGCACTTGTTTACTATTGATAATACATACAATATTATTTTTTTATAAGTGCTTCTTTACTGCCGACATTTTGGCAATAAAGAAGCAGGTATATAGGTACTATATACCTGTAAGTTGTTCATCGCGTTAAAACCCGATTGTGTATTTAAAAAATATTTCAATTGGCAATAAACATTTTTTTTCTCTAACACAAATGTCACAAGTCACGCTAGCCACTTAGATCCTTACCACGTTACTTGTCTTAATTTAAAAGAGTCTTAACAAAAGCTAAACAATTATTTTTTATGAAAAAAAAGAACGAGTATCAAAATGCAGAATCAAAGACTAGTGATATCATAAAATAAGAAATAACAGAAACAAAGAGCGACAACGAAAACTTGCATTATAGCACGACAAATTCGTGCGCGGTACTACCGCGTGAGGGGAAGTGCGGGGAGAGTGTGCACTGTATTTTCGTTACAGTAGTAGACTATCCATATTTAGGTTCCCAGTCTCGATTTAATCGAAGATCAATCTTTAAGATCTCCATTTTCTATTTTTCTTGTGTATATCGATCGTTATTAAAAATGTAGCTAGTTATACAGAAAGCAGCCACATTACCTGGCATGCCCATATGTGATGGCCATTCGCTTGTCCACAAAATTGTCATGTCACTGTGTAGCTTAATCTTTTTTTTTTTTTAAGTAAATTGTCATTCCGCTTTCTTATTTTTAGAGTGGTAAAAACAATCATCAAAAGATAGATCGATATTTGTGAGATTCATCTTTTTAACATCGATTTTCTCCTAAATCGAGCTGAGATTTCTCGAATTAATTTGATTCAGCAGTTCCGATTATTTTGTCCGAGATTGGAATCCTTAGTCCATATATCGTCAAATCTTATACTTCGTCACCCGCAAAACCCGCTCCCCTAACGAGTGCCACGACCAAACTTGACGTACTATAGGCAATATTGTAATAAAAAGTGAGTTTGAAATATAGAATTTAAGACTAGTGGAATCATAAAATTATAAAAATCAAAACAACAAACATAAAAAAAGTCACAACAAGATTGTCAATTAAAATGTAAATATTAAATGTAGACTAGCTATGTTATTCCACTAATAATATTACATTGTTATAAATGTGAAAGTAAAAAACATTATACATATATGTTACTCAATAACGCCTAAACGGTTTGACAACTTTACCCAAGTGAATAAAAAAATACATTCGATGCTAACTATCCAGAAGATATAGTCCAACTATGTACTCAATTTAATTTAAATCGGTTAAGCTGAATTTATATATGTATATATCCTTTTATAATATGATTGAATAACAAATATCTAAAAATGTTTACAAACTTTGACATTTATAACGTTAGCCAGAAATTAATATATACTTCAATGTATCTATAATAGTATTCTAAAACAGGCACAAATGCAGTCTGTTCTTTGCTTGTGGAGATTCTATTTTCTTATATTCCTATTTTACAATTAATCATTTAAAATTTTACACAATACATTGTACATCTATACATGAACAGTTATATATAAATGTCAATTGAATCATTAATATATTTTAATTATACAATTATATTTATATATGTCAAAAACAAAAGAGATTTTTATATTTATTATACATAATGTAAATTATAATCAAACTCAAAACGAAACCTTAAAATACATATGTCAATATTAGAGGCGGACATTTGAGATGATAAATATATTAAACAATTCTTTATACATATGAGAGGCAATGTCATTTTTTTAATTTTTAATTTATAGTTTTAATTTATGTAAGAATACATTTAACACTCTACTAATAGAGAATGTTAATAGTGCATTCTTATAAGTCAATTGATTTGATACATTAACTTGTATTTGTTGTAAATGCACCAAACTCGATCTATTATACAGTTGTCATAGTGACTAGACCCAGTTTCCAAAGACTATTCCGTTAAAAATTATTGCAAATATGTATGTATATATATGTTATGTATGTCCATATATGTATATGTATGTTAGTTCTATGAATATAGAAGAATGGAAATAGTCACATAAGATAGTTCAAACCAATGCTAATGAGAACGAGTTTCGTTATCGAATTTCATAAAAAATTGTTACAATAGCCTCGATTCTGAGGTGCTGTTCATCTAAATCGTATCTCTAAATTTAAAATTCCAGGTACCAATATGAACTAAATTTATAATAGATTTAAGCTCAAATTATTACAAATTTTGTTTATGATGGTACAGTGGTCCGTAAGACAGTAGTTCCCCTAAATTATCAAATTAAAGTATTAGGTCACGAGGTAAATTTGGAAAAATTGCACCACAGAATCGGCCCCATTATCACGTCATTGCATTAATCATCAATTTTTTTAGTAATATTTATAAATGTAATTTATATGAGACACAGACTCGATGGTCAAGCTATATGTAGATACATTTACACTACCCATTGTATGTATGAAATAGACCGATAGAGCACATGACCCGTCTCATTCTTTCTCACGCGTGCGGTAGCGTAAACGTATTTAGAAACTAACTGAATTGTCAAGTGTATAAAAACATACGTATAATATGAAATACGATAATAATCAATTCGCTGTAAGCGAAAATCGTCCTTAAACAAATACAAATAAAGTACAACTTTAAGAGTTTATAATAATATTGCAAATTACGGTATACTTAATTCTTAATATATAAAATATACTAGCAAAAGAAAATAAGGAATATAAAAAGGTCATTATAAGTTTTAGAAGTTAATTAAAATCAAAGCAAAAGAACATGGAACATTTCTTGTCCTTTTGTATCGAGACACTAAAATACTATCATGCTACTACAATATTGCGACATGACATTTAATCATATGAACGTACTAGCTGTCAAAATTTTTAAAAATAGAATTTTATTGTATTAAAATAAAAAAACATATTTAAAATAAGAACCCGCGCTACAATTGATGCGATCTGTCAGATCAATGTTTCACTTTGGTCGAATAACCAGTACTTATTATTGAAGGCATCTAATTAATAGTCAGTATGCATTTGGCAGATTACTATATGATAGAACTGCTCGCCATAAGGTTCAGGCCGCAGGTACCGTCACCTCTGTAGACGCGATAGTATCCCTGCTCGCCCCATGACTTGCCCCACGAGTTCTTTATCACCCAGTACGGCAGAGTCTTGTGGAATAGGGGGTACTCTGAAAGATGAAAAATTGACAATATTTAATCAATTATTGTTTTAAACAACTTTCATTTGAACGATTTTTGTGCGTGTTTTTTTTATGTAAATTAGAACTGCAAACAAGCTGACGGAAAGTGACAGTCCACCTGATGGAAAGTAGCGATTATAGATATGAACAGTGCCATCGCTTATAGATATGAACAGTGCCATGGCCATAACTGAGTATACTGTGTCACCCATGATACTCTTCACACGTTGCCATTCCTGAAGACTAAAGTGTAATGGCTCTGTAATGCCCATGTAAATCTATTACCATATCCCACCCTTCAAACTGGAACACAGACATACAAACACAACTACTGCATGGTAGAAACATGAATGGGACGGAGGTACCCAAGGAGACGACTTATGTACAAAATCTCCCTCTGGTACCTTCCTCTAATATGTTATGTGATATTTTTAACATATCTGAAGCGATTTTAATCATTCTTTTACAACTTCGTATTTTCTGTAAAAATTCATAACAAACAACCTGATGGAAAGTGGTAACTGTTACCTATAGACAAACCGCACCATGGATATTACAAAATGCACTGTACACATCATCAGAGAAATCATACTGTTCAGGCGAATCACTAGTCAATCTACTAAAAACTAGTTTACTGTAAAATTAAATATTAAAAGTATTGAAGTCAGATATAAATCAAGAATCAACACATTTCCAAGTGGGGAAGGGATTGTTAATAATGGGGAGGTTAGTCCCCATTGTTATCAATATACCCTATCAGGTCTACATCCACGCGGTTGCCTCTAGAAACTATCGTAATTTATTTATCGCTGAACCAGTCATGACGGGCCTTTACATCCTCACCAATCAACCCTCACTGGTGCCTCGCCAGTGTATACCGATAGCGCGGACGGGGTTACAATTTCATTATCATTTATTAAAATAAAAACATACATTCCAAGTCGAAACCACATATAATACCAGTAAATTATTTTGACTTGCATACACTTAAATATTGAGGTGATCAAAAGGCTAATTATAAATTAAAGATTAAATGATTACCTTTAACTCCGTACCCAACGATAAGTACACCGTGATCCAAATTATTCGGATTGCAAAGCATCTTAAATGGATGCGATATGCCACCCACGTAGAACTGCATCGCATTTGCATTTATACCTGTAATAATAATACATAAGTATCCACATATTTAATAGTAATATTTATTTATTAACACTTTATTGCACCATTTATAAAAAAGTAAATACATTTAACTGTAATAAGAAATGATACAAAAGGCGGTTTTATCGCTAAGCAATCTCTTCCAGACAACCTTTGGGTAGAGAACATTGAGAAAAGTAAGAAAAACAAACGGTAGGTGGCGCACTATTATATATAAACAAATATATACAAAGATATATATATATATATATATATATATATATATATATATATATATATATATATATATATATATATATATATATATATATATAAACATACACAAACTTAAAAGCACACATACAACAGGAGAGAGTGACACTGGAAGATGAAGATAGAACATGGAAAATAATACTTAAAGGGAGAGATAATGGGTTTAAACAAAGAATGGACTCCAGAACATGGAATTTAACTTTATATTATATATTGTAAAATATTTTTTTATGCAACTTAAAATGGCAAACAAGCTGACGGTCCACCTGACGGAAAGTGGTAACCGTCGCTTATAGACATGAACAGTGTCATGGACATAACACAGTATACTGTTTCGTCCTTGATACTTCCATGCGTTGCCATTCCTGAGGACTCAGGTGATATTCCTCTGTACCTTGTAAATTCATTGCCATATCCCACCCTTCAAACCGAAGCACAACCATACAAACACAACTGCTTCACGGTAGAAACACGAGTGGTACAGAGGTGTCCAAGCAAATTACTTTTGTACAAAGTCTCCCTCTGGTAAAAAAATATATTTACATGTTAAATAAAAATTATCTAATTCGGAGTAACATTTGATAATTAAAAGATTACTGCCAACTTTGTTGCTAGTTGTTCTAGGCAAATAACAACATTGTAATTGCTAGTAACACTAGTAGTCCATAGAATCACGTCACGAACTGCATATAATTATGTCTGTTTGAATTAATATGTTTATTCTATTACAATAATTTACGATTTAGTCACAGAACCCAGTTGTGATTTCCATAATGCAATGAAATTGTGATTAATTTTTATTACGTGTCCCTTGCGTTAATATAATATATTAACGCAAGGGACACGTCTATTGGAAGAGATATATGACCATAAATCTAAGGTTTTATATTTACACTGAACTCAGATTATTGGATAGAGTATCGAGTGACAACAACGTGTCAACATTTAGTCAGCTAATATGACGTATTTTTTCTTTAAACCAAAACAATTAGTGGTAAAGGGATTATTAGTAATTCATGATGATATTTTTATACAATTCATGAATAACTGTATTTCACAAAAACCTACTTTAATTAATTATTTGGTTTAAAAACTAAACCACTGAACCGATTTTGATAAAATTTCTATAGGACCAATCCGTAAGTATATCCTTTCAGATAAAAAAAATTGCAAAAAGGTTTACAATATAACTGACGGAGTTATAAGGTAATAAACATAAAAAAAAATACAATCGAACTCCTTTTCCTTTTTCAAGTTAAGGTTGAAAACCGATTGATAAAGACAAGTCTTACCAATAGATATAGGTCCGTTCTGCACCAGCCACTTGGCCATGTCAGTCTCGTTGGAGGATATGTTCACGGCGCCGCTGATTTGCACCTTGGCTAGTGTCTTATTGAACGCACATTTGTCGTCTGCACCCTCGTATGGGTAATCCGACTCTAGCTCCAGCCCGCCAAGTTGTTCAATTGCTCTGCAAACATTTTTTTGTTTTTTATATACAACTTAGAATGGCAAACAAGCTGACGGCCCACCTGATGGAAAGTGGTAACCGTCGCCTATAGACATGAGCAGTACCATGGACATAACAGAGTATACTGTTTCGCCTATGATACCCCCATGCGTTGCCATTCCTGAGGACTCAGGTGTTATTCCTCAGTACCCAGTAAATTCACGCCATATTCCACCCTTCAAACCGAAACACAGCCATGCAAACACAACTGCTTCACGGTTAATACACGAATGGGACAGAGGTACCCAAGCAATCGACTTTTGTACAAAGTCTCCCTCTGGTTAACTGCGGTTCCCATCCACCTGCTAAGCGAGGCAACTACTGGCAAAGCCTTTCTAATAGGGGAAACATATATTCAGCATACTAATTTCTGGAAATATTATAAACTTACAAATATAAAGGCACATTAGCCAAGTTAAACAAATTGTAATCTTATGGAGAAAACAATAATGAATATCTATCTATCTATATCAAAGTTACGTGGGATTAATGTGTCAACGCACGCTTTACCAGCCGTTGTAACAAATAGACGCTACCTTGCAATACCGGTTACAAAAGTCTCAATGTCATAGTAATTCAACGAATGTAATGTATTGAGGAAATTCATTTATATATGATGTATTAACACCATTGATTTATTAATATATCTTCTACTTATTTAGAACTGCTGTGACGCAAACAAAGAATTAGATAGACAAAGTTTCTCTTATTTATTTATTATAAAGTGTTAAATAAATATTAACATTTTATTGCACTGATATTGTAGGACTTGTTGAAGAATTAAGTATAGTACCTTTTATACTAAAAAGGTGGTCTTCTCAATTTCTTCTAGACAACCTTTGGGTAAAAAGGATTTAAAAATAAATAGGTGGCGCATTAAAAAAATAGATCTAAGCATGTATAAATAAGCACAATTATAGCCAAAATAAATACAGCCATAAAAACACACATAATTCTGGTAGGAAATTAATTTAAGATTATTTTCTTAGTGTGATAACTTCTTGTAATTGTTTGTATCTATTTATAATAAGTTTACTACTGTAATATTTTGGAGGAAACAATAAAGAGTATCTATCTAATTGGTATCTTCCTCAGTATCCAACTGCATCCAACTTGGGCATAATACAAGATTATTTTTAGATCATATTATTACAAGTACCAGTAAAAATCAAATCGATCATGCATATTATCATAATCGATATTTGTAGAAATTGGCTCAAATATGGGAATAATCTTATTGTAATCATATGTTTACTTCCTTTTTAGGTCTTCTAATATAATGTAATATATGGTTACATATAAAGACCTAAAATATCTCTCTCCTACTTGCTGTGCCCAACAGAGTCCATAACTGAAGTTGAAATGTTATCTACCAGCCGCATTATGGATATATAATAAGAAATAAATAACATAAAAACAAAATAAATTAATTATTGCATGTAAATATAGCAAAGTGTAATAAGAATGGATATTAATACTCCTTACTAATATTATAAACGTGAAAGTAAGTCTGTTTACTACTTTATAGCGCCTTATCGACTTAGGCAAACTCTATAAAATTTGGTATACACGTACTATAAGCGATGGAGAAGGATATAAGCTTATGTATATCTCGATCAGTAACCTACCTCGATCACGCGGGCGAAGTCGCGGGTAAAAGCTAGTAATAATTCAGAAATTAGATTAATCGAATTAAGATCTATGCAACTGTGTTTTTGAGCCTTTGTTTCTTAACTATTTTTATGTCGCGACCCACGAAAAAGTCAAAAAGTTAAGTAAAGTCTTGCGACCCCGTATCACTATAGGTGCCAACAAGTGACGGTAAAAAAAAAGCTATAAAGCCACATCACGCCACGAGATGTCATCACTAACCACAAGCCAATCTATACCAGAAAGGGCGCTAAAACTAAGGCATATATACGAGCGAATGTCAATTATGTTCCCAGTCTATATTGTGACGAGCCTACGTCTAATAAAAAAATACTATATATGTGTAAAGAATACAATATCCGTTGCGTTTCAAAATAAAGAATGCATTCTTTTAATAGGATGTTTACAGACTTGAATACCTGTCATGTATTCAAGTTTGTAAAATTATAATCATGGAACGGTAGTTGCAAAAAATATCATCGGATACCGACGAATATTACATTATGTTCTCTGTAAGTATTCACAAACAAGCTAAACCCATGACTTCAACCGCGTGTAATGGAGATTAACTGTTCGAAATAAATAACCTATATCTCTCTCCACCCTAAATATGTGGCTATGCCAAGTTTCAGGATACTGCGCCAAGAGTCTAATGCCATAGTACAAGCTCTGCATTGTAATAAGCTAAATAGCCTTATGGAATTATACAACAATTAATAGAACAAGCTTTATTGCTCACCTATAGGCATTATCTGGCAACCCTCCATTGCAGCCTTCGTCAAGTTTGTCACAGTCCACCAGCTCTTGTTCTGACAGTGACAACAGTTTGCCTGACTTCATCTTCCACTGGCCCTCCACATTTCCTATAATAAAATATGAATTTATTTATTTATTTATAGCAAGGCAACAGATTACAAATTAATACATTTATAAAATAAATATTACATAAAACGGCATTAAATTTGCACTCCAATAACTGCTCTGCGTAACATTCGATATTATATACATTAAAAGAATGACGGCTATAAATTTAAAGTAACAAATTGGCAGCTTTAATGTAACATTGCAAGGATTGTTGGAAAATATCAAGGTCCTTGCATACATTGTAATATTTTCTGCACATGCGGATAATTCTGTTACCAGACAGCAGAAAGAGTTTTCTAATGGAATTATAAACCTGTGGAAATTTTTAACGTCAATGGGATACCAAAAGAAATTATAAGTGAGGAAGCAGTCGGACCTACAGACGTATCGTTACGAATAATCACATTGAATAAGTAAAAACCATAACAGTGATATAGTGTTAGTATGCACATCAAAAACGGATATACAATTAAGACATTTACAGCGAGTACTTGTGGTAAGAAAAGTAGGATAGGTTAACCGGGTGTTTGTGTGTCTTTACCAACTCCTGTGGGTAACTTTCAAGATTTACTGGTTAAATTTAAGAATTACAAATGTACGGGCTTTTACAATAACAGTTAGGCCACAAAACTACTTATTTCAATTTTACGAAAGCCACTCAAATGTCATAGAAATCCATAGAGGTAGTATAGTATACTGCGTACTGTCAGTACAGGCAATGCAATCAAATCAAATCAAAAACAAAAACGAGACAAGAAAAATATTACACTAGTGTGTGTTCTGGATTTGTATAAAATTAAAGTTGCAAAAATAGCAAAAAAATCACAAGTTTGTTATCATATCGATTCGGAAATATTCGGAACTTTATTTGAATTAAATTATATATTTGTTTGTGTTATATATATATATATATATATATATATATATATATATATATATATATATATATATATATATATATATATTCTTGTACAAAAATTTTCGAATTGTTCTACATTGTTATTGTGTCTATTTAGAGCGTAATTACATGAAAAATGTGCAAATTTGTGGTATATTTTTCTAATTGATGTTATATTCAGGCACAGCACATTTAATTCCAACTATATTCATTTTAAATTAATTTCACTTTATAACGTAAATTTAATTACAAATTATTTTGTTCATGCTCCCGCTTAAACAGCTGCGTTAATATATAGATTATAACAGGTATTTTCTTTCTTTTAAGTTCAATTTTAAGCCAATCTATATACTTCATAATTAGATTATGCAAACCCTACACAATGATATGACCAAACGTGAATTAATATATCATTAAACGTTGATGTTTAAACGATATAGTCGGTTTTAACTGGCCATATCGTCATAGTCGTAAAATACTGACGGATCTTTATATGTAATATTTGTCAGATCCGTCAGTATTCTACGACTATGACGATATCATTAAATACAGCCATTTCAAGAAATGGTCGGCCACATTATGAAGACAATTTTAAGATCTGGCTATGTCATAAGTATAGATTCCGTGAGTTGAATTCATATTTACTATAAGACTACTAATTGCTCATAAAAGCCAATTTAATAAGTGTATAATAAGCATAAAATGGGAAATCCTTTCCTGTCCCGTCGGTGTCGTAAGAAGCAACTAAGGTCGAAGATTAATGGTCGAGGAATGGTCAGCAGCGTCCCTCTCAAAACGTCACTAAAGCCTAACTGCGGTTGCCAACCCGCCTACCAAATGGCAACTACAGGTACCATTACCTCCCCCCCCCCCCCCCGAGGAGGCCTTATCTCAGCAGTAAACAATTAAAAATAAATAAATTTTGGATATTTTTTACCTGTAACACTGAATGCCCAGCAGCTGCCGCAGGAGCCCTGGTCCTTTACTTCTGTCACAGCGTCGAAATCTCTCCAGTCAAATTTGTCTGGTATTGACATATTGGGAATATTTGCCTTGCTCATCGGTATCTGGTTTTCGTCCCTTAAACTAGGCTTCAATCCCAAATACTTGGTCGTAAATTCTTCATAGGACAAGTCAGCAAACCGTGTCACTGCATACCTTGCAGTGCCCAGTTCATGTGTGTTCAGTTCATGAATCTTACGTATATTTTCTTTGAAAATCTTGAACCTCTTCAATATTTCTACGGGATCATCAACATATTTAGGTTTATATTTACCTAAAAATGCATAAAACAAATGCTCGGCTTGTATGTGACGGTACATTTCCGTACTTGCAGCATCTTGATAATCGCAAGAAACGCGGAAGTTGGGCGGATGATCAGTCCATGGGCGAAGCCATACGTTTACTTTGCAAAACTTATTTAATCCTGCATTAGTATCTAACGAACATTTTTTTTGATAAGTCAATGCTGTACAATTAGTGAGACCAACTTCAATTTTCATTCTGTAGTGAATGCCGGCAACAACCTGCTTTTCTAACGAGAAAATTCTCACTACTATTTGTTCACGAGGATTTGGGTATTTAGCTTCTATGTGCCTTAAAGCCCGATTTGCTAGCTGCTTGGCGGTCTCGGCGCTTTCAAATTCTACGTGCGCTTCGAGAGGTGTCTCATCATCTTCACAATTGACATCGATATTTTTCCCATTTTCTATCCATAACCTTTCCCAAATGTTAGCAACGCAATGTCTTCTTGGTAAATGCTCTAAAAATTCACAAGTTGCTATATTCTCTACCCATTCATATTTTAAACACGAAGTGTAACCTACATCAAAATCTATAGTAGTCACTCTACCCGATGTTATTTTAGAAGAGTAACTGTTAATTTGTAATACTCTTTGCTTATACCTATGGACGGACGACATTTCTAACTTTTCCAATGCTTGTGTTACTAATTTTTGGATTTGTACCTCATCTGCTGTTGCATTTTTAGGATCTAAGGAAATTGACCTTTTGCTTCTGGTTACGGTTGGAGTTCCACAGTTGACAAATATTTTCTTAATGGTTTTGCTATTTGGAACCATCCAAATAAATGAATTGCAAGCCTGCGCCGGTATCGTGGCATCTAAAAAGCACATTCCCGAATGTGTTTTTATATCAATGTCTTTTGTACAATTCGTAGATGCAATTATAAAATTCATTTTTATGGGTTGCGATGAATCTAGACTAGGGACTAAATTAGGTTCGCCTTGATGTACAATTTTGTATTTGATATCAGGAGATTTCTCCAGATTTTTAATAGAGGCTTCTAACAATTCTTGTATAGACAAACCCGTGACACTTACAAAATTAACATCATCATCGCATGTTGTGACAACTTGCTGAACGACAAGGTCATCGTCAGATGACGGCCATAGTCGAACATGACACAATCTATGGTTCAGTCCTTCCATTTCATCACATTTATTTAAATCATCATCGTCTTGATGTCGCAAACAATAAGTTAATGCTGTTTCGATATACATTCGCACCATTGGTGTTTTCATATGGGTGCTATGTTGTATAGCATGTATAGATATTAATTTATACAAATTATCTGTATCAGATTGTTCATTTAAATGTTGTACAGCGCGATCAGCATAATAATATTTAGTATTCTCATCAAAATCTTCATCATCATCTAAAACTTGTCCCTTTTCACGTAATGCAATATTCCGTTTTATACGTTTATTTTTGTTTTCATTACAACGTACTGTAACATCATCTGCAATATCAATACCTGGCCTTCGCCAAAACTGTGCAAAACAACGCAATGTTATTTGTGGCTCCTGAAATGGACAGTTAATACTATTTACCTGTTCTTCTAATAAACAAGTAGTTGGCGATATTGAATAATCGATATTAATTACAATACCAGCAACAACTTGCTCAGTAACCTCATGTATTTTCACAATTTTATGAGCATATTTAGTTTTAGATGAGTGCATATACTTATTTAATGAGATCATAGCAAGGTCCTTATACTGTTTTTTATTATTATCTTGTTTTTCTTTAACGCCTAGTCCAAAACTACGTTTTGATAATTTTTTCACACCATTTTTATTTTCTTTCTTACTTTCATTTTCATCATCTCTATAACATGAAACATCAAAGGTTTTTGTATTTATCCATGGACGATCCCAAATTTCGCTGTGACAGTAAAGAAGCACTTTCTCATCTGTAGCTGGGGAAGCAGTATAATCTATCTTATATTTAATGCCTGAAACTATTTGTGTCGTTACTTTATTGACTTCTACAACTTTATGCTCAATTTCAGTTTTTTGCAGAAGTTCATAGTGGCGTAGAGAATCTTCCGCAAGTGCTTTATATTCTGGATTAGTTGGATCTTGTTGTTTACTACCACCTTTAATTTTAGGATTACTTATATTAAATTTGTAATTACGAATTAATTCTCTTTTAGTTCTCGAATTACAATTTACTGTAATCTTTTTACTTTTCAACCACGGCCTTTCCCAAATTTCTGAGTGACAGTTTTTAACATCCGCCGAATTCAATATTAGGCAATTACTAGAAGTCGGTTTACCGTGCTTATCTAACTGGCAAGTAGTCGGGGATATCGTGAAGTCGATTCTTGTCAAAGAACCAGCTACAACTTGTGTAGTCACTTTATCGACTTTTACGACTTCATGGTGTTGGGTACTTCCAGATGTTAGAAGATATTCCTGTAAAGATTCCTCTGCTAATCTTTTATACTGAGGATCGCTTGGATCCTGTTCTGAGAGTCCCCCAGGTATGGTTTGTCTTTTCTCCCTAATATTCTGACCTGTAATTTCACAAGTTATGTCTATGTCTTTTTTGTTAAGCCAACTCTGTTCAATAATTTCTGAGTGACATTTTTTAACATCCGCTGAATTCAATATTACGCAATTACTAGAAGTCGGTTTACCGTGCTTATCTAACAGGCAAGTAGTCGGAGATATCGTGAAGTCGATTCTCGTCAATGAACCAGCTACAACTTGTGTAGTCACTTTATCGACTTTTACGACTTCATGGTGTTGGGTACTTCCAGATGTAAGAAGATATTTCTGCAAAGATTCCTCTGCTAATCTTTTATACTGAGGATCGCTTGGGTCTTGATCTGAGAGTCCTCCAGGTGTAGTTTGTCTTTTCCCTCTATTATTCTGATTAGTAGTTTCACAAGTGACATCTATATCTTTTTTGTTAACCCAACTTTGTTCAATAATTTTCGAGTGGCATTTCTTAACATCTGCCGAATTCAATATTACGCAATTAGTAGAAGTCGGTTTACCGTGCTTATCTAACTGGCAAGTAGTCGGGGATATTGTGAAGTCGATTCTCGTCAATGAACCAGCTATAACCTGTGTAGTCACTTTACCGACTTTTACGACTTCATGGTATTGGGTACTTCCAAATGTAAGAAGATATTTCTGCAAAGATTCCTCTGCTAATCTTTTATACCGAGGATCGCTTGGATCTTGGTCTGAGAGTCCTCCGAGTGTACTTTGTCTTTTCCCCCTATCATTCTGACTTGTAGTTTCACAAGTGACATCTATATCTTTTTTGTTGAGCCAACTTTGTTCAATAATTTCTGAGTGACATTTTTTAACATTCGCTGAATTCAATATTACGCAATTACTAGAAGTCGGTTTACCGTGCTTATCTAACTGGCAAGTAGTCGGAGATATCGTGAAGTCGATTCTTGTCAAAGAACCAGCTACAACTTGTGTAGTCACTTTATCGACTTTTACAACTTCATGGTGTTGGGTACTTCCAGACGTTAGAAGATATTTCTGCAAAGATTCCTCTGCTAATCTTTTATACTGAGGATCGCTTGGATCTTGGTCTGAGAGTCCTCCGAGTGTACTTTGTCTTTTCCCCCTATCATTCTGACTTGTAGTTTCACAAGTGACATCTATATCTTTTTTGTTGAGCCAACTCTGTTCAATAATTTCTGAGTGACATTTTTTAACATTCGCCGAATTCACTATTACGCAATTAGTAGAAGTCGATTTACCGTGCTTATCTAACTGGCAAGTAGTCGGAGATATCGTGAAGTCGATTCTCGTCAAAGAACCAGCTACAACTTGTGTAGTCACTTTATCGACTTTTACGACTTCATGGTGTTGGGTACTTCCAGATGTTAGAAGATATTTCTGCAAAGATTCCTCTGCTAATCTTTTATAGTGAGGATCGCTCGGGTCTTGATCTGAGAGTCCTCCAGGTATGGTTTGTCTTTTATCCCTAATATTCTGACCTGTAATTTCACAAGATACGTCTATGTCTTTTTTGTTAAGCCAACTTTGTTCAATAACTTCCGAGTGACATTTTTTAACATCCGCTGATTTCAATATTACGCAATTACTAGAAGTCGGTTTACCGTGCTTATCTAACTGGCAAGTAGTCGGGGATATCGTGAAGTCGATTCTTGTCAAAGAACCAGCTACAACTTGTGTAGTCACTTTATCGACTTTTACGACGTCATGGTGTTGGGTACTTCCAGATGTTAGAAGATATTTCTGCAAAGATTCCTCTGCTAATCTTTTATAGTGAGGATCGCTCGGGTCTTGATCTGAGAGTCCTCCAGGTATGGTTTGTCTTTTCTCCCTAATATTCTGACCTGTAATTTCACAAGTTATGTTTATGTCTTTTTTGTTGAGCCAGGCTTGTTCCCAGATTTCTGAGTGACATTTTTTTATATTCGCCGAATTCAATATTACGCAATTAGTAGAAGTCGGTTTACCGTAGTTATCTAACTGGCAAGTAGTCGGAGATATCGTGAAGTCGATTCTCGTCAATGAACCAGCTACAACCTGTTTAGTCACTTTATCGACTTTTACGACTTCATAGTGTTGGGTACTTCCAGACATTTGAAGATATTTTTGTAAAGATTCCTCTGCTAATCTTTTATACTGAGGATCGCTCGGGTCTTGATCTGAGAGTCCTCCACGTACGTTATGTCTTTTTCCCCTATAATTCTGACTTATCATTTCACAACTTACATCTATATCTTTTTTGTTAAGCCAACTTTGTTCAATAACTTCCGAGTGACATTTTTTAACATCGGCCGAATTCAATATTACGCAATTACTAGAAGTCGGTTTACCGTGCTTATCTAACTGGCAAGTAGTCGGGGATATTGTGAAGTCGATTCTCGTCAATGAACCAGCTATAACCTGTGTAGTCACTTTATCGACTTTTACAACTTCATGGTGTTGGGTACTTCCAGATGTAAGAAGATATTTCTGCAAAGATTCCTCTGCTAATCTTTTATACCGAGGATCGCTTGAATCTTGTTCTGAGAGTCCTCCAAATGTACTTTGTCTTTTTCCCCTATCATTCTGACTTGTAGTTTCACAAGTGACATCTATATCTTTTTTGTTGAGCCAACTCTGTTCAATAATTTCTGAGTGACATTTTTTAACATCCGCTGATTTCAATATTACGCAATTAGTAGAAGTCGGTTTACCGTGCTTATCTAACTGGCAAGTAGTCGGAGATATCGTGAAGTCGATTCTCGTCAACGATCCAGCTACAACTTGTGTAGTCACTTTATCGACTTTTACGACTTCATGGTGTTGGGTACTTCCAGATGTAAGAAGATATTTCTGCAAAGATTCCTCTGCTAATCTTTTATACCGAGGATCGCTTGGATCTTGGTCTGAGAGTCCTCCGAGTGTACTTTGTCTTTTCCCCTATCATTCTGACTTGTAGTTTCACAAGTGACATCTATATCTTTTTTGTTGAGCCAACTTTGTTCAATAATTTCTGAGTGACATTTTTTAACATCCGCTGAATTCAATATTACGCAATTACTAGAAGTCGGTTTACCGTGCTTATCTAACTGGCAAGTAGTCGGGGATATCGTGAAGTCGATTCTCGTCAACGATCCAGCTACAACTTGTGTAGTCACTTTATCGACTTTTACGACTTCATGGTGTTGGGTACTTCCAGACGTTAGAAGATATTTCTGTAAAGATTCCTCTGCTAATCTTTTATACTGAGGATCGCTTGGGTCTTGATCTGAGAGTCCTCCACGTACGTTATGTCTTTTTCCCCTATAATTCTGACTTATCATTTCACAACTTACATCTATATCTTTTTTGTTAAGCCAACTTTGTTCAATAACTTCCGAGTGACATTTTTTAACATCGGCCGAATTCAATATTACGCAATTACTAGAAGTCGGTTTACCGTGCTTATCTAACTGGCAAGTAGTCGGGGATATTGTGAAGTCGATTCTCGTCAATGAACCAGCTATAACTTGTGTAGTCACTTTATCGACTTTTACGACTTTATGGTGTTGGGTACTTCCAGATGTAAGAAGATATTTCTGCAAAGATTCCTCTGCTAATCTTTTATATCGAGGATCGCTTGAATCTTGGTCTGAGAGTCCCCCAAATGTACTTTGTCTTTTTCCCCTATCATTCTGACTTGTAGTTTCACAAGTGACATCTATATCTTTTTTGTTGAGCCAACTCTGTTCAATAATTTCTGAGTGACATTTTTTAACATCCGCTGATTTCAATATTACGCAATTAGTAGAAGTCGGTTTACCGTGCTTATCTAACTGGCAAGTAGTCGGAGATATCGTGAAGTCGATTCTCGTCAAAGAACCAGCTACAACTTGTGTAGTCACTTTATCGACTTTTACGACTTCATGGTGTTGGGTACTTCCAGACATTAGAAGATATTTCTGCAAAGATTCCTCTGCTAATCTTTTATACCGAGGATCGCTTGAATCTTGTTCTGAGAGTCCTCCAAATGTACTTTGTCTTTTTCCCCTATCATTCTGACTTGTAGTTTCACAAGTGACATCTATATCTTTTTTGTTGAGCCAACTCTGTTCAATAATTTCTGAGTGACATTTTTTAACATCCGCTGATTTCAATATTACGCAATTACTAGAAGTCGGTTTACCGTGCTTATCTAACTGGCAAGTAGTCGGGGATATCGTGAAGTCGATTCTTGTCAAAGAACCAGCTACAACTTGTGTAGTCACTTTATCGACTTTTACGACTTCATGGTGTTGGGTACTTCCAGATGTTAGAAGATATTTCTGTAAAGATTCCTCTGCTAATCTTTTATACTGAGGATCGCTCGGGTCTTGATCTGAGAGTCCTCCAGGTATGGTTTGTCTTTTCTCCCTAATATTCTGACCTGTAATTTCACAAGATACGTCTATGTCTTTTTTGTTAAGCCAACTTTGTTCAATAACTTCCGAGTGACATTTTTTAACATCGGCCGAATTCAATATTACGCAATTACTAGAAGTCGGTTTACCGTGCTTATCTAACTGGCAAGTAGTCGGGGATATTGTGAAGTCGATTCTCGTCAATGAACCAGCTACAACCTGTTTAGTCACTTTATCGACTTTTACGACTTCATAGTGTTGGGTACTTCCAGACATTTGAAGATATTTTTGTAAAGATTCCTCTGCTAATCTTTTATACTGAGGATCGCTCGGGTCTTGATCTGAGAGTCCTCCACGTACGTTATGTCTTTTTCCCCTATAATTCTGACTTATCATTTCACAACTTACATCTATATCTTTTTTGTTAAGCCAACTTTGTTCAATAACTTCCGAGTGACATTTTTTAACATCGGCCGAATTCAATATTACGCAATTAGTAGAAGTCGGTTTACCGTGCTTATCTAACTGGCAAGTAGTCGGAGATATCGTGAAGTCGATTCTCGTCAACGATCCAGCTACAACTTGTGTAGTCACTTTATCGACTTTTACGACTTCATGGTGTTGGGTACTTCCAGATGTAAGAAGATATTTCTGCAAAGATTCCTCTGCTAATCTTTTATACCGAGGATCGCTTGGATCTTGGTCTGAGAGTCCTCCGAGTGTACTTTGTCTTTTCCCCCTATCATTCTGACTTGTAGTTTCACAAGTGACATCTATATCTTTTTTGTTGAGCCAACTTTGTTCAATAATTTCTGAGTGACATTTTTTAACATCCGCTGAATTCAATATTACGCAATTACTAGAAGTCGGTTTACCGTGCTTATCTAACTGGCAAGTAGTCGGGGATATCGTGAAGTCGATTCTTGTCAAAGAACCAGCTACAACTTGTGTGGTTACTTTATCGACTTTTACGACTTCATGGTGTCGGGTACTTCCAGACGTTAGAAGATATTTCTGCAAAGATTCCTCTGCTAATCTTTTATACTGAGGATCGCTTGGATCTTGGTCTGAGAGTCCTCCAGGTATGGTTTGTCTTTTTCCCCTAATATTCTGATCTGTAATTTCACAAGTTATGTTTATGTCTTTTTTGTGGAGCCAGGCTTGTTCCCAGATTTCTGAGTGACATTTTTTAACATTCGCCGAATTCACTATTACGCAATTAGTAGAAGTCGATTTACCGTGCTTATCTAACTGGCAAGTAGTCGGAGATATCGTGAAGTCGATTCTCGTCAACGATCCAGCTACAACTTGTGTAGTCACTTTATCGACTTTTACGACTTCATGGTGTTGGGTACTTCCAGATGTTAGAAGATATTTCTGCAAAGATTCCTCTGCTAATCTTTTATACTGAGGATCGCTTGGATCCTGTTCTGAGAGTCCCCCAGGTATGGTTTGTCTTTTCTCTCTAATATTCTGACCTGTAATTTCACAATTTACATGTATGTCTTTTTTGTTAAGCCAGCTTTGTTCAATAACTTCTGAGTGACATTTTTTAACATCGGCCGAATTCAATATTACGCAATTAGTAGAAATCGGTTTACCGTGCTTATCTAACTGGCAAGTAGTCGGAGATATCGTGAAGTCGATTCTCGTCAACGATCCAGCTACAACTTGTGTAGTCACTTTATCGACTTTTACGACTTCATGGTGTTGGGTACTTCCAGATGTTAGAAGATATTTCTGCAAAGATTCCTCTGCTAATCTTTTATACTGAGGATCGCTCGGGTCTTGATCTGAGAGTCCTCCAGGTATAGTTTGTCTTTTCCCTCTATTATTCTGATTCGTTGTTTCACAAGTGACATCTATATCTTTTTTGTTAAGCCAACTCTGTTCAATAATTTTCGAGTGGCATTTCTTTACATCTGCCGAATTCAATATTACGCAATTAGTAGAAGTCGGTTTACCGTGCTTGTCTAATTGGCAAGTAGTCGGAGATATTGTGAAGTCGATTCTTGTCAAAGAACCAGCTACAACTTGTGTAGTCACTTTATCGACTTTTACGACTTCATGGTGTTGGGTACTTCCAGACGTTAGAAGATATTTTTGTAAAGATTCCTCTGCTAATCTTTTATACTGAGGATCGCTTGAATCTTGGTCTGAGAGTCCTCCAGGCATGGTTTGTCTTTTCCCCCGAATATTCTGACCTGTAATTTCACAAGTTACGTCTATGTCTGTTTTGTTGAGCCAAGCTCGTTCCCAAATTTCTGAGTGGCATTTCTTAACATCCGCTGAATTAAATATTACGCAATTAGTAGAAGTCGGTTTACCGTGTTCATCTAACTGGCAAGTAGTCACAGATATCGTGAAGTCGATTCTCGTCAACAATCCAGCTACAAGCTGTTTAGTCACTTTATCCACTTTTACGACTTCATGGTGTTGGGTACTTCCAGACGTTTGAAGATATTTTTGTAAACATTCCTCTGCTAATCTTTTATAGTGAGGGTCGCTTGCGTCTTGGTCAAATATTCCTCCGTCTAATATTTCATCCTGGTCACTAGGATCCTTTTCTTTTTGTTCGCCCTTTTGTCTCTTAACCCTTGATTTATTGTCAAAAGATTGCAAATCATGGTCATAACTTCTTTTCATTCTATGAAAATTACTTCCAGTATTTGCATTAGAATTGATGCCAGCAAATTCGAAAAAATTTATTAAATCATCTATAGCCTTTTTCTGATCTTGTGTTAAAGATTTAGGTGCATATTCATCTGTTTTGGAATTATCGCTGTGTTTCGCATTTTCCACTCCAATAGTATGTTGTTTGTAAATATCAGAAATATCAGATTTTTCTGTTATGACATCATAAGGTTCAGTAGATATTTGCAATTCATTATAGGGAATAATTTGTTCCTCTAATTTTTTTATTTCATCTTCAGACAATACTTTTTGTTCTTGTTTTGATTGTAAATCACTACTATGTATAGCCTTGAGAATATCATCAGCAGATCCCGTATTTGCAATTTTATCATAATCAGGAGTAGGCTTAATGGAGTCAACAGTTTTGTCTCGATCATTATTTGGATTAATATCAATATTATTGTTTTCTTTATTTGCATCAGGCCTTTCGGGTATTAGTTCCCCATCATCACCAAAAAGCCACTTATCAGTACAGTTATTAGCTACAACTGCTCTATACTTTGATCCATTAGGTAATTTTATCCACGGTTTTTCTAGTATCGAAATCTTGCATGGCACAGTGAAAGAACAAGTCTCATCCGCATCAGATGTACAATTATTGTAGTCCACAGTTACCGTGAGTATATATCGAACACCATTCACCACCTATAATATGAAGCAGTATAGTCAAATATTTTGCGTTTATATTTAAAAAACTTCACAAAAAATGTATGCATTACTGTAAAGTAACAAATACGATAATAATTATAGTACAACTAACCTGAACTTGTCTTTCAACATCAATAACGCTGTTAAGGCTGTGTCTAATTGTAGGTTCATGACTATCAAGTTGCTTCACACCTATGACAGCTAAATCATTTACACCCGCGGCTTGTGGATCTATATGAGATCCGCAACCTATACAACCTACGTCATCACGATGAACAGGTTCTTCTCGTGGTATTGCAACGAATTGCTCTCCTGATGTAGCCTAAAAATAACATTTCAATTAGTACATTTTACCTACAATCTTTACCAATATTATAAATTTGAAAGTGTGTTCGTTTGTTGCCTTATAAAACCATAACGGATTAACCAATCACTATGAAATTTGTTATACACGTACTATATGGTATGGAGAAGTGTATAAGCTACTTTTTATTCCGGAAAGCGAACATATGCCGATCACACACACGAAGTTACGGATAAAAGCTAGTAATATAATAAAGAGAAAAAAATTGATATTTTTGTATGTTTGTTTGGAATGAATAAACTCAAAAACTACTTAACTGACTTTAAAAAATCAGCTATAGAAAACTACATTATCAAGCAGTAACATGGGCTATAAATTGTTTAAAAAAAAGAGAATATTACGAAAATCATAATAAACCTGTCTATCTAAGCTATCAAAAATATGCTTATAAAAATAATTAGTTCGCGTGCGCTGGGAAACTATTGATGATACATAAAATAATGCATATTTACAATATTCATTATTGCCCATAATAATGAATGGATGGCTTTTTTTAATGAGTGATAATGAAATAGGAATCCCATCTACGCTATCAGTATACGCTGGCGGGGCACTAGTGAGAGGTGATAGGTGAAGACGAAAGAAGTCAGTTGGTTTATTCACAGTGATTTATTCTTTTCAGAGGGAACCGCATGAATGTCGACTTGATAGGGTATATTCCTAGCAATGGGGCTGTTAAATCCCCATTAATAATAATTCTCTTTTTCCTGGATGAATGGGTTAGATAGATGAGTTGGCGGATGAGTGAATGAGTGGATGAAGGGATGTTGTTTGTTACTCTTTCATGCAAAAAGTATTGAACAGATTTGAATGAAATTTGGAATAAAGCTAGGTATTATCCTAACTTAGCACCTTTGTGCTAAGCTATGCTTTATGTACTGATCTGTAATGACTACCAAAAGTATCACACCCAAAAATGCGTACAAAATTATTAATAAGTATTATTTATGGTACGACTATCTCCAGTCATCTGTGTCTATCTAGTAAAATACACACACACACACACACACACACACACACACATACATATGTGTATGTATGTATGAATGTATGTACACACATATATACATATTTGAGTATATACATAACTTCAGAACCAAGCACAATTACTAAAATATAATTTCTTAATGTCGCAAAATTCATTAAACAAACATCTTTTAACATAAAAGATTATTCATTTCAGTTGGTATTATAAACAATTATAATGCTTTGTATTCTACACGCAATGCCATTCATTGGAAAACCGATTGGATGACATAGTGCATGGCTCTGACGTGTACCCACCATTTTGAGATAATGGTGACGTCAGTTACATAATTGTTTTCCTTGTTGCAATTTTTTTTTTCTTTTCATTATAACCATTATTGGGCGGCGGTAATCACTTACCATCAGGTGAGCCGCATGCTCGTTTGCCCCCTGTGTTGTAAAAAAAAAAATATGTCACTTATCCTACTAATATAATAAATGTGAAATTTTTAAAATATTTTGTATGTTTCATACTTCATTCACACTTATACGGCTGAACGGAAAGAAGTGAAATTTGGTACACGAGTAGGTTGTATCCTTACATATAGGATACTTTATATAATTAATCGCATGGGCAAAGCCGCAGGATACATCTGGTAATATTACCAAATTTAATTCCAAACGGTTTTTTAACTTCTATATAAGTGGGGAGGGGGTGTTAGGAATTGGGTCCAGCTGAAAGTTCTATTATGACAAAATCAATTATTTTGATTTAAAGACTAAACTACTTAACCAATTTTAAAAAATATTATTTCAAGTATAAAAATAATTTGCCAAATCGTACATACATACATATCTGTCACGCCTGTCTCCCATTAGGGTAGGCAGAAACAATGGAACGCCAAATGCTTCGATTCAAACAAACCTCTTTCGCTTCTTCCACATTCATCAATCTTGTCATACACGCTCGTCGGTTACGGGTACTTTTAATTTGGCCCTTCTTCAGCACGTCGCCTATTTGGTCGACATACGTCCGTCTAGGGCGGCCCCTACCGACATCTCCATTCATTCTTGCTCGATAAATCTCTTTCGTAATTCTTCTTTCATCCATCCTCTCCAAATGACCAAACCAACGCAACATTCCTTTTTCAATTTTTGTCACTACATCGTCTTTCAGTCCACACTTCTCTCTAACCACACTGTTTCTTACTCTATCTTTTAAAGTAATACCACACATACTTCTCAAAGCTCTCATCTGTACAGCATTTATCTTACTTTCATGCTTCTTCTGCCATACCCACGATTCGCTTCCATACATGAGTGTTGGTGTCAGTACTCCTTGAATTATAGCAAGGCGAGCTTTGCTCGATACATTTTTACTTGACATAATCGAGAGCAGTGCACCGTTAACACTGTTTCCCGCTTTTACTCTCCTCTCAATATCTCTGTCACACTTCCCATCCCTCGTAAACAAAGAACCTAAATATAGAAACTCACTCACTTGCTCCACTTTTTCATCTCCTATCATAATCTGGCATGCCGTTAAACTTTCATTCCTCTCAAAAACCATTACCTTCGTCTTCTTCGCATTTATTTTCATACCTTTTCTTGCATACGCTTCATTCATTATAGTCACCATTTGTTGTAATTCATACTCCGACGATGCAAAAAGTACTTGGTCGTCGGCGTATAAAAGAGTCTTAAACAGAGACTCATTCATCCTGAATCCACAATTAGATCCTTTCAAATCGGTCAAGCAACTGTCCATAAATAGGTTGAACAGCCAAGGAGACGCTACACAGCCCTGTCTAACACCGCGTTCAATGCCAAACCAGTCTGTATAGACTCCATTTATTCTGACACAGGCATTTGAATCCTTATATAAAGATTTGAATGCCCGTATCAAATGGCTGCTCACCCCATACATTGCCAGTGTTGACCACAGTTCATTCCTCTCCACTCTATCATAAACCTTTTCAAGGTCAATGAAGGCGCAGAAAACCTTCTGATGTTGAGCTAAGGTTTTCTCTGTTATGCACCTTAAGGAAAAGACTTGATCCGTACATCCCATACCCTTTCGAAACCCTGCTTGCACATCCCAAATTTTACTTTCCGTCTCATTCATCACTCTTTTAATCAAAATCCTAGCATACAATTTGCCTACAACACTAAGAAGGCTTATTCCGCGGAAATTTTTGCACTCCTGCTGTGACCCGCTGCCTTTATATAGTGGCACAATAACAGCTTTGCTCCAGTCACCTGGAACACAACCGGACCGCCAACATTTATTGAACAGCAGAAATCGGTTTACAAAAAAAAGGAAAAATTTGCCAAATCGGTTTACAAAAAAAAGGAATTATGAGGTAACCAACATAAAAAATATAAAACTAAATTGAGAACCTCCTACTTTTTGAAGTAGATTAAAAAAAATGTAAAAGTCCTTTTGTAAGTCGATACAATTTCAATAATGAATACACGGAATTATTAGACTCATTCTTATCTTAAGAACTCTGTATCCTCTAATTTAAGACTTTACTGTACAATAAAGTGTTACAAACAATTATTGTATAACAAAGTCATTGTAACAATTTTTGACACAAAGAAGAATTAATAGAATGAGAGTTTCTTTTCATATTAACATAATATTTTATAGAATCACCTTCATTGTATGGTATTTAATTAAAGAACATATTATGAAAGAACAATGTTAAGAAGTAGATAATCGTATTGGTGTTATCTTGTCTATTAATATATTCTCAGTGTATGCATTATATCATTTCTAACAGATAATGTTTTGTCCAAATATGCCTACTTAGCGCCAAAAGAAGCAGAAATTCGTAGAAACAGATTACAATACACCCATTATTTTCATTTAGCTACATACAAGTCTATGTGAGTTTCAGTATATATGTATATACTGTTCTTTAACCGCGTCTTCGTTTGCATGATCAGAATATGTTTTAAATGAATCTTTTTTCATCCCAAATACCTACTGTATGTCTGTAAATATGAGCCCTGTGGTACCGACATAGATTAGGCTACCCCTTCCTTTCCTATAAGTGTCGTAAAAGGCGACTAGGGGTACTATTAAGTTCCCTTAGTAGATGATTGAGGGATGAGCAGTAGTAACCTTAAAACATCACCAAAACTAACTAACTGCGGTTGTCAATCAGCCTGTCAAGCGTGGCAACTACTGGCAAAACACCCCTTATGGGGAAGCAGTGGACAGTTAATGGCAGTTTTAATTATATATATATATACATATATAATACATAAAAAATAATTATATATTTACACATATATACATAAAAATATGTTTATTACAATGAAAATAAAAGTAAATTCTTAATTTAAATCTAAAGTTATGATAATGTTAATGATAAAAAATTAAATCCCATTAATAATAAATTAAAGACAAACATATAGCCAGATGATAGGAATAAAAGGCATTGTTAAATCACATAATTACAATATGAGCATTAATAGTAGATATTGTAACCGATTGATATTAATACAGGTTTTTATCTTAATATAATAATTTTATTTAATTACACAAACCATCAATATTAGTAAAAAATACTTCTCAGTTAATACTTAACACATTAAGTGAACCGCAAGCAAACGAGTTAACCGTTTACTTGGTCATTTAGAGCACACCTATGATAAACTTGAAGATAAGTAATTTCCCGAGAGCCTAAACATTAACAACAGAGTGGAATATTTTCACGCTAAATCTCTTACGTAGGGGGTAAAATTAGGTGGATGTCACAAGAAATTAAAACACTCTTGTATCATTGCATTATAGTTGAAATTATATTGAAAATAATAAGTAGTAAATGTATCTAATACTCAGATAACGAGAACTCGTTCAAAAGTTGCTTACAAACATTCCAACTCGCATACAAGCATTCCAAAATAAAGAAAAAACTCGTAAAAAGAACATAAATGCCGAAGAAAACAATAAATATAGTTATCACTGCATGTTATGATTATAGTTGATAGTTACATTGGCGCTCCGTCTTTGTTTTTTATCACTCCTCGCGAGTATATCGTGAGCGTAAACCAATAGCGGCAAAGGTGGGTAATATAGCATATAGTAATATATATTTTAGTTACAATATCTATATATTGAACTAATAACGAATATAATAAATATAGGTTTTTCCAATATATAATAACGAAATGAAGCACTGAATCAAAATGAATATACATATCCGACAGTAATGGACGATATGGAAATGGATGACGACTTTTTCCACCATTAATGACGAAGCCAATATTTAGATAACGGAGCGGTACCTATATTTTTTTATGACTGATAATGGAATGGTAACCCCGCCTGCGCTAAAGGCGGGAAGATACACGAGGATGAAGCAGGTCAATTAGCCCATCGTGATGAAATAAATGAATCACGATGGTTTCCATGGGGAACGTCGTGGAGATCGACCTGATAAGGTATACTGTTAACAATGAGGTTGGTAAGCCCAATTTACTAACAATCCCTTCTCCCCACAGCGGTGCCGATATTACCCACGCCTTAATTGTGGTGGAGACCGCCACTAAATAAAGGGAAAATTTGTAAAAATCGACTACTTGTCTCGCCAGTCTTTCCGCCGAGAATCAACCGTGCCTGCATGGCTGGGTTTCAGTTTGAGAAGTAAGATACAGCAATAACATTACAGAGGCATGACATCATAGTACTTCGGGAATGGCAATGCATGAGTAGTACCCAAGCTATAGCAGTGTATTAGTAGTAGCAGCATATTGTGATAGATTCGGTTGTACCTTGTTTAGAGGGACAGTTTAAAAAGTTTTCCTAAATTAGTCCGACCATTAATCTAATCTGGGATCATATTTATGAAAAAAAAGGTGCCTACCCCTACACCATGTTCATAAAAAAGTATGCGAAAAGATTTACATTGCATGTGCTGTTCTATATACTGTACTAGTGCGAGAAGTGTTTACTGAATCACTTTTAGGTACCCTATAGCAACATTCCTAACAATTCGTTAAATTATTAGTTTTTTTTTTTTTTAATGACATGAGTGAAATGACAATAAAATGTAAATTGTTACATGCAAACTTAAATATACACGCCAAATATATCCTTTCAGATTCATTTAATCTGACTCCATATTAAACAAATCTGGAAACATAGATGCCGGAACGGTTGTCTGAAAGTTCTAGTTCCTATATAAAGTTGATACGTATTCAGGTCATACCCAGACACATTTTTATCGAATTAAAATGCACTGTATTTTTTTTTTTAAATAGCATCAAAACAGAATACTTATTCCGACAATTGACAGTAAGTTTCGATCTAACGACTTTAATCCCGTCATACCCGGCGCCCATATAACATTTCGTATTCTTATCCCTGTATACCTCCAAATTTGTTTTATCGACTGGCTCGCTCAGGTACTATATCGTTGCAATTTTCGTCTATACTAATGTTATAAAGAGGAAAGATTTGATTGTTTGTTTATAATGGATAAACTCAAAAACTACTCAACCGATTTCAAAAATTCTTTCATCTAAAGAAAGTTACATTTTCGGGAAGTAACGTAAGCTATATATTATTGTCCAAAATTCTATCTACCTGTGCGAAGCCAGGCCGAATTGTTAGTTATAAATATAAACTTATACAGAATTTCATGTGAACTAACAGTGATTTTAGCCACAAGTATATGTAAGTGCATTACCAGGAAATTCAAGCAGGTAATGACATAAGCTCAGCCCACGCTTTTGATATATATGATCTAATTGATCATCATGAAGCCTATTTCATAGTATTTCACGGACTCATAATATGGAGGAATGTCCCTACATGAAACATATATGCCACTATATTGACAGGAAAAGATCACTTTTTGAGATATACTTTTTCACATTTGCTCATATTGCCTAAATACCATAAATATATATTTTTTGTATAATTTGAAGAGATATTTTTTGGGGATTCACATTGTTAACTTTAACAATACTGCTAATTGTGGAAAAGTAGCACTTTATGTCATAAATTACAATGTCATGTTCATTGCTTGTGTAAATAGTCTAACAAGGCACAAACATAAAACAATATAGATACTTTTTATTTACATACCTCAGTATTGGGCCTGACTTCATTGTCAAGATGTACAGGTTTATGAACTGGTGGTTCCACAGTGCTAGCAGTTGAGTCTACAACTGCCTCCTCTAGGTTCCCAGCCACAGTCCCATCCCTCGTCTCCGGCTCAACATCCTCACAGTTATACTCATTGTCCTGTACAGTCACTCCATTTTCTAAATCTACCACAGTACATGAACATTTCACATACTTGTACACTTCAACATTGTGAGTCTCGCTTGCTTTGAGTCTTGTTTCAATCTTGTAGAAATTTTCACCCTAAAATTTAAACAGTTACTTTATATTTTATTATTATTATTATATTTTAATATATAATAGATTGTGTTTATAGGAGACATGGGTGACAGATATGTATTAATGTACATTATTATAATACCAGTCACCACTTCTCATCCTTATCAACTGCATAATATAAAAATATTTATAGAGATATAAACATGTTTCTTGCCAGTTCTTATAGATTGAAAATGCTTGATATGGTAAAAAAATAAATAAAAAAAATTGATATAAATACTTAATATTTTTTTATTTCTGATTTTTTCTAATATACCATACACATAAATATAACAAACCCAGTACCACAAGTTTAATTAAAAAATAAAATCTTATATCAGATCCTTGTAGGTGTTATAAGCTAGAAATATTCCTCTTATAATTTTATTTTTTATTTTATAAAAACTATCATCATCTTCATATCAGCCATTATCTGTTCACTGCTGAACATAGGCTTATAAAAATGTTTATGGAAAAATAATGTACCTAGGTATAACTACAGGTTTTTTTTTTTATACAACTTAGAATGGCAAACAAGCTGACAGTCCACCTGATGGAAAGTGGTAATCATTGCCTATAGACATGAGCAGTACCATGGAAATAACAGAGTATACTGTTTCACCCATGATACCCCCATGCATTGCCTTTCCTGAGGACTCGGGTGTTATTCCTCTGTACCCAGTAAATTCAAGCATTCAGGTAACTCACAAAAGAAATGGTTCTCAATTTATTGGCATTATTTAAGATTTTGTTATATGATTATATCGCCAATTTTAAAGGGATCTTGTCAAGCCATTTTACAATTAACAAGATTTATGCATGTGTTGGTTCTATTTTAATTGTCTTTGAGGCTGTTTTTGTCTCATTTTAGATTACATTACACAGATTATTACAAAACAGAATCTACTTATAGACACAATTCTGCATTCAATATTTTTTTTAATAAACAGGTGTTTGTGCTTTATTATACCTATAATACTATAGACAACTAAAGGTCTATATTATAAATATATTTAAAATTGTGTGATATACATGTATATGCATGTGAATTGCATATTTAAGTGTATACAGAATGAGACAAATAAGAAATAAAATAATAGTACAATAAGTGTAAGTTAACCATCAGTAAACCGAAGATTGTAGACATTGCCCTTACATTATAAGCAACTTATTGTATTGAGTCGCATTGTGTTGTATAATTTTTATAAAATGTAGGTAGTTTCACATTATGTTTTATTTTTAATTGATGTTTGATAAATTATGCTCGCTAACAGTAGATATTAAATGCATGTTCATAGTTTTCAATTTCTCATTTAAGTGATTTATGTAAACCTTTAGAGAAATAAATGTCTTAAACCGTAAACCGTAAAATTGTATTGATAAGGCTATTTGTTTCTGGTAAATAAATTATGAAAAATTAAAAAAATCTAATATTTATTGTGAGTATTGAAAAATCTCATCCTCTAACTTTGTAATATGATAAAACCAGTGATGATTTTTTTTTGAGAGACAAAATGTACTGTTATGGACTTATGTTAGTCCTTAAAAAGTACATACAAATCATTATTGTTACAATATGTGTCTATTTACTAGAAAGAAATATTTTTAAAAGACTATAAGAATAATTTTTATTCATGTAAACTTAGTGTAAGCATTATATACTATTCAAAATAGTTATTTTTTTATTAATCTACCTCCCAATTCAGAATGTATTTTTACCTGAGAATGGATTGTCCATTCTTAGGTGAAATTACAAATTCAACTATTGCTTTAAATTATTATTAATATATTTTACTAGCTACACAGCAGATTCCTTATGAAATAGGCAAAAAATATTTAATAGATGTACATTGAAAAATGATAGATATACCTATAGAAAAAAAAATCAACTATAGTTTTAAAAATAATAAGAAATATTTTTTTTTTTCTTAAAAATAATATAATAATTGAAGAAAAAAGGGAATCACGTATATAAAATAGAAGTAAATATTTCTGATTATTTACTACAACATAGTGCCACCTTGATTATAACAGTGGTTAATGATAACTCAAAGGTCTGGCTGCTAGATAACCTTTCAAACTGCAAAACGTAATCACGAAGTAGCTTGAAGGTCCAAGAAACTCACCGTCTTTTGCGCATTTAAAAGTACCCCATCTTCATAAACATACAGGTGATTCGGCAAGTTATTCAAATAGTCAACGAAACCATTCAGAAACTTTTCCTTCTTTTCAACACTGATATCACAGAAACAAAAAGAAAACAAAAGACAGTGGAAAATAAAATTAATTAAATTCATGATGGTATTTCAGACGACCATCGCTGCCAAAATGCAGGAGAAGATTGATATTTATACAGAGTCGACCCGCCGAGTGACTCTGTCACTAATTATTAATTAATTGTAAACACAAGAAACGGATGATTCAGTAGCGATATACAAAATTGTAATGTAATTTGTTGACATTAACTTGCTGCATGCCTACTAATATTATTGTTTGTCAATTCTCACACTGTTTGTATTTTTTAAAAATTGGTTTTGTTTTTTGTTTGTATCGCAATTGGTATAAAATGACATCACAATTTGATGTTTGCTTTTATACCGAAATTCACCAAACTAATTAAATTAACATACGCAGAATAGTCAAGGAATATAAATAAAGGATATTACTAATTATATCCTTGATTCAATTAGGTACTATTTTGTAATTTAACTATATATATAAAAATAAACAGCTGGTATGATAAACATAGAAAAGAGAAAGATACAAAACTTTTTACATTAGTGTCAAAGATAGTGGAATAAATTATATATCAATAAAGTATATGCCCGGGGGTATACACTAAATATAAGTATATAAATTGTTAATAACTTGACGCTTGACCACAAAATAGATAAACCCCTAAATAAGATACTAGGAAGTATATTGAGACTATTAAGATCATAGATTTAGTATATTGTACTATGTAGTACGTATTATAGATGTAGTAAAATGTACTATGTACTGACAGACTGGGAATGAAAAATCTTTAAAACAAAGAATAACTGAAGAATACAAAAACAAGATCTTAATTTCAATTCGGGAACATTCACAACTTTTTTAGTATTAAAATGGATATTTTTCTACCAATTCTTGTACAAAATATTTCTAATTATTTTACAATAAAGCATTTAGAGATATACTATTTACAGCGTAAATATATAAGTATGTGCAATTTTTTTGGTTTATGTGCCTGATTTGTATTATTTTCATTTAATTTTAACCAACACTAATTAAGTGTGGCCACAAATACTGTTACATAATTTTTTTTCTTTTTTTCAACTTTTTAATTATTTTGAATTCGGAACACGTTGTTTATTTTAAAAACTTCTTTCGATTTTACATATTTTTTGTGTTCATTATCAAATTACAATATAGAATGGAGTGTTAAAGAAAATAAGATTACAGTGAACGCCTTGCACAGAGTGGATATGGAACCGCCGGTCATATACCAGACACTTCAAACGCTTGGTGTCAGCCACATGTTTGTATATCTTACTATTAACAGATACAACAACACTTCCTCTTTCGAAGACCAAAAAAGATCTGGGCGGCCGTGTGCCGTTGGAATTATCGTTAATGCTATTAAAACCAGAATTCGTCGAAACCCCATTAGAAAGCAATAAATCTTATCGCGAGAAATGAAAATCCCCACCAGGATTCTGTCGTGTATAAAACAAGACCTAAAGCTCGTTGCTTATCATCGATATACAGCACATGCCCTAAATCAATCTTTATAATTAAAAAGAGTGAATCGATCAAAACGCCTTGATACGCAGGCGAAAGGCTCAAAAATATCTTATTTACCAATGAAAAAATTATCACGATTGAAGAACACTACAATAAGCAAAATGTTATAGTGTACGCTCACAGTTGTAAACAAGCTGCTCAAGTGGTCATAAAGGTACTACGTGGTCATCATCATGCGTCGGTGATGGTTTGGTGGTGCGTGTCTTATAAAGGAGTCACAAAAGTAATTTTTGTAAAAAAGATACGTCTTAGATCGTGTTGTGAAACCTCTCAGCAATACACTTTTTAAAAATATACCATGGACTTTCCAGCAGGCTTCTGCATCTGGTCACAAAACGTGAACTACCCAAGCCTGGCTTGTAACCAACATTCCGGACTTTATAAGAGCTAAAAACTGTCCTTATCTAGCCCAAACCTCAACCCTTTATACTTCAAATTATGGTCAGTTTTAGAGGACATGGCCTGCTCTAAATGATACGGCGATATTGAGTGTCTTAAAAAATCTTTGGAGCAAGCAGTGGTAAAATTTCTTTTAGGAATAATGCGTAAATCCAAGGATTCGTGGTCAGACAGATTAAAGACCTGTATAAAAAGCCAAAGATGATCATTTCGAATAGATTTTTTTTGCTGTGACTTTAATACATATATAGATATAAATTTTAGTAATATTACATTACTTCATAAAAAAACGTATTTTCATTTATAACAGAACTTATGGCTGGACTAGGTATATAAAAAGAATTTATTTTGTGGTTACCCAGTCGGCAAAACACTCTAAAATCGGGGTGAATGCCACAAAAGTAGAAAAAAATTAACCGTCAAATGAGCTTCAAACATATATTTTATAATGTCCTGCTTTTATGACGCTCTGACATATATGTTATTATAATATTTCTTCTTTTTTACATAGCCAATCTTCATAATCTAATGAAAAAAAAAAACATTAATTTAACAAATCAGATTTTTTGATTTGATGAAACAGATTATTTGATATATTAATATCATATTGCCATGCTGCTCTGTATTGATAAATTTTAAAAAGTTTAAAAGTCAAACCTGTCAAAATCAAACCAACATTTTATTACCTTTGTCTTCATTTATTTATTTATACATAATTCACAGTTTCGCCTTTCTAAATATTTAAATATATTTAAAAACTAATTTACTATTAATTATTATACACAGAACTACAAATCTATCATGGTTGCAAAAAAACCTCGCTCTATATCGACGTCATCAAATAAAGTGTATGTTTCACTTTCGAAAAAGTTTGTAAAACTTTCGGAAACTAGTTTTCACTCATACATAAGTTTTTTTGTTGTATTATATGTACATTATTATTTTTTATCGTATTTTAAACATAAATAGTTTAATTAAGATTTGGCATTTATATTTAATTCTTAATTAAAATATATGTATTTAATAAAAGTAGTTTATTATTATTTAGAATTATTATTTGTAGAATAATTCTAAATAATAATAAACAGTATTGATAAAGTTACAAAAATTTTTTTGAACAAATTAAAAATATTGTCCACACTTCTATTATTAAATTAAATTTATATTATCATTAATAATATGTATAATTAACTATGTTAATTAAAGTTTGTGAATGTAGATGTGAAAAAATTTTTTGTTTTAGCTGGTGGATGGTTTTTGCTGTGGTATGTGGAGCAACATTCCTAACTCGATTTTATAAGGTTTTAGAACCAGATCATGTGTGGTAAGTAGATTTATTATTTATTATAGTCTATTAACTAGTTGACTTGATAAACATTGTTCTGCCTCCTAACGCTATCTGTTTAGTTAGTCTGTTGAAACAAAAACTATTCTATTTCACAAGTTGATAGAAACATGTTTAGTTGTTAATTAATTACAACAAGCTTATTGATGCTTGTTGTCTTTAACTGGGATATACCTACATACTTATCTCTTTATTAAAGATATAGGTATTATCTTTACATTTACATATAAATCATCAATAAGATCCAGTAAGCATTTCTGTCAATCTTTCATAAATAGCTATATGAAACTACCTTATCATTTGTAATTAAGGTTTAAATTATATAGATTTAACTAGATTTTGTTTTCTTTAATAGGTTTTTATACATATAAAAACAAAAAACAGATAATGGACAGATTTTTCACAAATAGTACGATGTTACCATACAGCTTTATGGTAAAACTTTTAGGATTTTTATGGTTACTTTGACACTAAACATTAGATAGTGCAGAATTATGCTACAATTATTTATTTATATGTGAATGATTTTTTTAATGGGTGAAAATGGAATGGTAGTCCTGCTTGCGCTATCAGTATACACTAGTGGGGTACCAGTGAGAGCTGATAGATGAGGATGAAAAGGCAGGTCAGTTAGCCTATCGTGACAATTTCAACAACAAGTTAATCATGATAATTTCCAGGGGGAACCATGTGGAGGGTATATTGTTAGCAATGAGGCTGTTAGATCCCTAATACTAGCAATCCCTTTTCTCCTAATATTTAACATTAGTAATATAGAAGCTGTGTGGTTCTGATAGGGTATATTGATAGCAATGGAAACTAACAATCTCATCCCCCCAATATATGTAAAAATTAGGTAGGTAAACTTGTAAATATTTATTTATATGTATTATTCTTATACTTTTTCAGTTGGGATGAGACACATTTTGGTAAAATGGCCAGCTGGTATATCAATAGAACATTTTTCTTTGATGTTCACCCTCCTCTTGGCAAGGTAAATACAGAAATAAAAAATAATGACACCACAGCTATACAAAATTATTAATAATATATATTGTTCACTACTGAATGTAAGCTACTCCTGATGTTTTGTATATATTTTAAAATAGTAATAATATAACTTTATTGAAGTTGGTGTTTGTCAATCAAAGTCAAAAGTTGTTTACTCATTTGTTTGCCTATATGAATAGGATATAGGATTATAGATTTATTTTCTACTTTACTTTTACTTTACAAGTTAAAACTTTTTTACAATATTAATATTTTTTTTAACTATTTTTTGTATTTGAGTGTATGATCCTCCATCGATAAAACCTCCATCATCATATTTCATTTATCTCAATTTATAGCAACATCCATCTAATTTTTTTTTTATTAGATGAAAATTAAATGGTAACCCCACCTGCGCTTATGGGATATGCTGGTGGGGCACCAGTGAATGGTGACCGATGAGGATGAAAAGAGGCCAGTTAGTTCATCCTGATGAATTAATCATGATAGTTTCCAAGGGGAACCGTGAGGAGGTCGACCTTGTTGGAATTCTTAGTCTCCATTACTAACAATCCCTTTCCCCTCACATCCATCTAATTTTCTCTTGCTAATTCTATAATTTCCATAATTTCATCAACCTTTTACTCTGTCTTAAAACACATCTTTTACCTGTTTATGTCATTATGTAACCACATTGTCTAAATAACGATTAGACTATATCCACACTAGTGCCGCTTTCGGTATAATCAATAGACACATTATTTTATACATAAATAATAATACAATAATATTTTACTAGACAGCGCAGTAATGTGTATTTGGCCTTAAACCATGAAAGCACCCAGAGGTTATGAATAAATTCACTTGAACATTTATTGATAACTGATATTGGGTTTTGTTTTAATAATATCATATGTTTTACAGATGCTCATAGCACTATCTGGAAAACTGACTGGTTATGACGGGACATTCCCTTTTGAGAAGCCAGGAGACAAGTATGACAGTGCTAGATATCAGGGAATGCGAATTGTATGGTTTGACTTTTTAAATTTAATAACTAATTTTTACCCACAACTTTGATCATGTGATTTTTTTTATGGATGATAATGGAATGGTAATCCCGCCTGCGCTAACGGTATACGCTGGCGGGGCACCTGTAAGGGATGATACATGAGAATGAAAAGGCAGGTCAGTTAGCCCATCATGATGAATACATCTGGAATTCAGCACGATGATTTCCAGAGGGGGCCACGGGGAGCTCGACTTGTTAGGGTATTTTGTTAGAAATATTCATGTGATTGAGGCATATTGATCAATTGGGATAAAGTATAGCCTATTTCCTTCTCCATTTTAAATTGTATGCTGAATTCTTTAAATATTGGTCTACCCATTAAAATGTCAAAAGGTAACAAACAAACTCAATTTAATATATTAATTTCATATCAAACAAATTTAATACGCAATACTGATTGTAAAAAATTAATCATTCGCATAAAGTGACATTTTAAGGTCCAGATACTGGAGTCGATTCTAAGGTGTAATTTCCTTTATATATTTACCTTTTAATTTAATAATTTTATGCAGCAGTTTCGCGAATTTACTATATTTTAAACCACTAATATTAAAAACTCAGTTTATATTGGTTCTTAAAATAAAAATTTCACTGTGGTCTCAAATTGAAATATTAATTTTAGAATTATGTTTCAAGAAATGATACCTCAGACTCGACCCCATTATTTTGTTATTTATATAAAATAATTAAAAATATAATTCACTATCTGTATTTTGATTATGAATGCATTAAATTTTATTTCAGTTTTGCACCACATTGGGAGCTCTGATTATACCTCTGACATTTCTGACTATTTGGGAAATGACCAAATCCCTAGATTCTACATTTATAGGAACCATTTTGTTGCTATGTGGTAAGTAATAAGAATATAGTTATAATCATTCACTACACCCTCTAATAGAAGCAAAGGCCACATGATCGGGTTTAGCCGACATGAAAAAAATTGGGTGTCTATTGACATTTCAGACTAACTCTTCGATAATCGAAAGCACCGATAATAAACCAAAATAATCCTGTTTGTTTGTTTCGCTTTAACTTAAGGTATGCTTGGGCAAATATGGGCATATCAAGTGTTACATTCATCGCAAAGATAAGATTCGACAAATGCCTCTGACTATTAGCAAACAAGCTGACAGCCCTCGATGGAAAGTGGTTACCGGCACCTATAGATATGAGCAGAATTATGGCCATAACAGAGTACTGTTTCGCCCATGATACCCCCCATGCGTTGCCGTTCCTGGGAAGTAAGATGTTATACCTCTGTACCCTGTAAATTTGCTGCCATATCTCATCCTTCAAACCGAAACAGCCATGCAAACACAACTGCTTTACGGTAGAAATACAAATGGGAAAGAGGTACCCAAGTTAATGACTTTTGTACAAAGTCTCCCTGTGTTATATTCTTACTTAGCACATGGGATATATATCAATTCAGGAGAATAATACCGTAGGATACAGTAAGTTATTAATAGGTTCAAATTTACTGAATTTTGTTTTATATTTTTTTTTAGATGTGGGCTTTCTAACTCTCAACAGATATATCTTACTGGATCCAATACTGCTATTTTTCATGAGTTGCTCCATTTATGGAGCTTTCAAGGTAAGTGATCACTCAATTGAATAAATCAGTTTATTTGTACCTAATGTTATATTTCAAATTTTGTGACAAGTGGTTCAGTTGTTCAGTCGCCATCAAGAAGAAAGAAATAAAGCTATTTTTACATAATTGTCTAATTGATAGTGGGTAACAGTGGCAGACAACGGAAGGAGAGGGGCGGACTCTGGTCCTGGAGGGTCTCTGCTAAACACCTGCATTTTGCTCATTCATATTCTATTATGTATGTTTGTTTATGTATAATTTAAATTTCACTTGCAAAATTTTAAACTAAATCATACAAAAGTGATTTGTATAATATGCTTGTAACATTACATCAACTTCTTAAACTGGAGGCCTCATTCAGCTTTGCTCCCCTGGCTTCTGACGTACCTACGTAGTCCGCCACTGATATCATGAAATTGTCTTTTATTCAAAACTTTTTAGAACAAAATATCCATAATTTTTACCTAGTTAGGGCAATTGACATCGATTCGACTGTTCGCCCTCTGCTACGTTGGATTCAAATGTGTTGAAAAATATTAAATAAGTGTAACATTTTTAATGGTAGATTTATATGCATTGTGGCAGTTGGCAGTCTATGGGGGAGACCTATGCCCAGTGATCATAGTGACCTATCATCAAATGATGATGATGATATATGCAATGTTCAACGTTTTACTTTGCTATCAGAGTACATTTTAAATTATTTATTTCTTAAACTTTAATATACGTTGAAAGTGTAATTGACGAACTAAACACCATATGGCGTTATCTACCAGTCAACCATAAACAAGAATAAAAACCAATATTAAAACAAAAAATAGTCTTTTTTTACAACACAGGGGGCAAACGAGCATGCGGCTCACCTGATGGTAAGTGACTACCGCCGCCCATGATCACCCACAACACCAGCGGCATTGCAGGTGTGCTGCCGGCCAAATTGTCATCAACGGTCATCATAAATTGTGATTTTTTTTTAATATGGTAGATAATTGTGACATCGCAACTTCGGTAAGCAAAATTAGTGAACTTTCTTAAGGAATTTCCCACTTTTCTTATCCTCAGGTGCGGTCTCTCACTGACGAGGGATATGGCCCGTTCTCCACTCGCATGCTCGCTTGGCAGATATTTCTTGGGGCATCGCTCGCGTGCACGATATCGGTCAAGTTTGTTGGTCTTTTCGTGGTGCTATTTGTCGGATTAAGGACTGTGGCCGATCTGTGGAATGTGCTTGGTGACTTGCAGAAGCCTGTTGTTAGTTTTTATTTTTAAATTATTTTTAATAAGCGAAGATTTAATTTACTCTGTAATTTTTGTATATAATGTGTTTTATTTTTAATAAAAAATACTCTAATATTTAATTAAAGTTTGCACATTTAATAAAAAAGATACTTAAACAATATAACTACACATAATTTGTCTGTCTTTTACATAATCGCTGAATTCTTTTCTGAAGGGTTTTCTTAATAAATCTTAAGTTTTTTTTTTTTCAGAGTTTGACAATAAAACATTTGATAGGCAGAAGTGTAACATTAATATTTATTCCTGCCTTGCTGTATGTTTTCTTTTTCTGGATTCATTTGACTGTTCTCAGTAAAAGGTAATTATAGAATGTTTCTAATATAATATAATAATAAAATTGTAACAAGACGATGTCTGTATATGGGAGAAATTGATATGTAGGGTCTTAATAAGACTAATAAATGCTAGCACAATATATTTTAAAAATTTAGTCTGTCTGTCAGTATGTTTGTTCTGGCAATACCCAAAAACTACTGCACCATACAGGATGCGATTTTCATTTTTTTTTCGTCTACAGAATACTAATATTTACTAGCTTTTTTCTGGCCACTTTGTCCGTGTGACAAGAATTATGTTGATTTATCGAAATAAAAAAAAATGTGTTTGTTTGTGTATATACCAAATTTCATAGTAATTAGTTAAGCTGATAAGGCGTCAAAAATTAACAATAGTCGAGTTTCTCTTCCATTTTTCTCAGCTGAATTTTTTTAATAAATCCCATAATACCCACAATTCTATCATTTACGGGAACTGCAACCAAAAATCTCCGCAACCATTTGGACATCTTACAAATTCCCTCTTATCGGAATGAGACAATTTTTTTTTTATAGGTGATAATGAAATAGTGACGCCACCCGCGCTATCGGTATACACTGGCAGGGCACCAGTGACGGATGATAGATGAGGATGAAACAAGTAAGTTAGCCCATCGTGACGAATTCAACGTGAATTGTTCACGATGGTTTTCAGGGGAACCATGCAATGCATAGCAATGGGGTTGTAAAACTTCATTGCTAACAATCCCTTCCCCCCGGAATGAGGCTATCAGGTCCTGATACTTATAATCTGTGTAGGTTCCAGCATAGAATAGGTCACACCTTCCTTTCCCATGGGTGTCGTAAGATGCGACTAATTGAGCTTATCATGAAGGGAAGGACAGCAGTGTTACTCTTAAAAGATCACCAAAAGCCAAACTACGGTTGCCTACCCGCCTGCCAAGCGTGGCAACTACTGGCAAAACCTTCTTAATGGAGGAGGCTATGTTCAGCAATGGACAGTTAACGACTGATACAACAAGTAATAATCCCCTCCTCCATTTGTCACAGCGGCAACGGTGACGGATTCTACTCTTCAGGCTTCCAAGCCCGTCTAGAAGGGAACAGCTTGCACAATGCCAGCGCACCGAAGCTGGTAGCGTATGGGGCACAGATCACCCTCAAGAATCACCGCACCGGTGGCGGCTACCTCCATTCCCATCACCACTTATACCCGGCTGGAGTGGGAGCGAGACAGCAGCAGGTGGCTTTTCTTATTTTTTAAATTTATGTCTATTTTCACACGATATCTATATATTTGTATAATGGGAATTTTATGAAGATACTATATTTGTCGTTTCCGATCATTATTTCGATTTCATCTGGAAGTCTTTTTAGGGGGCGTACGATGCATTACGTTGCAGTGTCTTATTTGGCACTACGGACTGCAGCTGCTAGAACCCGTGATTACCGTGAAACACACACACATATATATTATGTATGAATAAAAATATTCAGTTAACATTTTTTAATGATTTTTTATACCTTCTATATTATTAAATATAAAGTGTTTGTATTATTTATACGCGCGACCGGTTTTGAAATCCAATTTTAAATGTAGTACCAACTACGTTTCGACATGGAGACCTTCATGAACCTGACTATTTTAAAAGTCAATCCAAATCGTCTAATATTGATAATCATTCAAGGATGGTATGTGACCATAGATTACTGTCAAGTTTGTGTGTTTCTGTAAAAAAATATATATATTTTCAAGTGGCTTTTATTATTATTCTCTTTGTATGTTTCGTGAAATCATCACTAATTGAGAATCAATTATAGTAATTATTTCCAAAAGAATTATTATTATCAATTATATATTCTCAATTTGTAATTGTTCGCATATTTATCATTTTGTTTGTTTCGTTTCATATCACACAGATAACAACATACACCCACAAAGACGAGAACAACCGGTGGATAATCAAACCGTTCGATCGCGAATCAGTGGAGGGCGTGGTGGTGGTCCGCAGCGGGGAACTGGTGCGGCTCACGCACGCCACCACCGGCCGCAACTTGCATTCGCACCGGGAGCGCGCTCCCATCACCGCCAAGTACATGCAGGTCACCGGTTATGGGGAGGTCAGTGTGTGCTTAGACAAGTCGACGACTGTATAGTGTGGTGAAATTGTCTAATTAATAAATATTCATTAATTACTATACCATATCAGCCGTTGTCCACTGCTAAACATAGGTCTCCCCCTGTTGGGGGGATTTTGTCACTAGTTGCCACACATGTCAGGCAGGTTGGTAACCGCGGTTAGGCTTTGATGTTTTAAGATGGATGTTTTACCAGTGGGAGACTTTGTACAAAAGTCGATTGCTTGGGTACTTCTGTCCCATTCGTGTTTCTACCGTGAAGCAATTGTGTTTGCATGGCTGTGTTTCGGTTTGAAGTGTGGGATATGGCGTGAATTTACAGGGTACAGAGGAATAACACCTGAGTCCTCAGGAATGGCAACGCATGGGGGGTATCATGGGCGAAACAGTATACTCTGTTATATCCATGGTACTACTCATGTCTATAGGCGACGGTTACCACTTTCCATCACGTGGGCTGTCAGCTTGTTTGCCATTGTAAGTTATGTAAAAAAAAAGATGGACGCTGCTGCCCATCTCTCGATTATTAAATTTCCTTTGTCACTTTTTACAACACCCAAGGGAAAGGAAGGGGTAGCCCGTGTTATGTCGGGACCATTAAGGAGCTCAGTGGCCCAATCCACGACGGTAGTTTCGTTCGTTACACAAATACAAATAACTTTATTTTACTCTGTCCATTTACTTCGTTGTCGCAAATTTTGAATTGTTGGAACAAGCCATGATTTTTTATGGGATAAAAGTGTAATGCTCATCCCCCTCCCCCCTGCCCCGCAAACATTATACTCTTATAATAGGTAAGGATAAAGTCAAATTATTTAGCCCATCATGACGAATTAAAAAATTAGCGACTTTGGTTTTCAAGGGGGACTTTTTGGAGGTCTACCTGACAATGTATATTGTTAAGAATGGAGTTGCTAGGCCTAATTACTAACAATACCTACCCCCTCTCCCCGAAGCTCTGTTGCACCATTTGTGACACCTTGTAAAACTTCCAGGACGGCATTGGAGACGCGAATGATGTATGGAAGATTGTAGTATCCGGCGGCAAGGATGGCGAAGAAGTGCAAACAGTAAGAAGCCGGTTGATGCTAATACACTATTTACAGGTTAGTCGACAGTATCGACGGCACTACGATAAACAACTAAAGTGTCCCAAAGTCCTAAATAAAAGTGTTGTTCTGTTTTTTTTCTCTTCATCATCATCATCATCATCATCATCATATTAGCCGTTAACTGTCTGCTGTTGAACATAGGTCTCTCTCTTAAGAGGGTTTTGCTAGTAGTTACCACTCTTGGCAAATGGGTTGTCAACCGCAGTTATTCTTTCGGTGTTGTGTTCGTAAGCGGTAGTTATTATCATCAGGCAAGTCGCATGCTCGTTTGTCCTCTGTATTATGTAAATTTTTTTTTCAGGCTTGTGTCTTGACAACCACTGGAAAACAGTTGCCCAAATGGGGCTACGAACAGCAAGAAGTGGCCTGCAATCCGAACTTGAGGGACAAGAATGCACTTTGGAATGTCGAGGATAATGTATTTGATGATTGTTAGTATCTCTATTATTCGTATCAACTGACTTTGTTCACATTATATTATTATTTTATTATTATTATAATTACATTTTTATTTAATTATATTTTATAATTAATATTTTATAATGAATTATTCGTTTATCAATAGTTTTAATTAATTTTTTTATGTTGCTTTTTTCTTTTATTTTATTATTTATTTGGCACATATAACAGAAGTTTACAAATACAATCTTAAAGAATATAGCATGATCCATTAATAAATACGACTGTAATAATGCAATTCGGTTGCAACAAAGAAAGAAACATAACTTTATGTTTAAATTTCAACAATAGTTTGTGATAAAAATTAAAACATAAAAAAAGCAAGTTAAATAAAAAAACAAAATAAAAGTTAAATGAATTTAATGTTAATTAAAATTTTTATTATAGTGCCTGTTATGTATAAAAATAATGGGTAATTTGATTAAGTCAATTAATGTGGGTACCTGTATAATAGTTATGACAATTAAAATAGTTTTGCTTCCAATCTCAACCAAGTTGTATCTTTTAATGGCGACTGATGAAAATAAATGTAATTATGCGAAAATGACGTCAAATCTTACGAATATAGTGCTTCCGGGACATTTTAATCCAAAAACAGATAAATGGAGGGATTATAAAGAGCAGTTATTATGTGCGCTCGATGCCGCGGGTTATGGTGAACAGAACATCGATAAAGCGCGTTCATTGTTTTTATCTCAGTGTGGAAAAGACACTTATGGCTTAATTGTATCTCTATTAGTACCAAATCGACCAACTGAAGTGGAATTTTCCCATATACTACATGTTTTAGACAAATTTTATGAACCGGAAATTAATGAAATTTTACAAACGGAAAAATTTCATAAACGTCATCAATTACAAAATGAAAGCGTGCAGGACTTTGTAGCAACTATAAGTTTATTGGCTGTTAAGTGCAACTTTTCGGACTTGCAACGTCAGTTGAGAGACAGACTGGTGTTAGGGGTTTGTGATATACGCTTGAAAAGAGAATTATTGAAAACAGAAAAGCTAACTTATGAAAGTGCTTTACAAATGTGTCTCAATTATCAAGCTACATGTTTGGATTTATACCCTGATAACATCCTGCAGAAGCAAACTCCGTTCCATGTTACGGAACCTATGGAAATTGGTAGGATAAAGTCAAATGACTGTCGACATTGTGCAAGACTACATAAAACTGGTGAGCGCTGCCCGTTTGTGAAAGCAAGATGTTACTTTTGTAAACGTTATGGGCATATTGCATCTGCTTGTGAGAGGAGATTGGCGAAAGTGCATCAGACTACAGAATGTGGGGAGGGAAGCTGTAAGTCCTTGCCCGAAGAGATGTTGGGGGTGTATAATTGTACAGAAAAGTACCTTCCAGCAATTAGAGCTGATGTGATAATAGATGGTGTGAGCCTTTCCATGGAAATTGATTCTGGAGCTTCGAGAACAATTATTTCAGAGGAAACTTATTACAAATTATGGGTAACACCACCCCCACTGAATCCTACCAACATAAAATTAGTGACATGGACACGTGAACCACTGAAAGTGCTGGGACTGGCTAATGTACGGGCTAGTTTAGGTAACAAGGAGGCACAATGTGAGCTGTTGGTGATAACAGGCAAGGGACCAAGTTTATTAGGAAGAAATTGGTTCAACCCTCTGGATATACATGTTTCTGGATTGTGCTGGTCTAATGAAGAGTTAGCATCCTTCATAGACAAATTTCCTGATTTATTTAAGAATGATTTAGGAGAATATATTGGTCCAGAAGTTTCATTACATGTACGACCTGAGATGGCACCGAAGTATTTTAAAGCTCGACCAGTACCATTTCCACTTAAACAACAAGTGGAAGCTTCTTTGAAACAGATGATTAATGATGGCGTTTTGACACCAGTTAAGTATTCAAAATGGGCCACACCAATTAGAGTTGTTAAGAAAGATGATGGCACACTCCGTATCTGCGGAGATTATCGTGCCACTGTTAATGCTGCTATAAATACAGATACATACCCACTGCCCACATCAGCTGAAGCTTTTGCAAAGTTAAGTGGAGGACGTGTGTTTAGTAAATTGGATCTTAAGCAAGCTTATACACAGGTGAAGGTGGATAAGGAGACAGCTGAACTGTTAACGCTTAACACTCCTATGGGACTCATGAGGATGAATCGTTTGGCCTTTGGTGTGAGTGCGGCACCAGCAATTTTCCAGCGATTAATGTCAGCAGCCCTTGTAGACATGGAAGGAGTAGCATGCTTGCTCGATGACATTGCTGTATGTGGGAGAAACATTGAAGAACATAATGAAAGGTTATGCAAAGTTTTAAGCAAATTGAATTCAATGGGATTTCGTCTTAATGTAAAGAAATGTGTATTTGCATCAAACAGCATTACCTTTCTGGGACATATGATTGATGGTGAAGGACTACATCCATCTCCAGTAAAGGTCAAGGAGATTAAAGAGAAACCAGCACCTCAGAGTAAGGTGGCGTTACGGGCATTTTTGGGTCTTTATAATTTTTATGAAAAATTCTTGCCTGACAAAGCGACGATTCTTGAACCATTGTATAGGTTATTAGATGCAAAACGACCCTGGATATGGGGTGAAGCCGAACAAGTGGCCTTCAACAAAGCTAAGAATCTTTTATCATCAGATTTGACATTAGTTGGATATGAATTAAACAGAACACTGCTATTAATTTGTGACTCCTCTGATTATGGTCTAGGAGCTATGATTGTCCATGTGATGGATGATGGATCAGAACGACCGATTATGATGGCTTCACGAACTCTTCAGCCACATGAGCGGCGTTATGGACAAATTGACAAGGAAGCCCTGGCAATTATATTTGGTATCACAAAATTTCATGAATATTTGGCAGGACGTAAATTTGATATTATTACGGACCATAAGCCGCTTGTTGGTCTGTTTAACCCTTTAAAACCTATACCTGACCAAATATCACCAAGAATGTTACGGTGGTCGCTGAAGCTTGGTTGTTATAATTATAATATTAAATATAGGCCAGGGAAACTTATTGGAAATGCAGACGCCCTTAGTCGATGGACAGTGCCTAATACGTCTGCAGGGGAAGAGGAACGTCTAAGAGAAGTACTTTTACTTGATGAGCAGCCAGAGGGGTGGGACCTTGATGTAACACGGATTGCAGTAGAAACTAAGAAAGATCCAATTCTACAGAAAGTTATGTTTCATATACTACATGGCTGGCCCCGTTCTAGTCCAAATATGGAAGTGGAACCATTTTGGTCTCGCAGAGAGGCTCTTTCTCATAGTAAAGGATGTTTACTATGGAGCAACAGAGTTATTATACCCAAAGCACTGCAGAGTAAAGTTTTGGAATTATTACATGCTCCCCATGCTGGCGTTGTTCAGACTAAGGCTTATGCTAGAGGATATGTTTGGTGGCGTGATATGGATCTACACATTGAGAGAATTGTGGCAGACTGTGTGCATTGTCAACAAGTGAGAAATAATCCACCAAAAGATCCACAGGCTTGGATACCGTCGGAGAAACCTTGGGGTCGGGTGCATGTAGATTTTGCAGGACCCTTCCAAGGTAAAACATTTTTTGTACTGGTGGATAGTTATAGCAAGTGGTTTGAAGCCGAGATTATTCCATCAATGAGCAGTGAGACAATTATTAATGTATTAAGGAAGATTTTCGCTGCACAAGGATTGCCTGATATATTGGTATCTGATAATGGCAGGGCTTTTAGTTCTGAAGAGTTTAACTCTTTTCTGAAAAAGAATGGTATAAAGCACAAGTATTCACCCCCGTATCATCCTGCGACTAATGGGCATATTGAACGTGCTATACAAACATTTAAAAATAAACTTAAGAAATTTTCATATGCCAATTGTAACATATCTTGGCCTGAAAAGCTATCGAAAGTATTGTATCATTTACGCACAGTACCGAATAGCACTAATAAAACACCAGCGGAAATTCTAAATGGCCGTCGATATAGAACTGCTGTTTCCAATTTACACCCTAATTGTGTACCAGATGATGCCCAGAAGCAACTTGAAGCTGTAGCCCAACAGTCTCGAAACAGAACGTTTAATATAAATCAAGCAGTGTTAATTCGGGTTTATGAGCCAGGACGGAAATGGCTCAGGGCTACCATTGTGGAGGTTGAAGGTCCAACCACATATAGGGTGAGAACAGAGGATGGGGAGATACATAGGCGCCATGTAGATCAGATTTTATCACGTGGTAGCAAAGAGCATACTATGCGCCAACGTAGACCATCCTGGGATCAACCAGATGATATTGTACCTGAGGCTTCGCCTGAGATTGAAATACCAGACCCTGATTCCTGGCCAGATATAATTGGTATACCTAGGGAATCTGTGTAGCGTTCATGTGTTGTGATTAATATAAAGAGTATCTTAGTCTTATGTGCTGATTTCTGTATTTGTAACTATTATAGATATTAATTGTACTTCAAGATTATAGGGGTGAGATATGTTATGTATAAAAATAATGGGTAATTTGATTAAGTCAATTAATGTGGGTACCTGTATAATAGTTATGACAATTAAAATAGTTTTGCTTCCAATCTCAACCAAGTTGTATCTTTTAGTGCCGAAAGTGAGTTTTGAAGCATACGCATCGGGCTTCGTGGAACGGTTCCTGGAGTCGCACGCAGTTATGTTTCAAGGAAACGCCGGTCTGAAGCCCAAGGAGGGAGAAGTCACCTCCCAACCGTGGCAGTGGCCCATCAATTATAGGGTATGCATTCCTATATTATTCTGTTATATTAATATTAAATTCATTAACGTTATTCATTTACATATAACATTGCGTAAAATTCATTAATATTTACAAAAAAAAAACCCATCTGGTCACATGTGTCAGAAAAGGATATTAGCCTAACATTACTTCTAGTTTGTACTGATTCTATTAATAGAATCTAACTGCCTTATTGCTAGCAATATACTCATCATAACAATCATGTTGTTCCCCTTAAAATCCTTGTGGGATTCGTCTCAATAGGCCAACTGATTTGCTTTCATTCTCACCTATCATCATTCACTGGTTTACTCATAAAAAAAATCTCCATCAGTTTTTAAACTGATTATAATGATATTTTTTATCAGAAGAGCAATAATAATAATCTTTATTAGTTTAAACACGATACAATCAAGTGTTAAATTGGTAAAAGAACATTCGTGTTTAGCTCACTGTGTGATACCATACATAGTTATGTTATGTACTTACCATCAGGTATGATAGTTTGCCGTCCCAGTAATATAAAAAAAAAATATTATTTTAAGATAATAATTGTTAATTAACATTTTTTTTTTATTTAAGAAATCCTTTATATGATAAAAACTATTTATATTCAACCAAGAACACATTCTCTTTTTAAATAAAGTCAAATCAGGCAATCAGAAATAATAATTAAAATACACTTTCATCATAGTCCTATAAAAATTTTATCAAAATATAAAATCAGGTTTTTTTTGTAAATAAAAACTTTAATAGTTTTAATTAAAAATAGTTTTTTTTTTCAGGGCCAGTTCTTCTCCGGCAGTGCTCATAGAATCTACCTACTTGGCAACCCTGTAGTGTGGTGGGGCAATCTACTGTTCCTTGTCATATTTTTCATAATATATGTCGTCAACTCGGTGAGGGAGAAGAGGGCAGAGGCATTCGGCACTCTGACACAAGGTATTTAAAAACCTACTAATATTATAAATGTGAAAGTGTTTGATAGATAGATAGATAGATAATCTTTATTACTACTAATAATATTATAAGAAAATCAACAAAAAAAAGAAAAAATACAATTCATTTTGCTGGTAATAGGAACTGCCTCAGCTGTATATATATATATATATATATATATATATATATATATATATATATATATATATATATATATATATAACTGCTAAAGTTAAAGAAGTTTAGGGGTCGCCTGAAAATCAGCGCTATACAGGTACATCTTGCTGGAGGTGTATATATATATATATATATATATATATATATATATATATATATATATATATATATATATATATATATATAACATACATACAAAATACATAAACATACACATATAAATACATACATAGCACACACAGGAAAATATGACAAATCTAGTCCAAAAATTACAAAGGAATGGAAAAGAGTAACTACAGTGAAAGAAAATGTGATTTGACTTGTCCTTTAAACGAAGCCAAGGATAGTTAGTTATAAGCGATATGTTGTAAAAAATAACGCTTCAGCCGACTTCAAAAGGTGTATTTTTTTATGTTTGTTACCTCATAACTCCATCAGTCACATACCGATTTGGTTTTTTGTATGTGAAAGGACATACTAATAGAAATTTGATCAAAATTGATTCAAATGTTTAGTTTGTAGTTTTTAAATCAAAATAACTGGTTTTGCCACAACAGAAGTCTGTTTTTTTTTTGTGTAACACAGTCTCAAATATTTATGATGCATAGAAATTCAAACAAGCTGATGGCCCGCCTGATGGAGAGTGATAACCACCATCTATAGATATGTACAACATCATACATAATTGAATGTACTGTAACGCTCATGGAAAATTGATGTTGTATGCAGATGGCAAGGAGCGAATGTTGCTGAATGCAGCGGGCTGGTGCTTTGTGGGCTGGGCACTCCACTACGTACCGTTCTGGGCGATGGGTCGCGTGCTGTACTTCCACCACTACTTCCCGGCCCTCGTCTTCAGCTCCATGATCACTGGTCAGTTACTGTATACGTATATCTCATGTGGTTATTTCTTTTTTTATCTATAAGTGGCCTTGATTCTTTGACGCATTTTTTAAAACTTATCTCTTAATCTAATATTTTAATTTGATAGTTTCCCAAAATTACTGTTTTATGGACCATCACAAACTAAATTTATAATAATTTTGATTAGTTTATAAAATGGGCGCTTCAGAATCGACATGTTTTTTTTATACAACTTAGAATGGCAAACAAGCTGACGGCCCACCTGATGGGAAGTGGTAACCGAAATTGTTGTCTCTTATCACTCAACTAGTAATCCTTACTAATATTATAAATATGAAAGTGAATTTAAGTTATTGTGAGTGATCGGTTAAGACGTTAAGGCGGTATAAGGTAACAAATAAATACACTTTCATATTTATTATATTATTAAATATTTTTATCTTACTACTTATAACAACAGTGTAATAAAAAAAAAATTAAAACAAAGATATCTTTCGTTACAGGTATCTTAACAGAATACCTACTGAGCAGCGTCAAGAGTTATCTTAGCCCAGAACTCGGCCGTACCATGTACCACTGCGTGGTGGGAGTGGTGATATCCACCACTGTATACAGTTTCTACCTGTTCTCACCTCTCGCGTACGGAATGAACGGGCCGCTAGCTCACGAGCCCAACTCGACAATGGCCGGTTTGAAATGGCTCGAATCTTGGGAGTTCTAAACTTTTATTTATTTATTAGCCATGACTGTGACTCCACTCGTTATATTTTTTTATTAAATTGACAAATAATTCCAACGTTGCCACTCTTTGGTAAACTTCAGTTTGAACACTTTTAAAATTATATTCAAGCTTTTTGCTTAACAAATATGTTCTATATTTAAAATTTAGGATTTTACCATTTTATTGAAGCATTTAAATTTTCATTGGATTGAGAAGAAGAAGAAGATACTTGAAAAAAAAAACTAATTGATTTAAAAATCAACTAGTGAACTTAAACTAGCAACTAGGAAAACTGTCAAGTAATCCCGATCTATTTGGCTGTTTTAGCAATATACTTATTATGTCTGTAGTAACTAAGTTATCTACCAATGTATTGTGTAATGAATGGTCCGACATACTCACTTTTGCATTTATATTATTTATAAGTATTAATTGCAATGATCTGTAATAATGTACGTTATGTACTTTAGGTTTAGATATTTTAACTGTACGGTTTTATTAAACCACACACTTAGTAAAGATAAATAAGGAAGTCATCAGTAAAAGATATATAATGTTTATATCAGATACTATTTTTTCACTACTGAACTTAGGCCTCCCTCTATTGGGAGGTGTTACCAGTAGTTGCTATGCTTGGCAGGTAGGTTGACAATCACAGTTAGGTTTTTGGTGAGGTTTTAAGAGAAACGCTGCTGCATGGGAAAGGAAGGGGTGGTCCATTTCATGCCAGGACCATATAGCAAGAAGATATAAAGTGTATTGGTTGTTATTTTTTTTTTTACAACACAGGGAGCAAACGAGCATGCGGCTCACCTAATGGTAAGTGACTACCGCCGCCCATGATCACCCACAACACCAACGGCATTGCAGGTATGCTGCCGGCCTTTTAAAAAGGAATTTGCTCTTTTCTTGAAGGTTATGTTGTCGTATAAGTTCAGAAATACTGCTGTTGGAATTTGATTCCAAAGAGTGTAAATTGATATGAATGATTTGATGATTACACGCGGTGTTATTGGTGGTCGAATCACCTGGTATAAATATGAATATAATTATAATGAAATAATTAGGTCTAATGCGATATACTGAAGACACGCGAGCGTAATGTACTTAAACTGTATAATGCCCATAATATGTAATTATCGATGACTCACGATTGTAAACAAAAACAGGGTAATCAAAGATATAGATCTATTGCCCTTTTGTAAATATAATACTCATAATATCGAATTCCAAGGTGAGCCTATTTATTATTATATAGGTGAGGTATTTTCAATGAATTTGTTATTGGTGTTTTCCATCACCAGTTAACCAAGACTATGTTTTGCCGTATTCGGTATTCCATCCATTTTTATCTTTTAAGTAGATTTTTTATATTATTATTTATTGAGCCTATTATAAGAAATAAATAAATATTTTTTTATTATTTTCTTGTGAAGTTTCAATGCATTATCCCATAACGTTGGTAGGGTTTGGTGGAACTGACCAAATTAATTAGTATATTCCTGTTTTGTACATTGGCATGGTACATTAACTCCATAACTTTGACATTATCAAAATGCTAATTCATATTAGTGGCAGCCTTTACTATAAAGAATGAAGAATAAATAGCTACCTGATGGTAAGTCCATCTAGGTTTGGAACCTTGAGATGAACCTGCACACCCCGCTATGTTGGCTTATATAAACACTTTTTCATGCCTCTCTCGAAGGAGTCTAAGTTATATTTGGCAGTAAACAGAACCCGAAAGGAAATTTGGTAACTTGGTGCAAAAAAGTTATTAAACTTTTTAGTTCTTGTACGAATTTTATGAAGTTCTTGTATTTTATTTATATTTTATATACTATTAAATTTTACAATTTTTTTTTAATACCACTAAGGTGGCAAACAGACATACAATTCTGTTGTTAAGCAGTTACCATTAACCTATTATTATGTGTTAACCTATGAACGCCTACAAGGGGTATTACGGGGGGAAAGGGATTGTTACCAATAGAGTTTGACAGCCCCATTGCTAGCAATATGCCCTATTAGGTCGACCTCCACGTGATTCCCCCTGGAAACCATCGTAAATAATTCTCGTTGTATTTGTCACGATGGGCTAACTGACCTACTTCATCTCCTCCCCTATCATCCTTCACTGGTGCCCCGGCGATGTATACCGATAGCGCAGGTAGGGTTACTATTTCATTATCACATATAAAAACAAGGGGCATTACGTGCCCGGTGCTGAACCTGAAGTATAGTAACATTAGTCCAATAATTTACTACTATTACTATTTCTGCATTTCCTTTTTTTGAACACAGTGGAAGGGGTTTTCTGATTTTTTTTTAATCAAATTACAACTGATTTGTTTTTCTTTGGTGATGATTGTGATGAATTAAATGGTTTTCAAAGGAAATACCAATATAACGAGATATTTTTAAATGAATGACAGTGGAATCGTAATTTCGCCTGCGTTATCCATTTACAATAAAGTAAAGTCAGATCAGTCAGCTCATCATATTAAGAATAAACCATGATAGTTTCCAGACGGAACCCCGTAAAAATTAACCTGATTTTCACGAAACAAATTGCTGAGAATAGAGCCACTAGTGTCGATTATCAAAAATTATTTCTTATCTGACCTAACCAGGTGTATAAATTACTAGTAAATCCCTATTACTGAACAATTTTCCCAATTTCCTCCATCTGATTTCGTGGGCTTAAAAAGGAGTGAGTGGCATTTTATTATATATTATTTCTTTCTTTTCCTTGTTACGCAAGCACTTGGTAATAAATAATTGAAGGTAGTTGAAAAATAAGTATAGGGCCGTTGTATAGGGTCAAGCACACCTATCTTTACCAGAGGGAGACTTTATACAAAAGTCGAAACTACATAGTTATCTACGGATCTATCCATATAGAACCGGTTAAAATTAAATATTTTTACACTTAAGTATGCAAATGAGTATAATTATATTCAACGATTTTTTCAAGGGCGGGATGAGGGGGGGGGGGGTTGGTTCAGAAAGTGCATTTTAGTAAAGAGAATTTTGGACGATAGAATTTAAGGTATAGATCAGAAAAGTTGAATAATTGATATTAAAAAAAAATTACAACTTAACATCATGTATTGATAAAAATAGAAAAGGAAATCAAATTATATACTTCAAAATTATCAAGAAACAATAATGCTGAAACTAAGTAGGTAAGAGAATACGGAGGTAAAGAAAAAAAAAAGAAAAAAATGGTCATAAAAAGGACAATTTGGAGAATGTGATTCGAATCATCCACATCTGTGCAACAATTGCACTTACATAATATATACAGAGCATCGAGTCTCAAAAATTGGTCAACTTTTTGTTAGCTAATAGTCAAATTATCAGTGTTCTATTTACTTACGTATACAATGTATCTTGGCGTATCTAAATTTAAATATTTAATAAATAAAATGAGTTCTTACGCATAAAAAAGGTGCCAAAATTATAAAAAATAAATAAATATAGAAGTTATAAAGGAAACATTAATAATTATTTATTACACAAAATTTTATGATAAAGTTGACCCGTTTTTCGTAAAGCATAAATATGAAGATTATCTATATAATCTAAGAATTGCACATATTATTGTTTACAATTTTTAGCTTAGTCAAATGAGAAGGAGAAGGCTAAGATCTCAGATGGCTAAGTTCATCCTAATAATAGAAGTCGTAGGACGTTTATTAATATAATTAATATAATTAATATAATAAAAATTATAGTTTTCCCAATCATTTCGGAGGAAGGCGCCAGGCAAAGCCGCCAAGTCATGACTGAAATAATAAGTCCATTCGCTACTGATTCAAAATATATTAAGAATAGTGCTAAGTCCAACAACATTAAAAAAGTAATTTCGTTATTTTATATTTAGAATTAGTAGAATAATAATTTTACTTACAGAATGAATTATTTAGATGGATATACTATTGTAAATATTAAATTTAAATTAAGTATCTACCTATAAACAAAAATCATAGGAAAAAATACCACAAGTACTCTCCTTAATCTATGACGAAAAGTATGACCATAGACCATAAGAATTTTCTTATTAGGCACTTTCTTCACTGTAGGCATTTGACATTTTGTGTCTGGCCACTTTTGTCTGAATTTTTGACATAAAAAAAGTATAAATTACAAATGGCGTTGTAGACAGATGTGTTCACGGCCACGATGGGCGATGATTCTTTGATATTACGAGAAGATGGTTATATACGTATGAACTTTCCTGTTACTTCTTTAACGTATCATAGTAACTTAAATATAATATTAGTGAAGACTGATGTAGGTGGTGTACACGTTTTGGATGTGAACTCTGGTGTGATTCTCCAGTCCTCTTGTCTCTCAGCGGGTAGGTTCTGACGCTTTTATTCTCGAACATTGATTATTATTGCTGTATTTATATTTTAATGTGATTATAATGTGTAAATAATCTTGTATAGTTGAATGTTTTTCGCTTGTAAAACTATCATTTCCGTGTCCTACATTGTTCTGTAGCTTGACAGTTTCCAATAAACAAAAATTTTATTTTCACCGGATAATGTCATGTTATCATTTTAGATGACGGAGGTACACTTGGTATAGAGTACGCGCCGACTGCGGAGCGAGTATTTGTGTGGGACAGTAGCGGGGTGAGCGCTCGCTCTGACTACAATGGGGTGCTGCTTCTGCACACAGCTCTCCAGCGGCCGCTGCCCTCGTCGCAGCTTGACAAGATAATTAGGATAGAACTTGTCTTATCTGAGGTATGTAATTGATTTCTTATATGAACTACTCAAAAATAGAAAATATAAAAGGTGATAAAATCTTAAACACATGCTAACCACTGCATGTTCACATGTTGTACAATCAGATTTACAATTATTTCGTTCACTAAAAGTATCTTGTCAGAATATTTAACTTGAACAGTGTAACCTAATAATTTTGGTGAACACTAGATTTGGAAGGTAGTGAAAGTATACTAATTTTGATGTAAAATTAATCTTATCATTTCAATTGAATTTAAATTATAATTAGGTATTTCCTATCATCATCATCATCATCATATCAGTCTTTATCTGTCCACTACTGAATATTTATTTTTATAACAGGTATTTCCTATACTATATCTAAATCACAAACAATGGCCATTGTTATTTAAACATAAGAATTATTTCAACAGGAAATTACATTGTGATATTTTAATATTACCTTTTAGTCATAACTCCACATTTGTGAGTTTTATTCTAATAAATGAGAAAAATATCCTAAGTGATTTGTCATTACTTAACTCGTGTTTAAATATTCTGGTAATGAGTTTAAATATTAAAAATAGATTTTCTCATGTCATAGTACTACCTTGTAAAATGTCAAGACTGAAATTAAGTATTTAATGTGCATCATAATATTTGTATTGTAACCTTTGAATGAACACCAAATAACATAGTTTTTAACAATTGAAACTGCACCCACATAGTGCTTAAGTAATACATAGAACATAATTCAAATCCTATAGGATAGCCAATAAGATTTCTAATTAATTTAATAATTTGTTACTGATGTAATTTAGATAGGAAGTAATAAATTATTAATATTAAAAATTATACTTTATATGTATCTATTAATAAATTATTATCTTAATGGAATTATAACTATACAATGCCTGTATGTGGAAAATATTTGAGGAAAATTAATGTAAGAGATATTTAATAATTTTTAAAAATTTTATCTGTCAGTATCTTTGTTCCAGCATTATGTAAAAACTACTGCACCAAACAGTTCTTATGGTTGTGTACTTAAAGATCTAACTTAAAAACTAGTGTGTTTTACCTAGATACACTATCTAGAAGTGATTTATTTTTTAAATCTATACATATGAAATAGCCATCTGGAATAATTTTTTTTGAGTTGGCAAAGATATTAGTACATATTATAATTTCATAGCAATTGCAAGAGAGTAATTAAGAAAAAAAGTGAAGTAGTGAGTTTGGTTTTCAACCAACTTCTCTGAAGAAGATAATAAAAATATGAGATAGCTTCATTTACTCTATATTATTAATTTATGAGAAAATGAAACATTGTTTTTACAGATATTTGTATATTATTTTTAATATTTCATTTCAAAGTATTTGATATGCAACATATAGATTTTGCAACATTTTTTATATGGCTATTTATATTTATTTTTTATATTTTTGATCTTTTCAAAATGTTACAGAAAGTACAGAAGCCTATACCTTTGTTAAAGTATGTAATTGTAAAGTTGTAATTTTGTTTTATTAATACAATATTAATACATGACATTTGTAGATTTTTTTTTATAGAAAATTATAAGTGACTATGTTTGTTGGCCCAACAATGGCAAGCATAAATGATGCTGGCCACACACTCAAATGTGAATGTGAAATTAAATGATTGTAATCAAATTAGCCTACAGTGTTCACACGGGGCGAAGTTTAATTTGTACATTATCAGGGGCAAATAGTTCCAAAATTACATAATATAGGATATACATACAGGCCTACTTTTTTTCATAACATAACTATCCTATTGATACAATCATAAATATAAAAAAATATATAGCACAATATGTAGAAATAATTAATGAATGTATTACATGTAATAAATAAATTGTCATGACTGCAGTTTCAACATCCATCCTCGTACAACATACAATGCAGAATAACAATAAGCCAAGATATTTAATGCAATGATATTGTAATAAAATAAATATGTAAACAGTAACCTTTGTTATTCACATCATTGGCCTAACACATTGGCTGAAGGAGTCCAGGAGCTATATGACGAATTTTAACGATTTATTTACACAGCACATTTTGCTAAAGAGCATTTTATACATCTATTCTTGCATTGCTTGCATTCAGTTTTTTTTTACACAGTTGAGTATAGATGTAATAGAGCAATAGCAATTTAGACAATGTTTGGTTGCGGTCCAAGGATCTTAAGATTGAAACCCAATTTCCCATTAAAGTCACATTTGTGTAATTTTGAAACAGTAGTTACTTGTGTGTACTTCATAGAGCACATAGTTATCTGTTAAACCAGGTTAGAGGCTTTCATGTGTAATGTTGGAGGCAGAAACTCTACTCAAGTTGCCAACTTAATATAATAATGTACATTGGTAAACTGGGGTAACCACATAATTCTAAGTACCAAAAATAAATTTATTTTTTCTGCTCTTAAAGATTTCAATGTCATATTTGTTCGGAAATACCTTTGGCAATAGGGTCAATGAGAAAAAAAAAGTTTCTCGATTGACCATACCATATGAGAAAATGCAGTGTAGGACGTTACTACAGTTAGATGAAGTGACGACCAAAACCAAATATGATTCATTCTTCCAGTAGTGATCTTGGTGGTATTGGACTGTTCTGTAATAATAAAAATTATAATTATTATTATAATATGCTCAACAAACAATACTGACCTTGTAATGTATGACTTAGAAAATAATGTGATAACTAGGTGATGGAATATTAAAACGAAGATTTTATGTCATTACTCAACAGGTGTGAAACAAAAAAATGTGTAATTATTGAATCATATTATGTCTTGATTATTCGAGTTTAAAACAATTTTCATATTTCAGTAGTCTCTTAACCCTTCTCTGCATGATTTTTTTTTATTGGTGAAATAAATGAAGGTGATATAATGCGTGTTCAAAATTAAAAGAAAAATGGTTAAAAAATAAATTTGACAGCTATGTTTTTTTTCTATAATGGATACTAAAAAGGTATCAAGACACGATCAATTTAAAGTGAATTTGTTCTTTTATATAATTTTTGGGCATTCAATGTTATGATGGAAATTTCCACCATTATGCAAAGAAGGGTTAATATCTATTTACTAGTACTGCCTCTTCGACTTTGCCTCCATAACCAGGATAAAAAGTAGTCTATGTTTTTCTCCATTATGTTATATTCATGTATACATATGTTATTTTTCATGATCGACAGTTGAGCCATTATGGCACCAAGAAGTAAGCTCCACATTTATATCGCTAAGTTTAGGATTTAACTAATTATGCTGTATATAAAATTTTCAGATTTTTTCACATGCATTATATACTATATAGTGAAATTTATTACATACATTATCTTTTATTCGCGACTTCGCTCGCGTTATATGTTTACTGACCAGGATAAAAAGTAGTTTATATCCTTCTCTGTCTCATTTAGTACGTGTATACCAAGTTTTATAGTGATTAGTTAAGCCGTTAAAGCGTTATAAGGTAACAAACAAACTCACTTTCACATTTGTAATTTTAGTAAGGATGTTAACTCAGCTATTAAGATATTATCACACGGAATATGAATAAAATTAACCATTTGTTGTGTGGTGTATGCACAACCATTTGAAATTATTCTAAAATTGTAATAGTAGATAAAATATTCTGATGTACAAACTTATTATTGATTAGTCTTTACCTGTGACTTCGTCTGCATAACTGGAAAATATTGATTATGATCTAAATGGTGCCTGTATGCTAAATTTTATGATAATTGGTTGTTGTATTATAGTGTCAATGAATAAAAACGAACTCTCATTAACATTCATATTTTAACCATGAAGCAGTTGTGTTTGCATGGCTGTGTTCGGTTTGAAGAGTGGGATATGGCAGTGAATTTACAGGGTACAGAGGAATAACATCCGAGTCCTTAGGAATGACAATGTATGAAGGGTATCATGGGCGAAACAGTATACTCTGTTATGTCCATGATACTACTAATTTCTATGGGCGATGGTTACCACTTTCCATCAGGTGGGCCGTCAGCTTATTTGCCATTCTAAGTTGCATAAAACAATCGCGACCAATTCAACAATAATTAACCACGATGATTTCAAGGGGGAACCGCGTGGAGGTCGACCTGATAGGAGATATTGTTAGCAATGAGACAGATTCGATTACTAACAATCCCTTTTCCCCCTAGTTATGAAGCTACCTACATTTCGTTGGCGTTATCAAATCCTTTGTTATTATTTCATAAGTGTTTATCAGAAGCTAGTGTTAGGAATTTAGATTGTAGAACACTGTTTAACACAAAGTTTATATATTGGCCCAATCTAACTAAACCAATGGGTCCTTAACCCATTGGTTCTGTCACGTATAGATTTGTCCTGAGTTAAGCCTACGGTATTCCCCGATCTAATCTCTAGAATGTTATCTTAAAAAGTTTTTAATGTTGTCTGCCATTTAAAGTTATGTGCGTAACAACATAAGGTTCTGTTTTTTTTTTTTTTCGAAACTATGACATTTTTATGCTACTGTAAAAAGAAAGTTTCCACCGATTTTAATTCGTCGTTATATTTAGTTATTTCCTTGTTGGAACAATTTTGTTAGGATTGCTTGTTAGGTTACCAATTTTCTTTATATTAAAAAACCAGTACATTTTTTAAATTTTAACATTAGTAATTAGCTACAAAATCTTTATTTTCTAACCGTCATGTGATTTACGTCTTGTAATAGGTAGTCTATTTTTTTTAAATCAAATATGAACTGACTCATTGACATTGATGTTGTACATAAAATGCGTGTTCACGAATATGGTAATTATGGTTGAAAATTCACTGTATTTTGTTTTTTTTTTTACAATGAGTAGTGTTTGGATAGTTATATTTCGGTTTGAAGGGTGTGATATGGCAGTGAATTTATAGGGTATAACACCTTAATTCTCAAGAATGACAATGTATGGGGGGGGGTTATCATGGGCGAAATAGTATACTCTGTTATGCCCATGGTAATGTTCATGTTGCCTTGTTTGCCATGCTAAGTTGTATAAAAGAAAAATAACCAATTCAAGCTTCGCACTAAAGGTCATTATTGTTTCAGGCGGTACTACTCTACCAGTGCCTGCAGAGTCTGGATGCTCACTCTATGGAAGGTCTTTCAGATTTTATCAATGAACTCAAGAACTCAATAGATGCAGAGCCGGTTCGGAAAGGTGTGAAGGCACAGAAGGTGAGTGTTACATGTTGGCTCATTATTTATATTTGGTTCAACGTGTCTATGGTGCTATAAATATATATATATAAGCCACGATTATCGCTTTTCATCAAGGGGACAGTCAGTTTGTTTGCTATTTATTTCGATAGATAGATAGATAACCTTTATTACCAGTATTAAGAAAATAAAATATATGTGTGTGTATGTATATGTATGCGTGTGTATGTGTATGTATATATATGTATGTGTATATTTATGTATATATGTGTGTATATATGTATATAATTTTTATATATTTTTAATTTGCAAAAGATGCTTTTTTAATTATAAAGCACTATTATACCTACTTGTACAACAATTAGTCCATTACCTTAAGGTTGTCTTGAAAAGATTGCTCTCAGCAATAAGACCGCCTTACTGTACTTATACAATTGTATCGTTATGTTTGTAAATTGTCTTGTTTATTTCCTATATTGTATAATGCAAATAAAGTATACTCATTCATTCATTCATTAAAAAAATTAAAACAATAAAAAGAAAATAAAAATCAATTAATGTTGCTGGTAGGTAATAGGAGCCGCCTCAGCTGTTGCTATATATGTACAGCTCCAGCGAGAAGTACCTATATAGCGCTGATTTTCAGGCGGCCCCTATGTACATAAAAATATTTTAATTTTTAGGTAAATTTATTAGCTTAGTATTAATTAAACTATTAACTTTATAAGAAAAAGCTTAATATTAATTAGTACATTGACTCAATAAGTAATTTTTAAGCAAGTATTAATTTTATATTTATTCTGAACAGAAATCAGAACTCCTAATTCTAGTGATGAAATATAAAAAATATATGATTTAAAAATTTCTTTAATCAACTCTAAAATATGTTTTCTTTCACTATCTTGCACTAAATTAACATTTTATTTAATTTTTTTTTGCACAGTGGAGTACAGTAACAATCTGTCTACCACAATCCACAATTCGGTTGGTCACAATCGGCGTAATTCAGGAGTTGAAGACCCAAAATCGACGGATACCGGCATTATCCATCGCGTCGGCGGTGGGCCAACGTGCCAATGATCTTGTGTCGTGCTCCCGCGATGAGGAGACTAGGCCGCTGATGTACTCGGAGGCGGAGCGGAAAGAGACCTTCAAAAGATGGCCACATATGGATTATAAGTACGTATCAAAATATGAAAATTGTATCTTTATTTCCAATTAATTCCAGAAATATAAAAATATCATCTCATTAGTGATATTTTAATCAATTATGCACAAATTTTATTGGGCTGAACAAAAATTACTCTTCGTTCCTCAGGTGGGCATTACCAGCTCGTATGGCGCAGGCGGGGTTCTACCATCAGCCCTCGCCGTCGGGGGATGACCGCGCCATGTGCTTCACTTGCCTCGTCTGCCTGGTGTGCTGGGAGAAATCCGATGAGCCGTGGGTGGAGCATGAGCGACATTCTCCCACCTGTCCTTTCGTCAGGGGCGAGTACACACACAACGTACCTTTATCGGTAAGTGTAATGTTGGTACTATTACAGTAAATATCTCTCTCTCTCTCTCTCCGTCGTCCTATGTACATGTCTACTTAGAGCCACTGGTCAAATTTTTCAAGGCGTCTTTCTTGATGACAGAAAAACGAGGTCACCACCCTTTGGGATATTTTTAACGGCGATTTGGGGACAATCGGCTCGTACCCTACGACCTAAGGCCTTTAAAAGTTTGCTAATACTGAAGCCGTTCTAAACTGTCATATTTGCGACATACAGAGGCATTGGGCCGTTGGTTGTTTCTTATCACCATTATCTTATCAGCTTTTAACTGTCCACTGCTGAACATAAGCCTCCACCATAAGGAGCGTTTTGCCAGTAGTTGCCACACTTGGCATCAGCTTGTCAACCGTAGTTAGGATGTGGTGATGTTTTCAGAGGGATGCAGCTGCCCATCTCTCGATTATTAAGCTCTTTTAGTCGTCTCATACGATACCCACGGGAAAATAAAAGGTGGCTCATTCTATGCCTGGGCCATAAGTCATTTGTTTCTTTTACTGTAGTGTATTGTCCTATAGATTCTTCAACCCAATCAATATTCTATTTTAGGTCACAAATGCAACAGCCTGCGCCGTACCGTGTCCAAACGTTTCAGTGGTATCCAAAGGTAACAATAGCGACTTGATAGCTACAGGCACAGTGGAAGGCAAGATCAATATATGGAAATTCGACAGCGGACTAAAACTCGTAAAGTTTATTCACCTATCGCCGTATGATTCTATCTTCAGCGGTATATTGTCAACCGAGTGCAATAAAGTTTGGTCTGCTAGTTTGGAGAAGGATTCTTGTAAGTTTATTTATATTTAGTTTTCAAGTATTAAGTAAAATTCCCTCTGTATAGCATAATTGTCTTATTTGCAAGCAAGAAAAAAGAAGGAAAATTAATATTTAAGATATATAAGGAAAAAGTAGTATATAATGATATATTGTGTATATAATAGAATAGTTTGGAATTTAAGTGATTGACCATGTGGTCATCATGTGATGTGTTAATCATGTGATTATATTATATACAAATAATCATCAGGTTGCTTTTCAAATATATAATATAGCTAGTAGCAATCTGGCCTGGCTTTGCACAAATAGTTAGAATTTATTGTAAAAGAATTTTTACAATCCGTTAAGTAGTTTTTGAGTATCCATTACAAATAAACAAGCAATCAAATATTTCCTTTTCATAATATTAGTATAGAAATAACTATTATCGTTATGTTATTAAATAAGCAATGATTGTGATTGCTTATGATATTCAAATATTACAAAGGTTTACGTAGACAAATTAGTAGTAGTCCCTCACGCATTATTAGCAATATACCCGCTAATAATGTGTGAGGGATCACAATGCAAAATTTCATTTAAATCGTTTCAACAGTTTTGAAGATTAACCTGTACAAATAGACAGAATCAAAAAATTTGAAAAAATCTGAATGTGTTCTATATCACTACTAATATCCCTTTGATTCGGTTTTCAGAAATTTGATCTCTACAGTTTTATTATATGTATAGATGATTGTTTTTTTTTTTGTTTTCTTAGCTATGTACGGGATCGAACTCACAGCTATGGCGTTCATCGGCATGACTGGCAAACAGGCAGCTTACCCACAAGCGCAAACAGCCGATAATACAGACAAAGAAACTAGTACTAGTAAAATTAAGCCATCCCTGATATGTGCAGTCACCGTTACAAGAACCAACTCCACGCCATCAGACCAGCCCATCAAAGAAGACTCGAGCAAAGCTCTCTTCGATTCTGGTGTGGACAAGACCAAAGAGAGTGTCCAAGCCATGAATGACCAGAACGAAGCGAAGAGCAACTTTCCAACAACTAATAAAATGCTGTTCCTCCTTACGTATGACATACACAGCTCATCAGCTAACTCCATAACTACTGTTGTTCACACCTCAAACAGTAGCGGCAACTCTAAGCCTGGAGGCAGCAAGAAAGTGTGTACGGTAGCACGAACAGATGACGCGAATATATACGATGAAATATATTTTCAGTATTCAGATGACGACACAGAGCTTCCTCAGTGCACTAGTAGCCTTATAGACGAACAAATAAGTAATGTGATTAATTTGAACGCCTCATCGAGTAAAGAGGATTGCAAAATCTGGGAACCCAAGAAGATAATTTTCACAAAACATTTCAAAGTTTTAACGCCGCCTCCTCCTACAGTTTTATTGCCAGAGCTGCCAGAGTCGGGTCAAGGCAGCATGTTGGATTTTGTGGGGAAAATATCCCAATTGAAGAGTTGGAAGAGTGCTAATTTAGATTCTGTTGGTACTAAACTAGCGGACCAAACAGATGCGGTATTACAACAGGCAGATCCTATTACTCATTATCTCAACATGAATGGACCCCTAGAAATATCCGATTTGAAGTGGTACGAGGGGGGCGAGGGCACTGAAAAAATTAAGGTTACCCCATTCGGTGGTAGCAAAGTGGGAACACAAACAGCAGTCAGTAACAGTAATAATGATGGATTTGATAGTGATCCGCCCCAAGAAGAGGTCGTTTCCCAGGGTATTGCTATCCAGTGCCTAGATCTTCCAATCGGATTAAATCTTAGAAACGATTCCAAAGTCACGCATTTATTACCCACAGAAGACAAGGAGCATTTATTGGTAGTGATATCTTGTATTGAACCTGAAAAAGTAAAAGTTGAAGAGGACGTTGACTGCGACGGTGACGTGAAGATGGACATTGACGACGTTGTAGATGCCTGCGATAAAACAGACAAATGCGATGCAAAAGCATATTTTCTTCTTTATAAAATCAAAAACACAACGTCCATATATACCTTGGAAGAACATCCTGTTACAATGAAAGAATTATCGTTTAACGAGAGTCCTGTAGATCTCTGCCTATTACCTATAGATAAACACGAACAGTATTCTTTTGCTTCTGTTGGTGTCGACGGCGGTTTACGACTATACTCGCTTCCAGAGTTCAAGATGCTGTCAGAGAAGCGAGTCCCTAAAGGGCAATTTACTTCTGTAGTATATTGCGCTTCTGTGGAACGTCTCAGTGTATCCACGAAGCACGGTATGATTTATTTCTACGCTTTAAATAACGCCAAAAAGGACTCGACGGGAGATATCGATGAAGATGAATTTGCTAACATAGACTTTGACATGCTTCAAAAAGCACCTCGGGATGAGGTATGCGGGTCAATTTCGGCACCCGTCATCCTCGCCAATAAGACTGAACTAGACATGGCCGATCTTGAGGCCTTAATATCCTTGACAGGGTTTTATGGTACGAACACAACAGTGCCTTATAGCGCAGTAGTGCCGGGCTTCTGGTGTGAGTTGTCGCCGGCGCAGCGCTCGCGCTCCGACCACCAGAACAACAGGACCTGGCGACTCCAGAACACCTCCTCCACTTGGGACGAACACGTGCTAGAACTAACGCTGCCTTATAGTGTATCTTTAGCTCACGTAGAATTTGGATTTACATTGCATACAACGTGCCCTGTAAATTTACCAATTATACAAGTCACTTTATTGAAACAAAATTTACACGGAATCGGTTATAAAAAAGATGCGTCCTTTGGCCACAGATCGGACTCCCCACAACATTTTCCGACTGTAGAATCTGATATGCCTTCTTTGGAAAACCCTGTAAATAGTGAAGAATATTTACGAGCCCATAATGCCGAAATACTAGCTGGTCCATTATTATTGACGTCTGGTCTGGATTTGTCCCAGCAGTCGGGAAGTTTAATATTAACGAGCCCTAAATTATACAGGGCAAGAGGTAGAACATTTCTAGTTCACATAAAAACATTATTTGATCCCGCTAAAGATATGACCAAAACATCGAGTAAATCGAGTGAGGGTAGTTCTAAGAAATCGACATTTATCGGATGCGATTGGTTGCATCAGATTTCATTGACGGTGCGGGCTAGTCCACACACTGACGTACCGATGGAGCGGCAGCAACGGATAGCGATGTTGGAGTCAAATAGTTTCTTGAACAACCTATTGGGTATAGTTGTGAACAAGGGTGATTCTGAAAAGAAAAAGATCGCATTAGATCTGCTTATTTGGGTGATCTCCATAAGGTTACAGCGGATGCGCCTAGCGAAATCTGAGAAGACGAAAGACAAAGAGGCACAAAACCCCGTGGAGACGCAGCAGTTAGAATGTGTGAGAATAGTCGAGGAACATGTCGATGGTCTTATTAAGAATTGCATTCTGTGCGCTAACAGAAGTATCGCCAAGAAATGTGTCAAGATAATCCTTATCACGAGCGAGTGAGTATAGTTAGTTATATAATTTGTATATCCGTGTTACTTCGAAAACATTCTATAATGTAATGAAACTTTTGAATGGCTACAATTTTTTTTACAGTATAATAACATATAATATAATAGGGAAACAAGATAAAGCTTTTCTTTTTTCCTGTTAGTTGTACAGTTTAGAAATTACTCGTAAATCAAAACAGCCATGTATGTATTAGTGCTTAAACATCAGAAATAGTTCTGGCACCAGTCAAATTTTTATATTAAAAATTTCCAGAAAACCATAAAATTATATAATTTTTATGCAACCTAAAATAGCAAACAAGCTGACGGCCCACCTGATGGAAAATGGTAACTGTCACCTATAGACATGAGCAATACCATGGACATACCAGAATATATTGTTTCGTATTTAATGGTGTGGTTCTCAGACGAAATAAATTTTGTGGAGACGCGGTGTAAATGATTTGCGTTTGATCGCAATCATTACTACTAAAGCTTGGTGAATGTGTGAACGTCAGGGGCGTGAAGCAGCTGCCGAAGCCGTGGAAGTCGTCGTTCGAGCAGACGGTGTCGAGCGGCGTGTGCGCGTGCATCCCGTTCGTGGGCGCGTGCGAGTCGGCGGGCGCGCTGCGCTGGCTGGCGGCGCTGGCGCAGCATGCCGGGCCGCGCGGCGCCGCGCCGCCGCTGATACAGCGCTGCCTGGCGCTGCTGCACGCCACCGCCGGTTGCCTGGCTGCGCGCGCAGACCCATACCACCACCTGCTCCGGGCCAGGTACTATGACCGTACTCAATTTCCGCAAAACATCTCTAAATATATATTTCTCAAACATGCTTGGAAATGTGAGCATTATTTTGACAATCTTCTTCGAGATAAATCAAAATTGCCGTACTGGCCAGATACATGCGGGCAGCGGCCGGCAAAAGTTGTATGAAAATCCATATCTGTCGTATTTTGCGGCCAGATAAATTACTATGTAAACTCATATCTGTCCTGTAATATAAAAATGGAATTACCTTTTACTTCGAAACATGCCTACCAAGGAAGTAACTAATAAAAGGTTTTATTTAAATTTCGAACTGGCTTGCAAATAGAAAGCTGTTTATTAAAAAAAAACAAAGGAACATTATGGCGCGTGAAAAATTATTATTGTTCGTTATTCGTCATTGAACTTAAAAATTAAAATTGTGTTTTTGATTTCCGCGCATTGTTTGAGAAAAGTACTATATAAGCCTTGGCCACAACTAGGCATTGATGGAGTCACGTATGTGTGTGCCTCAGCTACGCCTCAGCCCACATTTGCACGTTCGTCCATCAATGCCTCAGTTGCTGGCTGCTGCAGTAATATACTATATATTAATGTTTCATATTAAATAGTACAAAAAAATGGGCAAACCTTAGTGGATTGCTGGAAATAGAATAAAATGTTTATTAATAGGTAGTTTATTGACATAAATGATATTAGTTACTTTTTCCTTTTTATATGATATGCCCTACATTAATAACAAGAGTATTTTTACGATCAATATTTTCACTGATCTAAAACTATAATAAAATTGTGTCCAGATTTGGGCTGTACGGTCTCCCGCTGGAGCAGACGATTTTCGCATCGGAAGTGCCCGAATTAGGGCGAGGCACATCGTCGCCGGTCACATACGCGAGTGTACTCGCTGGGGATACTAGCGCGCCGCCCCCTCCCAAACCTGACTACCAGCTCAAGGATCTACTTAATTTACCTCCCGATATGGGTAAGTTTCAAACTTTTCGCTTTAGCTTGTTTGTAGTTAAAAATGTATGTATATTCTTTATTGCACTTGTAAATTACATTTATAAATATTGCGAGCAAGGGTGGACTTATTTGACAGAGATCTCTTCCAATCAAACCAATACAGATGGAAAGCATATATATATATATATATATATTATTTTTATACAACTTAGAATGGCAAGCAAGCTGGCGGTCCACCTGATGGAAAGTGGTAACTGTCGCCTATAGTACATGAGCAGTACCATGGACATAACAGAGTATACTGTTTCGCCCATTATACCCCCCATGCGTTGCAATTCTTGAGGGCTCAGGTGTGTTATTCCTCTGTACCCAGTAAATTCACGCCATATCCCACCCTTCAAACCGAAACACAGCCATGCAAATACAACTGCCTCACGGTTGAAACACGAATGGGACAGAGGTACCCAAACAATCGATTTTTGTACAAAGTCTCCCTCTGGTATATATATAAGCTAATGGCCATTTTCAAAATGTGTATGCCAGGTTCGCAAGTGGCCGGCGCCGACTCGAAGTCCCCGATGGCGGCGTGGTGGGCGCAGAGCGAGGGCGTGGGCGTGTTCGGCGCGGGGCTGAGCGAGGCGCAGCCGCTGCACGTGAGCTGCCACGTGGCGTCCGACGGCACCAAGCTGGAGTCCAGCGGCGCGCGCCTGCACGCCGCCGTCGTCAGCGCGCTGCCCGGCGCCCAGCCCGGCGCCGACCCGCATCAGGTACTCTGCCTCCGCCAGCCGCTTCAAGTCCACCTGTAATAATGACGTTTCATAAAGTCTGTCACTAAATGTTAAAACTTTCCTAGTCTTATTTCTGACTTATGCTTAACGCCACGTTACGCCGATTTTCGGTTGCCGATCAACCGCTACAAAATGCCAGTATATCATATATAATTTGCTACTCTCGGGGTTACATAGAAGATCCGTTATTATGTCAAATTAATGCTGCGGAGTACTTGCGACTGGCCTCGGCGATCTTTAGTCAACAGACAATGCTGTATTGTATGTTTTTTTTTTAAATAACGACCACGCGTTGTTAATCATGCGTCAGAAGCTATGTTGAATGTAGTGTTGTATATAGTACAGTGCAATAAGTAGTTATTGGAGCCGATACAAAGGTACTTTTTTTTAAACCTTTCTCTTGACCTAAAATTCCAATATAATATCGCGATATTACTACACAAACTTAAATTGTAATAATATTGACTTAAATGTATTAGAAAATCAGATTAGGTTCTTACAATAAAGATTGTACTGTGATTTCAAATTGAAATTGAAATTTTAAGTATAAGTTTAAAGAAACAGCATCTCAGGATTGATTCCACTATCTAATAGTTGGCACCTATTCATAAACTATATTTATTGTTTGTTTTTTGTAGCTTTGGTCAGCCATGAAAGAAGGGAATAAACAAACATCTCAAGACCCTGATTCCTTAGAGGACGTTGAAAGCTCACTGATGGACTGTGACCCACAGGAGAAATCAGAGTTCTCTGAAGATAAACTATTCAAGGTATACATTACACCTATATTTTATTTAACATATATTTTTTGTTTAAATTATTATATACGTATTTTTATATTGTCCATCATTTAAAAATGGCTGAACCAATATGGCTAAATAATGTTTGTAGTAGTCTGATGAAGGTTTTTACGGGAACAATTATTGGAAAATTTGATTAGAAAGAAGGGGGGAAAATTATTGTTGTATTCAATTTCTATTATAATCAGTGATAAAAACCACATGGTTTTTTTTTTATTAGATTCATTACTTTTTTCAAGTTTTTATTATAATTATAATGCCCTAAAATATATGTCATAATTATGTACTAAATAATTAGTCGATTCCCACTGTCAACAAAGTCAATTTGCAAAGGATTGAAATATATTGGGATTAACAAGATAATGGGCTCGATTCTGAGGCGTCATATCTCTAAACGTATGTCTTAATGTAATATTTTAATTAGATAATTTCACAAAATTATTGTTAAATGGACCATCATAAACTAAATTGATAACATTTTTTTATTGAAATCTATTAATAAATTTAATTAATATTGGTCTTTATACTAGAGATTTTGATATAAAGTTAAAATTTTAACTTTAGAGATAGCTTTAAAGAAATGGCGCCTCAGAATCAGACCCACTGTCTGTTGACTTAACTAGTACTTACTAATATTTGGTTCGTTTTGGTTTAAATGTAGTATTATTGGATACAGAAGGATATGGAATACATCAAAACTAAGTTATAAAAGACAGAGTGGTGGTCGTGTGGTGTGTAGCAAGCATTATGTTAAGGCGCGCGTGGTCGTGGTGCGCAGGAGCTTGTTTAATGGATCATAATGGAATGGTATTTCCGCCTGCGCTAACTGTATACGCTGGCGGGGTACCTGAGGGATATAGGGATAGGTGAGAATGAAAAGGCAGGTCAGTTAGTCCATCGTGATGAATAGACCAGGAATTCAGCACGATGGTTTCCAGGGGGAGCACGTGGAGGTGGACCTGACAGAGTATATTTGTAGTAATAGGACTGGCAGGCCACATTATTAACAATCTCTTTCCCCACCCGGTGCGTAGGAGCAGGAGCAGTGCGGCATCGCGTGGGCGGCGCTGGTGGCGCGGCCGCCGCACCACACGCTCGTCGTCGAGCGCATGCACTCGGGCGCGCGCCGCTACATCGTGCTCGACTTCGGCCGCCGCGTGCGCCTCACGGACCTCGTGCGTACACCTACACCGACACCTACGCCTGCACCGACACCTACGCCTGCACCGACACCTACGCCTGCACCTACACCTGCACCTACACCTACACCTACACCTACGCCTGCACCTACACCTACGCCTGCACCTACACCTGCACCTACACCTACACCTACACCTACGCCTGCACCTACACCTACACCTACACCTACACCTACGCCTGCACCTACACCTACACCACCGCAGCGTCTACCACACCAGCGCTGACACCGATGCCAAAACAAAATAAGGATCGATATACAATAAAGGATTTTGAGTCTCCCGTACTGACGTGGCGCTATCCATCGTTATATAGTGTGGAATAGTCAATTTCTTATGAGAATTGAAATAAAAATTATTGCGATGAATGTGGCGAGTTGAAATAGTGTTACACATTTTTCGGTAGCATTAACATTCAGCTATGTAAAGCTTCTAATTTTTTTATTCATGAAATTTCTGTTCTAAAGATCTAGTTTCACATTTGGTTAACGACTTCAATTTCACTTTGTATATTTTTTTTTATCATTATTATAAAATGCTGAACATAAACTTGCTCCATAACGGGAGTTTTGTTAATAGTTGTCAATTAATGCTTGGCAAGCATGTTGACAACCGCAGTTAGGTTTTGATGATGTTTTATGAGGGATGTTACTGCTCCATCCTTTGACCATTAAGTTCTTTTAGTCGCCTTTTATGACACCCACAGAAAAGGAAAGTGTGGCCTATTCTGCACCTAAGACTACACGGTACCCTTGTATAATATTAGGACACAATTATAGGGAGGACTAACTCATTTGTTCGGGAACCTCTGTGCCACTCATTTTTTTGCCATAAAGCAATTATGCTTGCGTAGTTGTTTCAATTTGAAGGGTGAGATATAGCAGTGAAATTATAGGATAAATGTACGGAGACAACACTATAATTTTCAGAAATGCCATTCGCTCACTACAATATCTACATATGTATAAATTTGAGGATTTTTAAGACTGAATCAAATGAGTTTTTAATTTTTGTTTTTATTTAAGAGACTCCTCTGGTTGGTGCAATTAATTCATGTACCTTCCAGCCAGCTCTATCCCAGGCCATATCCTTGACCTCCCTATATGATATTTTATGTTTAAATAATATTAATAAAGAAACATTTCAAAAGTTAAAATCTATGATTTAAATAAATTAATTTTATTGTAATTATTCATGTTAGCTTTACTCATTTTAAATTCCGTTTGTTTTAAACTAGTTAGGCATGCGGGAATAGTATGACTCGCAATAGTTACTGGTATTATTCAACGATTAAATTTTGTGTAACTTTTTGCATTGTCTTCTATCTTGCTCTTACATTTTTATTATATTTTGACACAGATAATCCCATCATGCTCCGACCTAGTGACCCTGTGTATAGACATTTGGGTGACGAGCGAGGAGACGGACAGCGTGAAGCTTGCCTTCGCCACCGACATCGCGACCAAACATCTTGTGCTCACTGACATACAGCCACCGCCGCTATGTCGTTATATGAAGGTAATTATGGAGTCATATATATATACACATATATATGTGTTTGTAAATTGAATTGACATTTTCCTGCATTTATTTGGTAATGTTATATGATAAATTTATATTTATTATTTATTTATTGAACTTTAATATATCAAGAATGTGAAAATGGCGAACTTAACATCATATGGCGTTATCTTACCAGTCGACCGTAGATAGGAATAACAGAAAATATAGTTGACGGTTATATACGAAAAATGTTGTTATATAATTCGTTGGAGTAGTGTACCATGGGGTTACGATTCTCTAAAAAAAAAGGAAAAAAAATTAAAAAAAATTGGTAAAATAAATAAATTTATTTGAGCATTCATGTTAAAAATATGTTATTATTCAGATAACGACTATAGGGCGGTATGGTATGTCTGCTATGAAGTGCAAGATACCGCTGGGATGGTTCTACGGCGAGATTGCCGACATTACCAACGTGCAGGCCTCCGTCAATGCGCTGAATGCCTTGTATCAAGACTTGACCTGCAGGTTCCGGTGAGTTTACAAATTTTTTTTTTATTATAATTCTACACTAGGTTAAAGGAGTTTTTTCCTTTAACTTTTACCTTTAAATAAGTTTGGGGGGGAAAAGGGATTGTTAGCCAGTTAGGGAGTTTGACAGCCCTATTGCTAGCAATATGCCTTAATTGGTCGACCTCCATGTGGTTCCCCCTAGAAACCATTGTGAACAATTCTTGTTGAATTCGTCACGATGGGCTAACAGACCTACTTCATCCTCACCTATCATCCTTCACTGGTGCCCCGCCGATATATACCGATAGCGCGAGTGGGGCTACTATTCCATTATCATCTATTAAAAAAAAAAAAAAAAACCTTTAAATAAGATATTTTCATATTCTGTGGAGATCTTTATCTTAGAATTTAATATCTAATAGAATGTGGTTTATATTTATTCACAATGTTTTATTTTATTTTTATTAGCTTTTATAAATTCAAGTATGGAATATTTGGTTACAATATATAGATCTGTTTTATCTTTAACGTTTAAAATTATTAAGCATTTATTTTGTTTTAGACTTGCAACTGGAAAACTAATGGACTTGCTGAATCCTTACTTGGAAATGTATAATGGGAACGCAGCACATATGATGGCTTATTTGAACCTGGCAAACGAGACTGATCCTAAAGTAATCGCCGCGTACCAGGAGTGCATAGAACTACAGCAGCAGATGCATACATGTAACAATATACTGAAGAGGCTGCAGAACACCTCGGAGTGCAATGATCAACTGCTCGATATGATCAATAAAGGGAAAGTGACATCCGAAGCGCTCCTAGAACGCGCTTCCACTGACAAGCTGAGGGTTATCAGCGAGACTGTTGTTGATTTGCTGCTGTACTTCTTCTTCCAAATGGGTGATGTGGTGAGTTCATTATTTTGTTTAAAGTGTACTCTTATTTTAATTATTTTAGCTGTTACTAACAACTTATTTTAATTGTAAATTATTCTATGCTGAATATGAATAGGCCTAGTACAAATTAATTATTTGTTCTGGTATTTTTTAGCTGAATTGAACCAAATTTAAAATATTAGTTATAATTGTTTTGTAACTATGTCTTCTAAAAAAGTGATGTGAGATGGTGATATTAAATTTTTTATTTATTTAAATATTACTATATATAAATTGAAATATCAAATAAAGTTGTTACCTAGTCCTCGCACTAGGAGTACTTATATTGTGGGTGGCTAGTTTGCTTTATACTACAGAGAACAATAACAGTTGTATTTTATTAAAACTAGAATTAAAATATTATTTATGTATTATGTATGTATGTTTATTACATACTTTTATAGTAGATCAAGATTGTAACTTTTCATGTAAATATTTTGAAATATGCTTTACATGTTATTTTGAGACTTTTGGTTAAAAATAGTACATTACTGCAGCAACCAGAAACTGAGGCATTGATGGACGCATGTGCAAATGTGGGCCGAGGCGTAGCCGAGGCACATATACGTGAGTCCATCAATGCCTAGTTGTGGCCAAGGCTTGTATAGTACTTTTCTCAAACAATGCGTGGAAATAAAAAAAAAACACAATTTTACTTTTTAAGTTCAATGACGATAATGAACTATAATAATTTTTCACGCGCCATAATGTTCCTTTTTTCTTCAATAAACAGCTTTTTATTTGCAAGCCAGTTCGAAATTTAAATAAAACCTTTTCTTAGTTACCTCCTTGGTAGCCATGTTTCAAAGTAAAAGGTCATTCCATTTTTAAATTACAAGACAGATATGAGTTTACATAGTAATTTATCTGGCCGCAAAACACAATAGATATGGATTTTCATACAACTTTTGGCGGCCGTTGCCCGCATGTATCTGGCCAGTACGGCAATTTTGATTTATCTCTAAGAAGATTGTCAATATAATTTTTACATTTCCAAGCATGTTTGAGAAAATGTTATATATTTACTGTAAGGAGTGTTCAGAGACACTCTTTTGTGTGGTTTTGTGGTGGGGATGACATGTTTGAAACGAGTGTTGATAACGAGACGTGTGGTGTGGTGGTGTGGTGGTGTGCGTGCGCAGGCGGCGCCGGGTCCGGCGGCGGAGGTGAGCGCGGAGTGGTGCGCGCGCGTGGCGCCGCTGCTGCGCTGGTGGGGCGGGCGCGCGGCGGCCGCGCTGGCCGCGCTGCTGGCGCGCCTGTGCGGCCGCGCCGCCTGGTGGGGCGCGCACCTCGCCGACACGCTCACCGACGCCTTCGCCGCCGCCGACGCGCCGCCGCTCGCGCTCGACAGGTACGCGCTATACACGCACGCACTATACACACACGCACACACACGCACACGCACGCACACGCATTCACATCAAGTAACAAAAATAACTGTCACAGTATGTTTGTTAGATTCCCGTTGTGTGTTTATATATAGGCTATATATATAAAAAATAGTCTATATATATATTAAAAATAAACATACCATATATAAAATTGTTACAAATGAACATGAAGTCAATAATGTTATATATATATATATATATGTAACTTACATCTTCACTTATTGTAATTTTATATCCTATTTTTTTTCTTTTATTCACTCTTTTCATATGTGAAAGAATATTAACAATAATATCTCCATCATTTATGAAATACTAGTTTAAATACGGCTCGAAAGATCATATGAATGTATAGTTATTTACTTATTAAACCCGTCAGGCATTTATTTACACTAATATTTAGTAGTGGTATTTTTTTTATGGATCAAAATGGTTTAGTAACCCCGCCTGCGCTAACAGGATACGCTTGCGGAGCACCAGTGAAGGGTGATAGATGAGAATGAAAACAGGCCAGTTAGCCCATTATGATCAATTCATCAGGAATTAACCATGATAGTTTCCAGGGGGAACCACAAGGAGGTTGACCTGTTTGGGTATATTGCTAGCAATGGGATGCTCAGTCTCCATTACTAACAATCCCTTAACCCCCCTTAGTAATGGTATTACATATGTGCAATTTGGAGCAATATTTCAAAATGTTACATGATAATGGAAAGTAGTGGTAAAGAGTTGATGATGTGTGGGCGTGCACAGATGCCTGGTACTGGTGATGTACATGTGTCGCAAGAGCCTCTACGCGCATCGATCGGCGGAGAACGGCGTGGCTGCTGCGCTGGCGACACGCGCGCTGGCGCTGGTACGGGCGGCGCGGCCGCAGCCCGCACTCACCGCCGCCGTGCTCACCGCGCTCGCCTCCGTGCTCGACACCGTCGCCGCCAACAGACATGCCAGGTACCTCCACCGAAAACAATTATCTCCACCTTCACAGCTGCTACGGCTTTTTATAAAATGTTACATCTTATCAACAATTCTAGTAAATAAATTTCGATTAAATATAACGTGTTAGGGAAGGAGTGGTGAAGAGGGAAAGAGACACATTGACTTTCAAGAGGTGGCCGTTTGAGAATATTGTGTTATAATATATTATCTATATAATAAACGTGAGATGAGTCTATAACCTGTTAAACCTCATCAGATGGGACTGGGTGACGGGTGGTCGCGCGGGCAGCGGCGGCGAGGGTTCGAACCTGTCCCCGCGGACCGCCGAGTGCCAGCTGCACCACCGGAAGCTGCACAAGAAGCTCTTGCACCAGATGCACGATGCGGACACCAAGCGTGGCAAACAGGCCGCCCTCGAGGACGTGAGTCGCATATACACTCAACATTTCACGTGTCTTTGATCATATTTTTATAAATCTATAATATTTATTTGAAATAGGCACACCAACAGTATACATATTATACATGAATTAAATAATATTCTTTGTGTAGCATGTTTATATGCATACTTATACTAGGTGTACATAACATTGACTATAGATTACATACATGTAATTACATGTTACAGTACAATTAATATAATAAATTTACAATTACATATTTATACTAACTTATATCTATACTAATTTTGTAAAGAAGAAAGATTTCATTGGTTGTTTGTAATATATAAAATTTGAGTATATCACTCAAAAACTACTAAACCAAAGTTAAAAGATCTTTCACCAATAGAAACTATCATATTATTTTCGAAAATTCCATCTATTCATGCGAAGCCGGGTCGAGTTGCTAGTGCTGGATAATTGAAACATTAATTGACTTTTTTCTGTTCGAGATCATATGCAATTTAAACCATACCATCATATTTGTTGTATTTCTATTGTTAAAATATTTTTGTTATTTGTCAGCTAGCTATGGTCAATAAATATGCTAAGTGACCTGACGGAGTGGGTTGTGTTACAGCGCGGTCGTTACAGTGTGAAAACTCGACTGACACAGAACAACAAGCGCGGCGGGCGAGCGGGCGACGGCATGAGCGAGGCGCTCGCCCGCGTGATCCCGCCGCCGCTCGGCGCCGCGCTCGCCAGCGCGCTCGTCGCGCACATGCTCGCCGCCGACAGCTCCGCCGACGGCGACGTGCTGCTGCTCTGCGCCAAGGTAGGCTCGCGCGCCTACACCGGCGAGCTGTATCTACACACCTGCTAAAGTGTAAAATAAAGAACCGTACAATACAAAATTCAGTTTTGCTTCTCTGTAAATAAGGCTTAATTATACTACGAATGGGTTTAATCTTGCAAAGTAAAAGTAAAGAAAATACAAATATTAATTTATAGAAAATATAGATATATATGGGGGGGGGGGTCTCGTTGACTTGTATAAGGTCGCCATTTGAGAATGTTCTATTATAATATATTATTACGTTTATTACGTGAGAAATCTATAAAATAGGATTATTACATACATACATATCTGTCACGCCTGTCTCCCATTAGGGTAGGCAGAAACAATGGAACGCCAAATGCTTCGATTCAAACAAACCTCTTTCGCTTCTTCCACATTCATCATCTTTTCATACACGCTCGCCGGTTACGGGTACTTTTAATTTGGCCCTTCTTCAGCATGTTACTTATTTGGTCGACATACGTCCGTCTAGGGCGGCCTCTACCGACATCTCCATTCATTCTTGCTCGATAAATCTCTTTCGTAATTAATCTTTCGTCCATCCTCTCCAAATGGCCAAACCAACGCAACATTCCTTTTTCCATTTTTGTCACTACATCGTCTTTCAGTCCACACTTCTCTATTGTATATAATAGGATTATTTCATGAAATAGCGACATACGCTGCCTTGTCCTTTCTCATGCGAGCGTTGGCCGAAAAACTCTATCAATTGATTTGTCTGCACCTTACTGTTCTGCTGTATATAATAGATTTAGTTTGCAGATATTGTCTGACAGGTACCTGACTGATATGTCTAATGATGAATAATTTATGAGTATATAAACAGTGTCTCAATAATATATCTGTTTTTACGTTATTTTGTTCATTTTGATCACAAGAGCTGGTGTTGGTGTATGACAGGTCGTGGGCCGGCTGTGTGCGCTGTGCGGCGGGGCGGCGCTGCTGGAGCCCGCCAGTATTCTGGGGCTGGCGCGTCTCGCTGTCACCTTGCCGCCCTGGCCCAGACACGCGCTCACCACGCTGCTGCAGGTGTGTACCCCATAATCATAGTACTACTCTACACTTCAGACACATTTATGTGCTCGTTTGTTTGTTTCCCAGATAAAAAAAATAAGAAATATAAATAAATGCTATTCTTTTTGTTTAATTTTCTAAACGATTTTACTTTATTTTTTCATGTTGTGTATTAATTTCCTGGTCGTCTACTACGATATCACGGGGACGACATAGAGTGGTGTCGCATTGTATTTTTATCCCGTTGTTTCACAGATAACATGTTGCCTAATATACAATGCTATAGTTAATAGATAGATAGATCGATAAACACTTTATTTGAGCCATTTATGACACACGTAAATTAATAAATGAATTTATACAATCAAATTATTTTCTTACTAAATTATTAAAACATTTTTTATATATAAAACAAAACATAAAATACTAATAATATTGAGGTAAATTGCAAATAAGTAGTCACAATGTAATGAACAAAAATGTTTGTGTAAATTTTATTGTTTTGTTGTTGGTATATCCTGATATGTTTTTTTTTTATTATAGGACCTAGTAGAATACGAGAGCTCGGAGAGCAACACGAGCCCGAGCGAGGAGTCGTGGTGCGGAGGCGGCGGCGGCGGCGGCGGCAGCGGCAGCGACGGCGGCGTGCGCGTGCGCATCACGCGCTCGTTCGCGGGGCCCGGCTTCGGGAAGGCGCCGCGCCGCGGCAAGGGCGCCTCCGTAGCAGGTCAGTTGGCACTCACCGATACCTTTTACCGTAAGGTGGTTGCTATATGTGCTTACTAGTAAAATACGGCTTGTAACGGCTTGGGCGAAGGGATTAGTTGTAGATCTAGCGGCCTCATTGTTGTCGATGTACCCTGTTAGCTTGATCTCTACGTGGTCTGCCTTGAAAACCATCCTGGGTAAATCCAGGTGCATTGGACACGACAGGACAACTGATCTGCTTTAGGCCTCACCTATCATCACTCACTGATACCTCGCTAGTATATAGCGATAACACAGGTGAAGGTATCACTCCGTTTTCATTGATAAAAATATGAGGAAACCTCATCGTTTCCAGAATGTGCATGGCTGAATAAATTTAAATGAAATAATATAGACCATATTTTGGAATAATATGTAGGATATTTTGTTCTATTAAACATCTATTCCGCAGTGACAACCGTATACAAGTGCAATCATACTAAACAGTGTAAAATTTACAGTTTTATTGGTTGCTATTCTTTTCCCATAAAATCACAATAATTTGTATTTATCTATTTATATATTAGTAAGTTTATCAATTCAGGATAAGTTCACAGACGTAACATAATGACATCTTGATATATCATATAAATATCAGCAAACACATACATTATAACGGCTTAATAAAATAAACCTTATACACTAATAAATAAAGATTATAAAATCGCTTTGCTCACAGCTTGCTAGGGTTCGCACCAATTTTATTTATAAATAAATAAAAAATAAAAGAAAAAATAAAAATTTGACGCGGTGCATTTCGTTGCAGATGTGTTAGCGGATAGTTTCGGTCTGGCGAAGAGTAGCAACTTTAGCAAGCCGAAAATTATACCACAAGGTCTCACAAGTAAGATGTCAGCCCTGTGCCGCTTGCCTTGTATTCGGTTCGCACTGATGTTACGCTAACGCGGTGACATGTGGCCAATCCTTTTGTCGCTTGCACTATTTGCTCGCTGGTCGCTTACATCGACTCACACTACACTAATTTAGTTTACGTCAGTTTTTTTAAGACTGGAGTAGGTTATCTTCATTTATCAACGAATTTATCCATAGATTCGATATCGCTACCGCGCGTATTAATATATATACAGAATAATACGCACAACGTTAAGCGTCTTGTTTGTTCTCATGTGTAATCTAATGAATACAGGTGTATTTTTAGATTAATTTACCTTTTGTCATGGTGGGATGGGGGGGAGGGGGCTGGCATGATTTTTTTGTAGAAGAATGTAGGTAAAAATTATTTAAATTACTTTTTTGTTGTCTGGTTGTTTTAAATATATAGAAATATTTTTATATACCACTATATGATATAAAATATATTTGTATATAATATTATGTGACATTTTTGTTTCGTTCATGTAGTATATTTTTTAATGAACCATTTATTATTACATATAATAGAAAGTAAAAATATTTTCATCCCTATATTTATCTAAAATGACAAAATTTTCATCGTACCTTCGATAAAACTGTTTATAACTACTCTTCTCCATCTAAAGGTTGCCTGAAAGAGATCGCATTAGCGATAAGGCCGCCCATTGTTTTGCCAGTGTGAAACATTTCTTGTAATTGTTTGTATCTATTTATAATATGTTTACTATTGGAGGAAACAATAAAGAGAGAGAGAGAGAAATCTATTATGAAATACCAGATATGTAATAATTTGGCATTTAATTTTTGTTATTATTATTTATTATTACATTATTCCTTGTATTTGGCCATTTGAAAAACTTACAATATGTATTTTATATATTTTTCTTATTTTAATTGTAGATATTATGAAAGATATGGTGGACCAGATGACTGCGGAATCTGAGGACTCGGAGTCTGAAGAGAAACTGGAGCAGTACATTTTTGTACCATTCAAGAAGGAGAGCAAATCGAAGACTACTGTTGATAATAGTAACAGGTACAATATGTTAGTCTTCTCTTTTATATAAAAATCATCTGTCATTGTGTTTGTTTATGATAATCGTTGAAACATCATATTGATTCTAATGAAATTTTGTATATGTGTAATAAGTTTGTTCTAACTTAAGAGGTAGGATAGTTTTATCTTGACAACAAAAACGAATTTGTTTTTGTTGTCGAGTCAGTTAATATTTATTTCTCAAACATGCTTGGAAATGTGAGCATTATTTTGACAATCTTCTTTGAGATAAATTAAAATTGCCGTACTGGCCAGATACATGCGAACAGCGGCTGGCAAAAGTTGTATGAAAATCCATATCTGTCGTGTTTTGCGGCCAGATAAATTACTATTTAAACTCATATCTGTCCTGTAATTTAAAAATGGAATGATCTTCTTTTGAAACATGGTTACCAAGGAGGTAATTAATAAAAGGTTTTGTTTAAATTTCGAACTGGCTTGCAAATAGAAAGCTGTTTATTAAAAAAAAAAGATCATTATGGCGCGTGAAAAATTATTATTGTTCGTTATTCGTCATTGAACTTAAAAAGTAAAATTGTGTTTTTGATTTCCGCGCATTGTTTGAGAAAAGTACTATACAAGTCTTGGCCACAACTTGGCATTGATGGAGTCACGTATGTGTGCCTTAACTACGCCTCGGCCCACATTTCCACGTTCGTCCATCAATGTCTCAGTTGCTGGCCGCTGCAGTAATGTACTATTTATTTATAAAAAGAAAACTAAGACTTATTCATATAAAAAAAAATCAAGATAACAACAATGAAACCATTTATAAGTTTTCATCAATAAATACAATGTACATAATTTAACAGTGCCTGCCTCGGATAAATATTGTATGTAATTTCGGTAAATTGTATTCGCCGTGTAATACATTTGTTGTTTTGTTTTAATAACCGAGCGGTGGTGTGTTGTCAGCGTGGTGTCGAGCTGCACGGACGCGCGGCTGGAGAGCGGCGCGGGCGGGTGCGGGGGCGCGGGCGGCGCGGGCGAGGCGCTCGCTCGCCGCGCGCTGCTCGCCACGGGCGGCGCGCTCGCGCATGCGCTGCGGGCGCCGCACGTGCCGCCGCCGCCGCCGCCGCCGCCGCCGCCCGCGCACACCGAGCCCGGCGACGCGGCCGCGCCCGCCGCCACACCCACACCTACACCCACACCCACCGCGCACCCGCGCTCACACCCGCCGCTCACGCACACGCTCTACGACGTCTTCCGGCACCTGGCGCTCGAATTCCACTATCAGGTATGTCTCGCAATTAACCCCTCCAGCGTTTATGCATCATACGCTGTACCGAACAATAATGTGCTACCGCGCGCTAATGCAACAGCGTCCGTTGTATAATTTAAATTTACAGCGTCGTTTTCATTAAATTTATATAGGTCATTCATTTATGTACGTAATAAATCCGTTTATCCATAACCTCTAATCGAAATTTGGTAATTTCAAAAATCGGTGACGCAGTGAGTGTAACGAACTAGTCTAGAGCTGATCGCTCCACGGGTAATATCATGCAATATACCTATATAAAGTACTAGCGGCCAGCTCCAACTCAATTCCTGATGAATTAATCATGATAGGCTAACTGGCTTGTTTTCATTCTCATCTATCATTCTTCACTAGTGCTCCGCCAGTGTATCCCGTTAGCGCAGGCGGAGTTACCATACCATTTTCACCCATAAAAAAAACACGCCAGAGGCAATTCAAAAGCGAAATAGCAGCAGTGTGATGAAATTATGACTGTAATTATATTGTGAGGGTGTTGTGTGGCAGATGGACTGCACGTTCATGGAGAACGTGGTGTCGCTGTGGCTGACGCTGAACGGGTCGTCGTGGGGCGGCGGCGCGTGGTCACAGGCGGCACTGGCGCTGCCCGCCGACGCGCCGCGCATCCGCCTCGCCTCCGACACCGTCAACGCGCTCCTGCACTCGCTCTGCACGTACGTCACTCCCCCTACCGGCCACCGCCTTCCACCAGGGGGTCTACCATGAAATTAAATTCCGTATTTTCGAACTCAATTTCGTGTTTTTATTCATACCGAAATCGGACCAGTAAATGAAGCTTAATATTTGGTTTATCGTAGATTTTACCATAAAAGTTCAAAGAAATTATGTTCTATCAGCTTTAATAGTATGTATTATGTAATTTTAATATTGGCCTCGAAATCTTGGAAAACATTTCATGGTAGGCCATCAAGATAAATTGACTTTAATGAGTCTGTTTAATGTAAGTTTTCTTGACCAGACCAGCACAATGGTCAATAATATTACCACCAAAACGTTTCGTAAATATACCAAATTTCAGCACAATCTGACGCCAGCAAGTAATTATAAATAAGTTGCGAAATTTGTTTGGAAGGATTTCCATAATATTACAAGTTTAATAAAAAATAATACTATTTATTTGGCACTGCAATGGCTGCATTGAATGGCTGCAGTGCCAAATAGTAACCAACAAATTCACATTATGTTAGTAAGGATGTACTTACACATTTACTAATTACTACTATTACTAATTTAGTATCTGTATAAGACACTGCCTGTCTCTACCTTAATTTGACATTACTTTTTCCTGCTTTCAGGTTGGAAAACATATCACTTAGATGTTGGGTGTTGTCCATGCAAGCATTGGCATGGATTGCAAGCTTGCCATTACAGGTACATTTAATTTTGTTATCTCTGTATTAATATTAAGATGTATATTATTATTTGTCAGTAATGTCGTTAATAAGTGTATTAATTATATAAATTTGGTTAATAAGTTTTGTGTTATATATTGTGATATATAGACGGAGGGCAGCACTCAGACTATGGGTCGCGTGATACTGGAATGCGAGCATTTCGTACCGGCTGTCGTCCGATTCATCACCATGAACGTCAACACGGACGGTGCGGTCGCCTCGTCCGAACCTTATCTCGTGAGTATTCGTCAGCGCCATGGTCGTTTTAGTAATTGTGTTAATGTTCTATAATCTTGGTGCCACATTTAACAGATTTTTCGTAGTCGATTTTTAGTTTTGAAAGATCGGCGACCAAATGTAATTTGTGTTTCGTAGTGTTCTTTTAAAATGGATCTTACGTGAAGATACTGAAAGTATCAAATGGTGTGGCGGTCCGTCGCCGGTGACAGAGCGGTTACGTAATTGATATGATTGTGGCGGCGGGCAGGGCGGCGTGAGCATCGGCGCGGGCGCGGGCGCGGCGTCGGCGCTGCACTCGGTGTTGTCGCGCGTGGTGTGCGCGCGCGGCGCGGCCGGCGCGCTGGCGGCGCTGCGCATGGTGTGCGGCGTGTGGCGGCGCGACGCCGACGCGCCCGCCGCGCCGCCCGCGCTCGCCGCGCCCGACCTGCACGCCACGCTGCTGCGCCTCGCGCACCCGCTGCTGCAGCTGCTCGCCGGCCGCCACGCGCACCACGCGCTCGCGCTCTTCGACACCGTCGGTCAGTACTACATACTAATACACAATACTGTGCACTTAATTAATGGAGGCTGTAACAAAGGCAAAGTAGATGGTAACTCCCTTATGCTATATTATACGCTCGCGAGGTACTTATTCACAATGATAGGAGGAAATGAAGTCATTTCATTGCTCATCATAATGGTATCATCAGAAATTTAATGTGCTTTTTCTGGTTGGTCATATTCATGGACTTAATGGCTGAGGGATATTCATTCTATTTGCTTAAGACAGTGTGATCGTATGTTGTGCTATAACAAATAAATAAATAGTGGTTTTTTAGAATACTGAGAATGTCTATTGGCGTGAATTTACTGGGTACAGAAGAATAACATCTGAGGCCTTAGGAATGGCAACACATAGGGGGTATCATGGGCGAAACAGTATACTCTGTTATGTCCATGATACTGCTCATGTCTATAGGCGACGGTTACCACTTTCCATCAGGTGGGCCGTTAGCTTGTTTGCCATTCTAAGTTGCATTAAAAAAGACTATATATTGCGAAGACAGAACCACTAGTTGTGATTATTAACGGCATAACACGGCGATGGTGCTGCATGCAGCGCACCTGTCGTCGTGGTGGGTGCGCGAGAGCTGCGGGCGCGGCGCGGAGGCGGGCGGCGAGGCGCGGCTGTCGGGGCTGCTGGCGGACGTGCTGGGCGGCGGCGGCGCCGGCGCCGCGCGCCGCGCCCCGCTGCGCCGCTCCGTGCTGGCGCAGCTGCTGCACTACTGCCACCGCCTGCTCGCCGTGCCGCTCGCCGCGCACCACCACCACGCGCACCACGCGCAACACGCGCAGCACACGCAACACGCCGCGGTATGTACCATACTATCATATTATTACTACATTTTCGCTTTTAATCCTCATATTAATTTTTTAATAGAAATTACATTGTATTGCCGTGTAGTCCTAGTATGATATAGGCCATTCCCTTCCTCTTCCGTAGGTCTTGTAAAAAGCGACTAAGGAATCTTATTAGTTGAGGGACAGGCACCTGCATTCCTCTTAGAACATCACCAAAACGTAACTGAGGTTTCTAATCTGCCTGTCATGCGATGATAACTGGCAAATAATTTGGGGTAGGCCTATGTCATGTTTAGTAGTGGACAGTAAATGGTTGATATGAAAATTCAAACATTAGTAATCACAATGAAAATACTTCCACAAATGCACTATAATGAATAATAATTTGTTTTGAATTGATAATGCCACTAAAGATGTTGTCGCGTGTCCAGTCGTCGTCATCCAACTCGGCGGCGGGGTCGAGCGCGGCGACGAGCATGGAGGCGGCGAGCTCGTCGCAGACGGACGAGAGCAAGGCGCAGCACAGCGCGCCGCCCGACGCCACCAACGTGGAGGACGAGCGCAAGCAGCAACAGGCGCGCGCGCCCTGCGTCGCAGACACAGGTACGTTACTTCTTAAACCTTACATTACATACTCCGAGATACAATGTCTTCATACAGATGCTTCGAGATAAGCGGCTCAACTTTTTCATACAATTGTGCGTGATACATAGTTATGAGTGATTAATTTATAAATTCTATATTTGTTTTGTCTTATAACTTCTGTATCTTTTTAATGCATATACACTCATTTATTAAATAATACGTCATGATACATTGTATGCATTAGTATATAGAACACTAATAAAGAAACCGAGTCAGCTAACTTGACAATTAGCTGACAAAATGTTGACCCGTTTTTAAGACTCGATACTCTATCTATATAATCTAAGTTTATATGGTATTAGAATCGTTTTAAAATTATACACTTGTTGGTTATGTTTTTAAAGCTTACTCAGACCTGAACTCAATGGCCCGAACCTTGGAACACTTGGTATTCATGCCTTTCTGAAAACCTTCCTACATGTAATACAATTTAATTAAGGAATGCATTATTAAACAATATTGTCACTCATCATTTCTATAGTGTTATCAATGAATATCTTATTTGTCCACAGTACTACAACACTCACTGATTATGCAGAAATTCTACAGGACATTGTCGATGTGCGATGGAATGAACACCTTATTGTTAAACTCAGGTACTTATTCAACTTCAGAATCCTTGTGATGTAGAAATGTTGTTAATAGTACATTACTGCAGCGGCCAGCAACTGAGGCATTGATGGACGAACGTACAAATGTGGGCCGAGGTGTAGCCGAGGCACACATACGTAAGTCTATCAATGTCTAGTTGTGGCCAAGCCTTGCATAGTACTTTTCTCAAACAATGCGCGGAAATCAAATCACAATTTTACTATGTACTATGCCGCTATGTACTATTTATATACTCTAAACTGTATGACCTTGAGTTGTATCATTTACGATTTTGATAATATTTTCATGAACATACTTGTTGTTATCAAATATATGAACAATTTCTATACCTATAGACTTGTTTGGTTTGTTACCTGTCTTATAGAAAGCAGTATGTGCAGATTGTTAGTTGTCTATTATGTTCTTGGCCTTCCACAAGGCAGCATACTGGGACCTATCCATTTTTCTTTGATGATCGTCTTTTACTGTAAATAAGATTAATACAAAGCTATCCAATTCTTATGAAACAGTTTTTTTTTTATTATTAAAAATTCAATAATATGTGTGTACAGGAATGAACTCGGAATCGTCGTCGGAGTACACCTCACTGAAAGAAGAGCTGTTCTTACTAGTGGCTCATATGCCAAACGTCGCCTCCAACCCAGCGCTGATGGTCAACAGTCTCATGGAATTCCTTAGTGAGTTGAGAGCATCTTGTATATATAGTTAATTTTATTGCAGGTTTTGTTTACCTGGTTTTGTTGGATTCGTACATATAATTTTTAATAGATTTCCCAAAAGCATCTATTGTGTATAGCTTTTGTCTTGAAATATTAATTAAAAAAAAATACTAATAAAAAAAACTTTCTTTAATAGGAAAAGAAGAAATAGTGAATTTATCTCAAGCAATGCAGCAGCTGATCATCCGGCTGCTGGACAAGCCCGAAGCGTTGGCTGCGTTCATAGACGCCGGCGGGCTCGAGCTCGCCGTGGAGAAACTCACCGCGTGTCATCAGGTACACTAGCATCTATTAGTGTACAATAATATTGGTATTATTTGTAAAGTTTTGTATTTTTATGAGGATATTACACTGATAAATGTACATTGATTGTGCCAGGGTAGTACTCGATATGTTGTCGGCCTTTGACTTTAATGTTATCTAGTCTTCTGTACACACAAGGAAATGTTAAACCTCTTGTTGAAACTATAAAAACGCATATCTTTAACAATGTTGTTTTTTGTGTAGGCGGGTCCAAGCGGTAGCCAAGGGCTAGTGTCCTCCCTGATGAACTACCTGAAGCTGCCTCCGCAGCTCATCAATTTGTCTACGCCCGCATCGAGCAGCAAGAAGAACCAGCCACCTGTTATAGAGACTTCCAATGGTGGTCTGGTAAACATCGCGCCACTATGTGAGTACTTCAAGAATTAGTTAAGAGGTTGAATATTTCAAAAAAATCTGATAGGTGCTATAACCAATATTTAAACAGGGTCTCTTGTATATTTCTTTTAATCGCCACTTGATTGAATTCGTTCGTTCTGGACGTAATCTCCTTCCGTATTCTCATATCGTGATTTGTAGTCTTCAACTAATGTAACTGAAAATATTGTCCGAGAAGAAAGTTTCGGTTCCAGTCGAAATTAATAATAAATAAATAAATAACTTTATTGCATAACCATGATTGTAACAAACTCAGCACTGGAAATTTCAGTAAATTTGTACATTTGGATCAGCATATATATCTGTGTGAAACGGTACAGAAGCGGGGATGAGTGTAGTTTAGGCGGGAGACTAGCGTGGAGAGTTTGTGGGTGAGCAGGCTCGGTGTCGTGCGGCAACCCGACGGCGCAGGCGGCGGACGTGCTGCTGGACGGCGGCGGCGCGGGCGCGGGCGCGCGGCAGGCGTGCGCGGCGCGGCGCGTGCGCGCGGCCGCCTGGTCCTACCACTTCTTCAGCGCCGACGACGCCTCGCTCGCGCTCACGCTCACGCTGCCCTACGCCGCGCAGCTCTACGAGGTGCAGCTGCAGCCGCACCTCGCCTCGCTCGCCAGTCAGTACACACTACACAGTACACAGTACACAATACACAGTACACCACCACCATATAGTAACGGCTATCACAACATCTCATTCTAATTTTAGAGGAAATCATTTAAAATATTACAAAAATTTTAATAAAAAGGACCAGTTTATATTCTTTTATTAAAACTCTTGTACAAGTTGAAATTATTATAAATACATTTAAAGGATAGGATTTAAGACAATTAAACTTAACCAATTTCCCAAGATACATAATTTGAACATGCAAATGATGATGATCCTAGATTAATTGGCACACCTGGTTTTGATGACTCAGTAAATAAAACTAAATATTACTAAATTTATTTTCTGATTTATTTCTTCTATACACTTGTACATTACATCTATAATTTATTAGGTAACTAAAATAAAATAAAAGACACGCTTGTTTGTTCAAGCGTGGAACAGAAGAGAGATGAATCATAGACAATCCTAGATACATTTTTTTACTAAATCATAGACTATAAGAAACGGATATCCTGCCCGTTAGGAATAAATTATGATTAAAATTGAACTTAATATAAAAATGATATTTAGATATGTTGAAACATACTATATTGCGTAAACATAACTAATAGAATTTTAGTGTTAGCATGTATGTTTATCAATAAACTGTGTGTGTAGCATGTCCCGGCGCTGTAGCAGTGGAGGCGGGCTGCGGGGGTACACTAGCGCCCCTGGGCCCCCCGCAGAACACCGCCGGCATGACGTTCATCCGGCTGGCGGTCATGAGGCCAGTGGTGTGCACCACTGTGCAGCTCAGGCTGTACAAGCCGCGGGACTCCTCCAACATGGGCTTATTGCAATTAAAGCTGCTTGTGGAACCGGCATTTAACAAACACGTCAGCAATCCGGGCAACACGTAAGTTTTTAATTTTGTTTTGTAAATAAATACCTTATATTTTTTGTGTTGCAATAATGCAAAATTTAATTATTTTTTTATAAAAAATTGTTTTTGTAAGTAGTTATTAATTTTTTAATACTTTTTTGTTGTAATGATAAGTTAATAACTAATTTAAGGTTTAATAGTAAAATTTATAGTTATTAGGCTATCATGATATTATTAGGTGAAAATTTGTTCTTTATCAGGAGTATAAAATATGGCGTTAAGTTGCAGGAATAGTCCTGCAACTCAATGTCATATTTTAGACTCATCGTCGTATATTTGTCTTTAGCAATAGGACGTCAATATATAAAATCTTATATAATTTGTTACTTGTGATTACATTATGCGAAATTAGTCATAATAACGATATAACTTAGCGGGACGTTTGTTCTCAGTCGGCGGTGTACCGATCTTCTGTCCGCGGAGAATCGGCAACTTTGCATTGTAGGAACTTTTTTATGTCACGTGTCACACTTGGCGGATTCTCCACATTGACTTTTGTATTGAAAGGTCAAGTTTCCAATGCATCCACGCATGTTCACACGAGTGACGTTGCGGTGAATGTGGCGCGAGCGTATTTGTAGGACGTTATCGCACGTTTAAGATGTAGTAATGTTTTAGTTTGTAGTTAGGTGGTGCGCAGTATATTTATGTGTGTTGAGCGGACAATGTATAATGTGTGCGCGTGCGCGTGTGTGCAGCAACAACTGGGCGTGGGTGGTGGCGGCGAGCGGGCGCGCGCCGCTGGCGGCGGATCGCTGGTGGCGCGCGGTGGAGGGCCCGGCGCTGGGCGCGCTGTGCGCGTGCGTGGCGGGCGGCGGCGCGGCCGGCGCGCACGCGCAGCGCGCGCTGCTGGCCGCCGCGCGCGCCTGCCCCGCGCGCGCGCCGCCGCTGCTCGCCGCGCTGCTCGACATGGACGCGCAGGCGCACGCGCACGGTAACCGCACCCACCGCACCCACCGCACCCACCGCCCGCTGTCATCGCATCTACTAAATAAACTAATTAATAAGTCACTCCCACAAATAGTAGTCATTTTTTTAATTGAAACACATGTATTTCATACATTTAAACTAAGAAAGTAAATGCTTCTACTCTGTACTTTATTTTAAAATTGATTTAAAAAGTAGTGTGACTAGTTGTTCTTCAGATATTTGCTTTCTATAGCATGCGCATCAGTCTAAGCATGCCTGCTTTTATCTTCCATTCCTTATTCGCTCCGCTCCGTGGCTCTAATTCGAGCGTGTAATACCGCAGCGTTCCAGTCGTCGGGTGGGTCAACGTCGCGCGTGAACGGCAGTATGAACGCAGTGTGCGAGCTGGTGCGGCAACTGTGTCGCTGGTGTCCGGAGGGCGCGACCGCCGCGTACGTGCGCTGGCTGACCGCCGCCGCGGAGCTCTGGCTGCGCGAGCGCAAGCCACCCTCTGCCGCCCTTACACATACCCTCGCCGCCGTGAGTAGCATAAACATCTCTAAGCTTTCACAAGTACATTTTGTTTCGTAAAAATAACAATTACAATCATGGAACTATGCCAGTATACCCCATCTATTGTAAACAAAATTATTGAATTGGTTCAGAATTGACAGACTATATAATATATAAATAAATGTGATCTGAGAATCTTTTGCAAGTCGCTAAAAATGAAATGAGTAACGTGGCTTCAGTTGTTGCGAACAGTGATGGTTGAAACTGCTGTCTCTCCACTAAATTCACTCGCTACTACTAAAACATTATACATTGTAAATAATTAAATGATAAAATAAATATTTAATGTATGTCACTAACTTAGGTAATATACTTGAGAAAAACTTATCCTGCTCGAAGGACCAAAACAATATAGAATCTGTTATCGTAAATCAGGAACTGCAATTACGCGTATGAAATACAGACGCGTAATGTGTGCCCTGGTGACTTGTTTTCATAACTTGAAATTTGTAGATTTTACATTTTTTTCTATATTTTTTACTATTGATGTCATATCACAGGTACTATGGACTCTCAAAGAGGAACGACTTCTAGAGAATCTGGAGCAGCTGATAACCGACGATTTGTTCGAACTTGTTTACACGTGGGTGCAAGATGTTCCTGAGAACAGTCTGTTGAAGGAAGCACTCGATGCCGGTAAATAATAATTTATATAAAAAAAGTTAGCTGCTTTGTTTTATTGGTAATCAAGAAGAGGTCTTATTGGTATTATATTAGATGTTTATTTACATTGCTGTAGATGAAATTTTACATTTATTTTACAACAAATGTAAACGATATGTGTAGATGGCGCGCTGTAGTGGAAATTAAAATGTGAATATAATTAGATTATATTTTATATTTTTATTTATTACAGTTCTGTGCTCAATGTGCTACATCCGGTCGGAGTTGTTTAGAATGTTACTAGAACATATGGATATACCAATGGATCATGATGAAAGGTACGACAATTATTTAACGAGTTATCCTTAATTTTTTGGGTTTTTGATGACATAACAATCTTTCGATTAGACAAAGATGTAGCTAATAATTTAAGATTTTTGGTCAAAAAATAAATAAAACGTAAAACGTGTATGATTAAAAAAAGAATTATTAAAATAACTTAATATTCACAAAAAAAATGTCTAGTCGAGAACATTTATAAATTAATGACAATTTGTCTTTATTTTACGGTTATTTAAATTGTTTTACTCTGTGGCTATAATGTGTATGTTGACGTGTCGTATGTGCGCGTGTAGCATGGAGGGGCTGACAGATGACACGAAGGTGCACGTGTCGCCGGCGGGAGGCGGCAACGGCGGCGGCGCACGCGACGGCGGCGTGGCGTGGCGGCTGCGCGGCTGGCAGCTGCAGACGGTGGCCGCCGCCGCAATGTCGCCCGCCGCCACAACCGCGCTGCTGCACTCGCGGCTGCCTGCCGCCGTCGTCGCCGCACTCGTCGGTACGCGACCTCGCTGCACTACATTTTACTATTTCATTTCACTATGAAAATATCATTTCACCTCTCTATGAATATCTCATGTCACCTCACTACGAACATTTCATATTACCATACTATAAACGTCTCGTCTCATTTCACTATAAAATCTCATGTCAGTTCACTATGAACATCTAATGTCACCTCACTACGAACATTTCATATTACCACACTATCAATATCTCGTCTCATTTCACTATGAAAATATCATGTCACTACATTACGAACATCTTAAATCACTTTATTATCTCACACATATTATCTTATAAACAAAAAAGATATTTTTATGTCATGGTGCTTTACTGGCACAAATATAAATTAGAACATACCCATAATGTATAATTTTTTTTTTATTATGCTACAAACAGCCATTAAAAAGTTATAATTCATCTTTTTATGTTATATAAAAATATAAACGAGTAATGCAATATATACAATATTAGAAGTGTATGTAGTTAATTGACAAAATTGAATCATACGCCTATAAAGTAAGCATATACAGGGATAAAAAAAAAAGAAAACCTATAATAAAGTAATATAGTAAAAACGGATACATACAGAATTGAACTAAAAATATGGCATAATACTGATATAACCCTCAGATTCCACTAACCAACTCTTAGAATAATTTGTTGTTTAGTTACAAGTATTTTGTGACATTCCTAATAGTCTCATTTTTATCAGTGTACACTTTGAAAAGTTAAGTGACATTTTTACAATGTGCACTGTTTTATAGATTTCAGTGAAGCAAAGTTGGAATTGATTAAAGAACAACTCGGCTCAAAAGATGTTCAAATGGAAGATGGCGAAAAGGAGACTAGTCAACCCAAACCTGGTATGTAGTAAAAGCAGCTTAATAAAAAGTAATATATAATATATGTATAAAGTAGTAAAAATATAAGCAATAATAAAGTACTTATTGCATCTAAAAACATCTTTATTTCTATATTTCTCTATAACATCGATAGCTTCGGTCAGTTGAATTTAGCGTATATGTTGCAACAGCTTTTTACAAAACAAAATATCAACTAACTACGAAAACATTTGATATTTTAATAATAAAAATCGTAATTTACTTAACAACGTGAAGATAAATAGATATGACGGTCCTTCGCACCGGATCGTCGTAATTGGCTCGATCTTATATTGAGTGTGTGTATGTAGATAATATTGTTCCGTAAATACAATAAATATGTAGAATGCGTGAGTAGTGCATGGTGTACGTTGCGTGCGACAGAGGCGGGGCGCATGCGGCGCGCGTGCCGGCTGGTGGCGTGGGCGCGGCGGCTGTGCGCCGAGCGGCGGCTCAAGGACTGGCTGGGCGGGCCCGGCGCCGCCTTCTGGCGCCCGCTGCTGCGCCTGCTGTGCTACCCGCGCCCGCCGCACGAGTACGCCACGCACACACACACACCAATACACCCACACACACACACTTCGTACAATAACTACACGATCCTTGATTGTCACAACTATAGAAACAAATGGCTCTATTGTACCTTCATACTGCTTAGAAAGGAACGCCAGTCTTGGTCAATAAACAATGAATGACCTTATATATGGTGACGATGAACCGTCGACTGAGAAGGAGAGGCTTGTTTAATAATTAATGGCTGAAATTATAATGGCTAATAATAAATCTTGATCCTCTAACAATCCACTATTTATATTTACACATACAAAAACTGTAAAATTCTTTTTGATTGTTTTATCTAATGTTATAATAATTTTATTATTAAATTTTATACTATTGTAAACAGCACGTGGCAGGAGGGTGCTCAGTACGCCCAGCTGGAGGAGAACACGATTCGGTTGTTCGCGGAGTTGACCGTGTGTCACGCCGCCAACCAAAAGTTATTCGCCTCCACCTTGCACAGTATACTGGAGTCACTGAACTGTGTTGGTGAGTTTCAAATTTATCTATTATTTGTTGTGTACAAGAATACATTTCTTACATACAAAAAGAACTACAGGTTTTTTTATATTATATACTTTTTTAATATTGTGACCTAACAAATATTTACATAATATATTTTATACTGCAATAAAGAAATACATAGAGAAGAAGAAGAAGTGAAATAGACAGAGAGTGAAATACACTCGTTAACGTAACAATAGAAACAAACACTGAAGCTAACCTTCAATGTCTATATGCAATTATATTACCAATGTCTCGCCGCCGTAGGTTTAAAAGCAACAATGTTATTAAATTGAAGTTAGTTGAAAATATATCCACTCCAGAAAAGACGTGTGTTTTCTTCTTGCACTCTAAATTGATATTCAAAAGTGAACAAAAACTTAACACAATAAACACAAACGAAACCAATTTACAACTAAAAAGTTGTAAATTGGTTTATTTCAAATTGACTATGGCTTTTTAAACTCTTACATGTTAAACAGTTTAATATATTTACTATATTAGCACATATAGAAAATTGCATTCATTTTAATCATAAAATTTGCCATAGGCATTTACAATAACACAAATGCTGTCAGAATCGGTACTGTGAACTTTTTTTCCACATTAATAATTGTTGTTTTATGTATCACTGTGAGTTTCTGTATGACTGTTATATGTAAAACATATTTCTTTACATTCCATAGTACTTAATACGGTATCATTTTCTTCCATTAATCATAGTAATATTTTAAGGTTGTAAGAGATTATGTTGACTAAATTTGTTTGATCCCATTATGTTAATTAATAAAGGTCACCTGTCAATACCCACTAATACTTCCAAAGAGGGTTGACGTCATACAGGCGGCCGGTAGTTAAACTATAAGTCAAATCTTTTTGTAATATGGATAGAAACATATTACGCCGACCCCAAATAATCATTGGGATAAGGGTAGGAAGATGATGATATATCATATCACTCACTATAAGTTGCATTCGAGAATAAGAAATATTAATGCAATCCTGCTACTTGATCAGGTGTTTCCGTCAGTGTTAGATGTACATGAGCGTTTGAGCGTAATATGAACGGTGACCGGGACAGGTCCGGAGGGCATCTCGGGGTTCACCCGCGCGCTGATCCTGCGGCTGGTGCTGTCGGCGGAGCGCGCCACGGTGGCGCTGCGCTGGGCGGGCGGCGCGGGCGGCGCGGGGGGCGCGGGGGGCGCGGGCGGCGCGGCGCCGGCCGTGGCGCCCGGCCACCCCGCGCACCACTACCACGCGCTCGTGGCGCTGCCGCTGCACACCACCGTGCGCGCGCTGCTCATCGCGCACAGGCCGCCGCGTTAGTACACACCGCATACTTGTACACCCTCCGCCCGCGCGGAATGTACCTTGCATTACACACATATTTCACTTGTGCAATATTGTACTATCGTACAAGTAAAAAGTAATCATCTACACCTATACACATACAGGTATATTCATTTTAAATGTTTTAACCAATGAAAATGATGTAATGAATGACGAGATTCTTTAAACTAGTTTAATATTATGGAAGAGAATAATATTGAGAAACATTACATAATACTTGATTTATTTGTTTAGTAAAAATGGTTTGTTAATTTATTGTATAACATGTATAGTGCCAATAATAGAAGAGAGCGGGCGGCTGTGCGCGAGCGTGGGCGCGGGCGGCGCGGCGGGCGGCGGCGCGGCCGGCGCGGGCGGCGGCAGCTCGGCGGCCGTGCTGCGCAGCGCGTCCGACACGGCCATCATGACCGCCGCCGAGGCCTGGGAGTTAACGCTCGCCGCTGCCAGCGCCTCCAAGGACAAGCGCGTCAAGGACGTCAAGAACACCTCGCTCAAGCAGCAGAACAGCAAGAAGCGACAATCTAAAGCAGCCAACGACGCCACCGTGCTCACCGTCGCCGATGGTAACATATTATGGACTTCTTTTAATTTAAATAATAAAAATTATTTGTTGACATTTTAAGAGGAGACACTAATCTCATTAAGGTTTAAGTAATATTAATAAGATTTAAAAGTGAATACTTTTATCCGGCTCAAAGGATCATGATTAGAAAAACTATCTAATATTGTCTGGAATTAAAATTTAGTAGACAGTCTTGATCTGTATATAACATATTTATTTCACCATCCGTGAGTCGCATTTAAAAGTGAATGCAACTGTCATGTAGATATGGGATACTCAATTTTTTTTTTATCCTTTATAGATTGATACACTTGTATATTTCGTTGATAACAATATTAATAATGATTTGTAATGGTGGTGGGACAGTGGAGCTGCTGGAGTCGACGATCCTGGTGCAGGTGGCGGGGCTGGAGGGCTTCGTGCCGGGCAGCTGCACGCTGGCGCAGCTGGCGGCCGCCGCGCCGCACGTCTGCGGCCCGCACCTCACGCTCACGCTGCACCTCAACACCAACGGAGGTACACACTCCACTCTCGCGTATATACACACCACTCGTATATCGTTCCCTTCCAACATATGCCCTGTGGTTTGAACTCTGCGATGTATTTTATTTACTTGTTATATTACTCTTGTATATGGGTTAATAATACATAAAAAAATATAGTACAAATAGACGCATACATATCTTTTAGGCATTGTAAAGGGAGCCAGGGACATAGACATAGATATTTTACAGTTTGGAAAGATGTTTATTTCTAACACTTTAATGCACAGTAAAATCTTAAATTATAGGTTATAGAGTTCTTAAGAAAAGAATGAGTACAATGGCGGAATTATCCCATAAAAGGGATTTCTTTCAGTCGACTTTTGAATGTTTAACAGAAATTGTAAATTAGTGAAAACAAAAAATAATAAGAGCTAATTAAATAAAAACCAAAGAATAATAGGTGTTACAGTTACAACATTGGTACTGGATAGCATAACACATCCAAATGATACTTAATACATCTATCTAAAAGAATTATATCTGCATAACACTTCTAATATTCTAAGTATGAAGTAACATAAATCTCATGTTAAAAATTTACAATTATAAGAATACTAATAAACAATACATTATAATACATACATATAAATACATAACTAAACATATATTTAGGATGTTTAGATGTTTGTTAATGATAATTTTGTAAATAGATCATTTAAGCCCCTATATTAATACAGTTACTAAATATTTGTACTTTACTAAGACTTCCGGTTCTAAGAGTATCGTCGGGTTTCCTTATGAAATTTGTACTGGCGTGTTTGTTGAGACTGGTGCCTTTAATATGTTGCTAGTTATTGGAAATAATTTTTGACCAATTATCAAACCCCTAACTTTATCTGATTTAAAAAAAAAAGGCACAAGTGTCATCAAAGACGCCAGTGCAGATTTCATAAGGAAATCCGGCGAGACCCTTTCTTTTTTATGCAACTTTGAATGACAAGCAAGCTGACGGCCCTTTTGATAGAAAATGGTAACCGCCGCCTATAGAATATAATACGTCACAGTTACTCGGAATAATAAATAAATAATAATTTACAGATGTATGGTCAGGTCCCACTTGGGATGGCGGCGGAACCACGAGTGCGTCAGCAAACAACGGTTCCAGTGCTATACTAAGAGAATTTGGCGCGTGCGGTGGGCTCGCGCTAGTCGCTGCCAAGTTACCCAGACCCCACGCACCGCCACCGCCACCGCCCACGCTACATCATCATCACCATCACCACGACCTCGACTGGGTCAAGCTGGACGATCCTTATGAGGTCAGCGTTGTTAATTGTTTCATCATATTAGCTGTTAACTGTCCACTGTTAACATAGGTCTCCCCCATAAGGAGGAAAGGGTTGCCAGTGGTTGTCATGGACAGTTGAGTTAGTAGCCACAGTTAGGTTTCAAGTGAGTGCTTTAAGTGAGGGACACTTGTCCATTTCTTGATAATTGAGTTCCCTTAGTCGCCTCTTACGACATCTACGGGAAATAAGGGTTAATCCATTTTATCCCGGGACCATACGATAATTATTAACTGTTGTTTATTATGTCGTATTATTCATTATGCCAAATTTGGTTTTTTCAACAGGTTTATGTCTTTTAGGTTTTTGGTTACGAGATGTATTCTAACATAAGAATTAAATAATGTGGTAATCATTGTTTTGTCTCTTACTATCAGTAATTTTTTTTTATTGGGTAAAAACATTCTATTTTTTCAAGTTTCATAAAACGATATTTATAAAATTTTATAACAACCGGTTGCACAGTTTCAAATATTTTATAATAATGTATAATGAAAAATTGTTTGCCAGTATTCTATTATGAGCGAATCAAGGTTTTCAAGCAGACACGACAGCGAGCGAGCGCGTGGTGTGCGAGTGGTGTGCGAGTGGTGTGTCATGGTAACGTGTGTGTGCGCGCGCAGGAGGTGGTGGAGCTGGGCGGCAGCGGCGCGGGCGGCGGCGGCGGCGGCGGCGGCGGCGGCGGCGGGGGCGGCGGCGGCGCGGCGGGCGGCGAGGAGGGCGGCGCGGGCGGCGGGTGCGCGGGCGTGCCGGTGCACGCGCTGGCGGCGCTGGGGCTGCTGCTGAAGCTGCCCGGCTACGCGCACGCGCTGCTCGACGAGGGCGCGCGCGCCACGCACCTGCTGCGCCTGCTGCTCGGCGTCGCGCACGACGAGGACGGATGTCAGTCCGCACTTTGGATAACTTATTGTAGGCTCAGCACCGCACTAGGCGTGCACCTCTTCACACCACCATGAGGAAACAATCATATCGGACATTAACTGTCTATTGCTGAACATTGAACATAGACTTCCCCCATTAGGAAGTATTACTAGTATAGTCGCCATGTTCAGCAGGCGCGATGGCAACCGCAATTAGGTTTTAGTTGATGATATATATTTTTTTTATACAACTTAGAATGGCAAACAAGCTGACGGCCCACCTGATGAAAAGTGGTAACCGTCGCCTATAGACATGAGCAGTGCCATGGACATAACAGAGTATACTGTTTCGCCCATAATACCTCCCATGCGTTGCCATTCTTGAGGACTCAGATATTATTCCTCTATACCCTGTAAATTCACACCATATCCCACCTTTCAAACCGAAACACAGCCATGCAAACACAACTGCTTTACGGTTGAAACACGAATTAGACAGAGGTACCCAAGCAAATAACTTTTATACAAAGTCTCTTTCTGATATTTAAAGAGGAACACTGTCGCTCATATCTTGTCCTACGACATCAATGGGAAAGGAAGGGCCACTTATTATATGTCGACACCACGCGATAAGACTCAATACGAACCTTCCGTCGAAGATCAACAGACACCGGGCACGAGTGTGCCTCGACAATTTTAAGACCGTTTTATTAATCTCCCGTATTATATATGACCGATAATAACGTACTGTATTCGATTTGTATTTTTATCACTGAAATTTCCCATCGAGCGATTTTTTTTAAATCAAATTATTACGAAAGTTATTTTTAAAATATTAACAAATATATCTCGACCGTATACTCGTTGTATATTGCAGGTAGTATCGTGGTGGGCGGCGGCGGCGGCGGCGGCGGGCAGTGGTCGCTGGGCACGCTGCCGTTCCGCGTGGTGTCGCGGCTGCTGGAGGCGGCGCCGGCCGGCAGCGGCGAGGGCCGCGCGCTGCGCCGCTCGCTGCTGGCGCTGGGCGCCGTGCGCCTCGTGCTCGCCTGCCTCGCCGTCTTCACGCACCACCGCCCGCACTCCGCAGAGGTACGCCGCCTGCACTCTGACACCACGCATGTTTCCATATTCCATAGACAAACACAAGAAAATATCTCTCATCTATCTATATATAGTACATTACTGCAGCGGCCAGCAACCGAGGCATTGATGGACGAACGTGCAAATGTGGACCGAGGCGTAGCCGAGGCACACATACTTGAGTCCATCAATGCCTAGTTGTAGCCAAGGCTTGTATAGTACTTTTCTCAAACAATGCGCGGAAATCAAAAACACGATTTTACTTTTTACGTTCAATGACGAATAACGAACAATAATAATTTTTCACGCGCCATTATGTTCCTTTGGTTTTTTTTAATAAACAGCTTCCTATTTGCAAGCCAGTTCGAAATTTAAATAAAAACTTTTATTAGTTACCTCCTCGGTAGCCATGTTTCAAAGTAAAAGGTCATTCCATTTTAAATTACAGGGCAGATATGAGTTTACATAGTAATTTATCTGACCGCAAAACACGACAGATATGGATTTTTATACAACTTTTGCCGGCCGCTGCCCGCATGTATCTGGTCAGTACGGCAATTTTGATTTATCTCGAAGAAGATTGTCAAAATAATGCTCACATTTCCAAGCATGTTTGAGAAAAACATATTTATGTATATGAATAGTAACTTTATTTGCTTCATTATCATATCTGCCTCTAACTATTCACTGCTGAACATAAACTTGGGGTTATTGCCAATAGTTGCCACGCTTGGCAAGCGGATTTGCAACTGCAATTAGGCTTTGGAGACATTTTAAGAGGGACGCTGCTGTCTCACCCTCTCTTAGTCGCCTTTTACAACACCCACGGTAAAGAAAGGAGTAGCCTATTCTAAGCCGGGACTAAACGGTAATCCATTTGCTTGAATACAAGTTATTACATTAGAAGTATTTTAAATTAAAAGATATCACATCAACTGTTACCAAAATGTCGACATTTTCTGAAGGCACTTGTGCAATGATTCAACAGAACAGCCAAGCATCGAATGGTTCGTCAGCGAGCAAATCCGAAGAGAAGAGCCAGTTGTATTGGGCGAAGGGCACCGGGTTCGGCACTGGCTCCACGCAGCAGTCGTGGAACGTGGAGCAGGCGCTGGTGCGGCAGCGCACCGAAGAGGAGCACGTCACCGTGCTGCTGCAGGTAAGTGATCACTGTCTATCGTACACATTAGATGAAGCTAGAACTTGCGTGAAGAAGAGGAAATTGTTGGAGTTATTTTGTTAATTTTCAGAATCAAGTGAATAAATAGTTCTGCATATTTTTAATGGTTTACTTATAAATTTATTAGAAATATTGAGGGTTATTCTCATTGACACCGGTTGTCCAGGTATCACTAAATATAGGATTATTCGGCTCGAAGGACCAAATGTTAAAGAGCAAATGAATGATGAGATTTTCAGGAGGGACAGGAGTTATTTTTTTTTTATTTTAACCTCTATGTGATTAGTGTTTACTAGTGGATTTTGTAACAATATTTAAAACCCTTGACAGGTATTAGCGTCATATATGAACCCTGGTGAAAAGTGGCCCCCTGAAGAGGGGTCACAGGAAGGAGAAGCTTCTACGTCGGCGGCTGGGAGTGGAGTTTCCTCCGGTGGTGCGACGAGTGCGGAGGAGGCAGATACTGAGTCGGAGGAGAGCGACGCGCGCGACATGCCGCCGGAGTTCATCGACCTCATCGTCGGCAGCTCGCTCGTGCCTGCCATCTGCTCCTACCTTAGGAACGATTCGGGTATGCGAAAATTGTCTATAGTTCGTTGAGAGAGTAAATTTAATAAAATGCCATTGAGACTGAAGAGTTAACTTTCTCATTTATTGAAGTTTTAATAGCTTTTTATTTATATTCGATGCTCTTTCTATATAAACTAAGTTTGTAACATATGTTGACATGTATAAAAAAAAATTGTCGTTATTGACTGGCGTGTGCGGCGTGTGCGGTGTGCGCGTGCAGTGCTGGACATGTCGCGGCACATCCCGCTGTACGTGTGCGTGCTGCGCGTGGCGCGCGCGCTGCACGCGCTGCGCGCGCGGCGGCTGGCGCCCGCGCTGCGCGCGCTGCCGCGCCTGCTGCACCAGATGTCGCGCACCACCAACTCCTACGCCACCAAGCTCAGGTGCCACATCCTCACCTACACCTCACTTACTTACTTACTTACTTACACAAACGACCACCTTCTCGATTCAGACGATTGTTTTTGTTTATTACTTTGTATCTCCGACATTTATAAAAGGATTTTTTTTTTTATCTGAAAGACCTTACTTTCAGGTTGATCCTGTATAAATTCTATCAAAATCAGTTTAGCAGTTTAATTTTCAAATCAACTGATTATGCCATGATTGAAATTGGTATTTTTTTTTCGCATAAAAATATCTTAAATTATTTTTATCAAGGTAGTTTACAGCAGGGGTCTTATCGTATATTTACATATGGGGCCAGCTAAGCCGTTATATGTCGACCTAGGGGTGCTCAAATTTTAACTCTTTGTAAAACCTGTCTCAATATTGTTAGACTACGATTAATCAACTCTAAGCGGCTGCAACTATTGTATGATGCAGGATTGTCGTCTAGATAGGGTGTTTCATACCATAGATATAAATTTTCCACACAATATGCATTTTTTAGTTAAGATCAACCAGGGAGCTCCCTTGGTCTACAGAGTCACTTTTTATATAGCACGAACTCTTTGTCTTTTTTTTTTATTTAGAATAATTCCTTAAAAATTATATTATTTTTTTCTTTCAGAATGAGTAAAAAAAATATATTCGGAAAAATGACATATAGCCAAAGATTTAGTACGTCAAGTAATTCAGAATTATCAGAGGAGGACGAGGGACTCGCGTCTCTAATTGCTGACATACAGGTAATCTTTTTAATAATTTCATTCTAGATTACTTTTATTTTTTTAATAAATCATTCTTAAAATATGGTATAATATATACACTTTTTTTTTATTGTAAACAAAAAATAAATATAATTGCATGTTTTGTCAGGCGACGTCTGCGCTGATGTGCCGGTGGGAGGGGGAGCCGGAGGGCGGCGGCGCGGCGCGGCCCGTGAGCGGCGCCGGCCGCGAGGCGCGCTACATCGACCTCATGCGCACCATGCAGTTCGGTGCGTGCGCACGCACACACACGCACGCACACCACCACACACCACCACACACGACTGCACAAGCACACACACGACCGCACACGACCACACACGACTGCACACGACAACTCACGCCCGCACACCACCACACACGCCCGCACACGCACACACACGCCCGCACGTTACCACACACGACCGCACACGACTGCACACGACCACTCACGCCCGCACACCACCACACACGCCCGCACACCACCACACACGCCCGCACACGCACACACACGCCCGCACATCACCACACACGACCGCACACGACTGCACACGACCACACACGACCGCACACGACCGCACACGCACACACACCACCACTCACGCCCGCACATCACCACTCACGCCCGCACACCACCACACACGCCCGCACACGCACACACACGCCCGCACACCATCCGGGCTAGCTCGCTACACCCACTGTCGTCAATTTTTTTTTTTATATGAGAATAGACTAAAACATTTTAACATAAAGAGTTTGGTTGCGCTTCGTAAAATTTTTGGCCTACCATATTTATATAAAATTGAAAATAATAAATTGGAGAGTAATTTATTGGAGTACATAAACCTGAGAGCCACTGAACACTCTTCTCGTACAACTAAACTTTTTTCTGTACCGTTCGCAAACAACGTTGTGTCATATAATAATCCAATGTACAGAATGTGCAAATTGTACAATGGCATTGATTGTAAATCGGATGTTGACATATTCTATCAGAAATTTTCATTGCATCGAAGCACTTTACATACATTGATAACCTGATAGTTTATAAGCACAGTTTGGTAGTTTGTTTTTGATCCTTATTTTGTATGTAGTTTTTATCATTCATTCTTTTTTGTATTAAAAATCCACTTGTTCTGTTTCACCTCTATGAATGTTGAGTACAACTATAGTTGGACTGCAAACTTATAAAGCTATTGTTGTATTCTATTGTTAAAAGTTTTATTGGGTACAAGATATATTACATTTAATATATATAAGTGACTTAACATTACACCAACTATTTATTCAACTAATAATAACAAAATTATAATAGTATGTTAAAAAAACCATTCAATAACAATACATTGGATTCAGTTCAATGTCAGAGCTAATTAATAATAGAGTACAAATTATGTCATTCAGTAAATAATTCTTCCAAAAAACGATTTAATAAAAACGACGCTGCAAATTCAAATTATGCAACAGACGCTGTTGCGCGCGGTATCACATTTTTGTTCGGTACAGCGTATGATACATAAACGCTCGAGAGGTTAAATAATATTTTGTAATCAATGAACATCATGTACAGTTTCCTATAATATTTTCCACATGTGTTAACCGTGCAGAGACGTTCGAGATGCTGGCGGAGTGTTCGGAGAGCTCGTCAGGGTTCCGGTTCACGGTGCCGTACCATTTCGAGGGCGCGGTGAGGGCGGCGGGCGAGCGCGCGCACCCCGCGCGCATGAAGCGGCTCGCGCAGGAGGCCGCCACGCTGGCCACCAGCCTGCCGCTCTCCTACTCCTCCTCCGTGTTCGTGCGCACCGACACCGACCGGCTCGACGTCATGAAGGTAACTCGCGTACTAGCCCTCACCGTCAGGGGAGGGGGGTGCTTATTGTTAGTAATGAGGTTTAACTGATCCATTGCCGCCAATACAGGTCAGGTCGACATCCACGCGGTTTCCTCTCGAAACCATTGTGGTTAATTCTAGTGGAATTCGTCACGATGGGTTAACTGACCTGTTACCATCGTCACCTATCATCCCTCACTTGTGCTCTGCCAGCGTATACCAATAACGCAGGCGGGATTACCATTCCATTATCAGACATTAAAAAAAAACCTCACCGTCGCTAGCTGTCGCTCAAACAAGACATTATCCGGCTCGAAGGGCCACATGATAAAGGCGAAATTAAAATCTTGGAAAAATTTATCAATTTAAGAATTAATTGTACAATAACTTGATTTTTAAACATAAAAGCCAATTTACTACATCGTCTATGAAAAGTTAAAAAATAAAATTTTTTACGCCAGGTGCTCATAACGGGCCCATCGGATACGCCATACGCGAATGGGTGCTTCATCCTAGACGTGTACTTCCCCGCCGAGTACCCCGCCGTGCCGATGCACATCAACCTGGAGACCACCGGGCGCCACTCGGTGCGGTTTAACCCTAACCTGTACAACGACGGCAAAGTCTGTCTCTCGGTGCTCAACACTTGGCACGGCCGGCCCGAAGAGAAGTGGAATCCGCACACGTCCAGTTTCTTGCAGGTATTTACATTTCAGTCTCCTTTCTTATTATCTATGGTTTAAGTTTAAACTCGTTTTTACTTACAATGTGTTTTTTCTAGTTAAAACTAGTGTTTACTAATTTTGCCTTCATTGCAACTAGAATTTACTCAAATAGCAAAAATAAATATTTACTTATTCTTTCTACCCAAAGGTTGTCTGGAAGAGATTGCTTAGCAATAAGACCGCCTTTTGTACTACACTATACTTATCGAAAATTGTTCAACAAATCCTGTAATGCTGGTGCAATAAGGTGTTAAATAAATAAAGTTATATAAAAAAAATCTAAAAATAAGGATAGTGTTGAATCCATTGTTAATATGGTCAAATGCCGCTGTTTGATAATCTGCAATAATATCCATCGTGGGAGAGTCAATTAATGTGTCCTCGTTACATGTGCAGGTGCTAGTGTCGATCCAGTCGCTGATTCTAGTCCCGGAGCCGTACTTCAACGAGCCGGGCTACGAGCGCAGCCGCGGCACGCGCGTCGGCAACAGCGCCTCGCTCGAGTACAACTCCAACATCTACCAGGCGTGCGTCCGCTGGGCCATGCTCGACCACCTGCGCAACCCCGAGCCCTGCTTTAAAGAGGTACGTACTGCACGTTGCTAGCAGCGCCTCGCTCGGCAACAACGTGTAATAGGCGTGTAATACGCGCCATCAGGTGGGCCGTATGCTTGTTTACCACCTCAGTGTAAAAATAGGCGTGCACTGCGCACGCTGGAATATGTTGGATAACTGTAACATTTCTTTTTGAAACTTTGTCTAGACAAACAATTATTTTAATAATACTAATCCGTCACATTGAAAGAGATTTAACATATGCAACAAATTTCCTTATAAAATTGTATATTATTATTACAGGTTATACAAACACATTTCTGGATTAAACGAAACGAGATAATGCAAACGGTGGCGAATTGGATTACTGAGCTGGAGGGACAGAGCGGCGACGAGAGGACGCAGCGTACCATACAGCTCAACCTTATGGCGCTCAAGGTAATATTTATTACACAATCCCATATCTCATGTTAGTAAGTCGATTAGTGCCACAGTCGACGTATCTTCGGTTATACGAATACCAGCTAACGCGAGCAGTCAACGCGGACCATTTGCTGAATGCAGTGCGTCACATAAAACACGTACAATACGTCGAGTGTTCTGCGTTGTTGTTATATAATATATAACTGATATTCCGCGTAGCGTTTAGTGAACTGTATACAGTATATGGCCAAACACATCTCGAATACGGCACGAATTTTGAGTACTAAGTTTTGTAGTATTAAAACTACTGAGGTGGCAAACAAGCATACGGCCCACCTGATGGTAAGTGGTTATGTGGCTTATAAACATCTACGGCACGAACTACACACTACTGCGTTACTATTTATTATGTTTTTGACAGCCCATCGTGCTATTTGCTACCAGTGTAGTATTACCAGAGGGAGACTGTGTTTTTACCGTGGAGCAGTTGTGTTTGCATGACTGTGTTTCGGTTTGAAGGGTGGGATATGGCAATGAATGGATAGACTACAGAGGAATAACATCTGAGTCCTATAGAATAGCAACGCATTATATGCATATTATTTACAAAACATTATACTCTGTTATGTCCATGGTACCGCTTATGTCTATAGGCGACTGTTACCACTTTCCATCAGGTGGGCTGTTAGTTTGTTTGCCATTCTATGTTGCATAAAAAAAGATAGTAGTGTGTAATTATGTATAACGTATGGTTTATATCCGGCAGCGGCACTACGTGAAGCTGCAGGAGGAGCTGGCCAAGCTGCCGGTGCCGGCGGGACTCGAGGACCTGGACGAGCCGTTCCAGCTGCCGGCCGCGCCCTCTCCCAGCCCCGCACCCGCTAACCCCGCTGCAGCCGCTGCAGCGCCGTGTGCCAGTGCAGCGCCCGCCACGACCTCGCCGCCACCACACCCCACGCACGGCACGCATCCTGTACCGCCCACCAATGACGAGATTGACCACGACATGGAGAAGATCGTATCGCAGGTCATCGACTGATTGCTGGCCGACGCGTACTGAGACATGACCGCGTCCCTCGGGCCCCGAACACGCGATCCTGCAGGGCGGCCCGAGTAACGACAGGAAGGCCAATGACCTCGGCCTCTCGACACTTGAAATGTACGGTTTGCTTCGCAAAGACATTGTTTTATTAATCTTATATCGGTATGATAATATATCGAAGTCTTATTTTGACAGCGTTCCTTGTCAGAGTTACTTAATTTGACAGCAAATGTCACGATTTGGCAAAGAGCGATACCTGTTCTTATTTTAATAGCGTCGTGTTCATTTTCTACGTGTAACCTTTGTACAAGTAGCTCAAGCGTGTATTCATCGCATGTTGGGTCTCAATCAATGAAAGTACAAGGAATCCGCGCACCGCAACGCCGAGACGCGGTCTCGAGCGTGAGCATCACTAGTGAGTTTACTGTTCGTACATATTTTATTTGTTATGGAGGATTTCTTTATATAGTTTTTTTTTTAATAGGTTTTACTTTAGTATTAGTGGGACCTCTCTTTAGTTTAACACGTATTGTGATACTAAAATGGGCCCGCGTGGCGCCCGGTAAGCTTTTAGAAGGTGTATATGTACGGGCCGACGATAATTGTATTATAGTAGTCTCATTGGATATCGGACACAGCGCTGTCGCGTGTCGTTTGGACGTGGGCTCTCAAGCCGCGCGGAGAATTCGACTTGTCATATTCATATCGGACGAACTGCGTGTTTGAGGCGTAGTAAATTGTAATGGAATACGTGGCGTGACACGCGAGCTGTTGGACGTGTACTTGAACGGTGTACCTATTTGTATGTAAAGCCAGTGTATACAGAGGTATTCCGCGCGACGCCGCGGCGCCGTATGCCGACATATGCCGCCGTATGCCGCCGTGCGGGCGGACATCGATTATAATGTATAGTGAAATATAATTTGGTGTATATAAAACTGTCGTTTTAATTATTCGCTATTAAGTATATTGTATGTATCGATAGTCGCTCTGAAAGAGTTGGCGGAGGCGCGATCGAGCTAATTTTAGTAAATTATTATATAATATTTAATACCTACTCGATAATAAAATTATGTATAGGCCTAGCCATCACATTTTATGTATTGATTTGGTTTTATTTTGTGAATGAACTGACAATAACATGATTTATGTGTTATATTGTGTATGGTGCGGCGCGCACCGCTGCCATCCGGGGATCACTGTACCGCACTGTTGACTGTATATAAAAATCACCAGTACACAAAAATAATGTATTTCATTGTACTTTCATTGCCGGGTAAGTGACGTAGGACGTTTCTTGTTATATCTGACTGTGAATTTTGGAATGTAAATAAAAATTTATGTTATCGTATTTGGTTTTTCATTATTCCCCCGTCATTACTTGGCTATTATATAAGATATAATGGACAGGTTGGCAAAAATTGTAACAGTGAATTCAGACTATTATTCGGACCCGAAAACCAGTAGACATTCTTTCCGGAAAACTACAAATATCCTGTTTGTTATTTTCATTTAAAATTATATAATCTATCATATTATGTCATAAAGAAATATAGTTAAAATACCAAAAAAAAAAAACAGCAATGTAATATCATTATGAAAATCCAACTGCGTCGCTTATAACAGCTGTGTAAGATCAACGTCACAGGCGTACGAAAACTACTCACAAGGAAGCGCCGTTAATAATGCGGTGTATATGTCCCACGTCGCATTGAGCACATTACGCAATAAAATATCAAATATTAAATATGGCGCGGTGTTAAAATTAAAAATCGTTAATTGTATGGCTGTGGTGCATTTTCGGTTGGTAAATAATTTGCCATCTGATTCAGGCCATTCATCTGAATCAGCTGTTTCCGTTTTGGCCAACTTGTCCCTTCCAGCCTGCATAAAAACGTGAATATAATTTTCTATATTTACAAGGGAGATAATAATATCTTGAATATAAAGTAATAAATATGGGGGCAGACTCAAGATTTTTTTATACAACTTAGAATGGCTAACAAGCTGACGGTCCACCTGATGGATAGTAGTAACCGTCACCTATAGAGATGAGCAGTACCATGGACATAACAGAGTATACTGTTTCGCCCATAATACCCCCCATGCGTTGTCATTCCGGTGTTATTCCTCTGTGCCCTGTAAATTCACACTATATCCCACCCTTCAGACCAAAATACAGTCATGCAAACACAACTGCTTCACGGTAGAAACACGAATGGGACAGAGATGCCCAAGTAATCGACTTTTGTACAAAGTCTCCCTCTGGTATAAGATTACCAACAATGTAACGGTACAACAAAGCTTGGACCATACCACAGTATAAATAATAGTATTATTATCACTAAGATAATGCAGGTTTCTATCAGTGAGTTTGTAATATCGGTTGAGTATTTTTTGAGTTTATCCATTACAAACAAAGAAACAATTCTTATAATTTTAGTAAATATGAACAATATGATTACAGATTTTCACTATAATTGTCAATATGTGTAGAGAATGTTGAGGTATTAGGTACACGTTTAGTGTCTTACTGGTTGATACCTATTAAGGAAACTATTATTGGGTTAAATAAAAAACAAAGTACATCTCAAATTACGGCATTTTATTGTTGGTCTATTTACACGTCATAAAAAAAACCACTTAAACAATTATTATGACTTCGTTATAAAATTCAACGCCGACTCTATCTAGCTTACATCTAGAAATACTAACGTTCACTAAACATTGCCTCTATCGTATGGTATAAATAATTTATTATCTATTTATATTTTCAGTGACTAACTAGAACATAGCGATTCTTACATATTTTATGGCCCATCACAGATGGTTCTATTTGTGACACTCTTATATATTTACATAGTTATCATATTTCAGTATACCTATCTACAGTATCTATTGGTATGTTTAACACAGTGAGAACATTGGAAATCGCCACATATCCCAACTATCTAGTCGGTTCTACTGTAACATTTGTGTAAACAAAAAAAAAAATATAAAAACAAATATTAGTTATACACCTGTAGGTTATAGCAAAAATATAGGGACCTATCAATGTTTGAACAACAGCTATTATGGCACTTCGACATTATTATTTATTTGTCTAAATTGTCCTATCGAGGGTCAATATAAATTCAGTGAAAAAATATTAAGTACCAATTTTAAATTTTATATAAAACAATCTTAATTTTATATTTCAGAAACAAATTCCATAAATCTATATTTTTTTAAAACAGTTGAAAGATTACTAGACTTATCACCTAAACACGTTAAGTTGTTCGGTACCCTCGACGGAGCTAACGCGAGCACTGCTCTATTAGAGGGTAATTATTTCTTCCAAGCCTCGTCCGATTGTAGATCGAGATCTTGCGGCAACAGCTGACCTGCTTCCACACACGACTTGCAGCAGAACCTGGCGAGGAAATATTGTTCAATTGATAATTCTGCTTGGAACTTTCAATTGACTTCCAAAAGAAGGATCTTAATAATTCGCTTGTATTTTTTATGTTTGTTACCTCATAACTCCGTTATTTGTAAACAAATTTAGAAAATCCTTTTTTTTATCTGAAAGGATATCTTTGCAGATTGGTCCTATTGAAATTTTATCAAAATCGGTTCAACAGTTTAGTTTTTAAATCAAAATAACTTGTTTTGTCGCAATCTAAGTCTTTTTTAGTAAGTAGTAAGACATATAATGAAATAAATAAAGTTTAATATATAATACCTTAATAGAACGATATTATAATTAGCTTAAAAATTAAGAAAAGATCTGGAGTGGTCGACGAATAAAATAGTAAAGTTTTTAAATTTGACCGACTCCTTTAGTTAAGTGCTACACAAACACACAAAACTACCCTTACGTAAGTATTGTATAGTATGTCTATATATACCTATAAGTCACGAGAAATTAATGAACGCCCCCTGAAGAAGATTTTCGAAGTCGAAATATTTGTAGTAAACGACAAAACACTGAGTTAGACATCAAATAAAAAAAAGTTTAAAAAAATATATTGTATAGTACTCACTTAGAATAATATGGATGTCCGCAGAACTTGCTGCGTACAATCAGGTGGCAGTCCGCGAAGAACGGATTGTCTTTGCAATTCGGCGGTATGAAGATGCCTGCAACATTACACCATGATATTTCCAACGTTTCCAATTTTTGTCATATATAAACTTAAATAGCATAGTCACAGAGTAATTAGTGTGTATAAAAGTTTTCTTTCTTTAGTCATTTTGAGGCTGTGACCTTTAAATCATCAAATAATTGTCTTTTTTAGTATCATAGGGGAATCCTCAGACTAACATTCGATTTTGTTTTTATTCAAATAATTTGTTTTTTTTTTATACAACTTAGAATGGCAAACAAGCTGACGGCCCACCTCATGGAGAGTGGTAACCGTCGCCTATAGACATGAGCAGTACCGTGGACATAACAGAGTATACTGTTTCGCCCATGATACCCCCCATGCGTTGCCATTCCTGAGGACTTAGGTGTTATTCCTCCGTCCCCAGTAAATTCACGCCATATCCCACCCTTCAAAGCGAAACACAGCTATGCAAACATAACTGCTTTACGGTTGAAACACGAATGGGACAAAGGTACCCAAGCAATCGACTTTTGTACAAAGTCTCCCTCTGGTTGTTGAATGTTAATTGTCGTTTTGTGAATATGTGGGCAAGGATAATATGGACATCGATCCGATAATTATATATTCGATTCCTTTGGATATGTATGACGGAAAAAGGGCATCACCCATTTCGATATCGCTCATATCCTGTTTTCCACTATTATTTTTCAAATAACAGACTTTTAACATATTCGTTATTGGACCAATATATAGATCTAGGGGGGAAAAGGATTGTTAGCAATGGAGTTTGACAGCCCCATTGCTAACAATATACCTTATTAGGTCGACCTCCACGTGGTTCCTCCTGAAAACCATCGTGAACAATTCTTGTTGAATTCGTCACGATGGGCTAACTGACTTGCTTCATACTCATCTATCATCCTTCACTGGTGCCCCGCCGGTGTATACCGATAGCGCGGGTGGGGTTTCCATGCCATTATCAAAAAAGATATATAGATCTTGCTATATATTTACCCACCCTAGAGTGTGTATAATTCATTTACATTGGTTTGATTCAGTTATTAACTTCGGGACTGCTCAACTAACTATTAACATTTTGGGTTATCAAAAAGAACTTTAAATAAGTCACTCGTGTTTCCACTATCAAGCACAGCTCCTAGTCGAGTTGCGTAAATCATATCTGGAAACGAGTTGAACATGGAAAAAAATCATTGTTTAAGCTATGCCTATCTCGGAACTATGTGCGTGGTTGCTTGGTGATAGACACATAAGTGACGGAGATATACGGAAAATGAAAGGATGATAGGAGTAACATTGTGCATTACCTTTAACACTGATCCTGACTATGGAGGAGTCGCTAGAGTAGGAATTGCTCGCGTGGCACCCATACGCGCCGCTATCAGCCGACGTCAGGCCAGTAATCGTCAACCGCGCCTCTGCAGTACACAACACATTGTGTCAGCATCGTATGAATAAAATTTTTATAATAATCACTAGCTGCATTCCGCGACTTTGCCCGCGTAAATGAGTGTATAAAATACTATACCTATGAATGTGTTAAGTTAGGACTATCATCATTTCTGCCGTTAACTACTAGACATAAGCTTTCCCCATAAAGAGAGTTTTGCCAGTAGTTGCCACGCTTGGCAGGCGAGTTGACAACCGTTATTAGATTTTTAGATATGTTTTAAGAGGGAGGCTGCTGTCCATCCCTCGCCCTCCTTAATCGCCTCATACAACATCCACAGGAAAGGAAGGGGTAGCATAAAAGAAGGTTATATGCTGGAATCACCCGGGCGGATATATAGTATTATATTATCTGTGATTCGGATTAAGTCCATCTACCTGTGTATAGATGTTATCATAGACAATCTACAAAATCTAAAGAATTAAAAATGTGTGAACAAAAAATATTTACAAGGTTTCGACCAAGGAATATAATACTTCTCTCTCAGGATCGTTACCGAAGACGTTTCCCCACCGACATAAACACAGTACCAATGTCTGTCACACACATTGAAGTAAAAAGTCAGAGGGGCGTGCCATATTAACGTAGTATAATTATACAGAATTTTATTTTTATGGCGAGAACAAAAATTAATAATGTATAGTAAGTACATACACAATTATATTTTCTTTAAATCGATTTATATAAACATAGTACAAACGCTGCTTAGTTTGTGAGTAGATGGCGTTATGAAATATATCTAATAGTAGTTCTTATTATTATAACCGTAGGTATTATAACCAAAAAAGTCAACAAAGGCTGACCCCTGCAGCCTCCTTAATTAATTAATTAAATGACAAAAAACATTACCGGTAATCTGCGTCCTGTGGTCAGATGACAGCGGGACGCCATCTTTGGTCCAGTGCACGTTGGGCACCGGATATCCGTCCACCTCGCACGGCAGGCTCAGCTCCGAGCCCACAGCCAGCGTGGTCGATTCCGCTGAGATGCGGGTCTTAACCGGCACTGTACCATAACATTAGAATGAGACAAGGTCTATATGTACGGACGGTACCAGTAACATGCTACTGTATTACATTACAAATATACATTTTACTTGACATATACATACATTCTCAATATTTATTTCGTTATATTTTATATATTTCCCGTGACTATCCCGTCAGGGATTACAGTCATAACCATATTAATACATATATATAAGTGTATATGTATATATTAACGAATACATGTATAGGGTGTATCGGAATACACTTCAAGTCAAAAAATAAGAATATATTTTTTATAAATACCCATGGATAGATATATTTTTCCTTACCGTATGCATGAGACAGAGTAAGACGACAATGTCTGGCGTCTTCCTTTCTCAAGCAAGAAGTAATGAAAACGTATTTACAGTTAAATAAATTTGCTACTTTTCAAGGGGTCTTGTACTCATATAACAGAACTTTAAGCGATACATAAAAAATAAAATTGTACATACCTTATTGTAAAAAAAAAATTGCTACATATACATATATCGTCATGCAAAAGTCATATACCATGCACCTGAATATTAAAAAGCAAACAGCATGCATAAAAATCAATTAAAAACTTGCTTCTTTTAGTGCCTTTCAAAATATTATTAAATATTAACTATAAAATATTACCAGCGATTTAATAATATTAAAATCGTAATTATAATATTAAAAACAAATTGGTTTCCAATCAGAAACTGGAAAAGAAGCAAATTCTTTCATTAAGGAGTTCCATTCCGCGTCTTACCGGTGTAGACCGGGACTGTAATCTCGGGCGGCGGCGTGGTCCTCTCCCTCGGGGGAGCCGTCGTGAGCGACGAGCGGTCGTAGGTAGTGTAGGGCAGGTGCGACAAGCCCCGTGAGCGAGCCTCCACCCGGACCGACCATGACGCCGGCCGGCCCACGCCGTTGTATGCCTCACAAGTGTATTTATCTAGCACGTCCTCGTCTAGCCTCCTTATTAGCAACACGTTCCCTCTCGCCTCGTAAACCGAGCTGCTGAATGGCACCAGGGTCCCCCGGGAACCTCGGTACCACACCACCGAAGGCTCCGGGAAGCCGTAAGCGAGGCAGCGAATCGAGAGGCTGCGGCCGATCTCGCCCGTCACCACAGAGTTCGGCTCGCCGGCGATGCCCGCCGACGTTTCCACCGGATCTAACCACCCCCATTTGTTAGTATCTATCTACTAGAGTCTGTGAATGGTTTTTATTTTTTAAATTGAAGGTACATTCACAAACTCGTTGTTAATTGTCTAGTTAGCGAGAAAAAATGAGAAGTGATATCACCATCTGGAATGATCCTGATATGTACTTTTTAAATTAACTGTAGAATAAAAACAGAGTAACTGAATACTGTAATTTTTTGTACATATATATTTAATCTAATTATAAAATAAATAATTAACACATAATAAACTCTTTTAAAATGTTACAAAAACATTCAGATAGCAGGAGCATTCAAAACAGTTGTTTGTTAAAAGTTAACCACTGCAATCATTAAAATGATGACAACCTGTTGCGTGGGCGCATATCACTACTAGCGCCACTACGAGCGTCACTGAGAAACAACAGCGCGACATGACGGCCACAGTGCTACCACCTACACGAGTATCTCTCTAGCGTCAATCACAGCGACTAGGAACAAACGGATCGCGTACTAGTTAATTATGCTAATGGTGTTTAGATAAACGAATGTTGACTGCGAAATGCAAGCTCCCCGCCGGCAAAACGTACGCAACTCCCTTATTCACATTTTTGTTTGTTAAACTTTAGATAAGTTTTGTTCTTAGAAATTACCATTATCGATAACAATTTATACTTGTTATCCAATATTCTGTCATTGGATGATATCGTCTCATTTAATTCCAAGAATTTCTAACATGAATGAACAGTAATGTTTTAAAAATAAATTTACATTTTTATCAATTGCTTATTTAACTGGAAATTACGAAAAATGACAGTTATATATCTTTTAAAGTATTGTTTTAAATAACGTTTTATCTTTATACTCAGAGGTCAGGATATTTGTTTTGCTCGGTTGTAATTGTTAGACACGAATAGACAAGTGATAAACATTGTACGTGATGCATAGGTCAGCTCGCTGATTAGAATTGCTTTGTTTATATTTAGTTGTCTGTGTATTGGACATTAAGACCTTGTTCAGAGGATAGGTATATCATAACATAGGTACAGACAAAATATACCGATTAGTAAAATGTGTCATTACATTATCTCATATTGTTTAAATTATTAAATAAATATTATTTAGCAACACATTTTTTTTTTATCAGAGTATGAATGAACATATGAAGCAATTTATAAATTAGGTAGCAGATAGGTACATTATCATTTTTAGTTTTACTATTAAAGTAATAATATCAATAGGTATAATGGAAATTGTATCTAGAATTTGTTCAAAATAACAAGATTAAATTAATTAAACGAAATTGTTCTAATTGGACTGCAGTAAGGTCAAATGTAGCTATAACGATAAACTCAAGAGATTACCCATTTGATTAATAATGTAAATAATTAATAATATGCTGTAGATTTGCACACAAGGATACTACATTCATAATTTTTTTTTTTATTTTCTTTTAAAATGGGGATATGCCCTTCGGTAGGCGTGTTGGTGTCAATAAACTGCGATAGCACATGTGTTGTTTGAATTGTGTTCTATGTAATTTGATTACTTAAGCCGGTTTACAATACCAGATCCGATTTTAATTACTACAGTAAATATCTCATTTCATAGGCATATTCAAGGGATGGGAAAACAAATTGGCCGTGCCCGCCGTAGAATTGCATGATGTCCCAGTATGTGATTGTCGCAAAGATATATGTCTAAGACTATAAATGCGTTTTTTACAAAGTTCACACTGGAAAATAAATTTCAACAAGTCAATGTACCTATAAGTTTATAAGTTTCATAAGTTTATTATTTTTTATCTTACTAGCTTTTTACTACCTGCGACTTCCTTCGCGTGAAAGGGATACGTTTATTAACCGGGATAAAAATAAAAATACTCGTAGACTAAGTATACCCTTTTCCTTCCTTTACAATACGTGTATGTCAAACTTCATAGTAATTGGTTAAGCTGTTAAGACGCTATAAGGTAACAAACAAAAAAACAAACTCATTTTCACATTTATAATATTGGTAAGGTTTGTTTAAAAAAAATATTTTATACCTGCATGATGGTAGTTTTGAATGTTAACTTTACATATTTTTTTATACTTAATTTTTTAGTTGTGCATTATCAGTAATATTATATTATTAGTATATAGATATTATATTACATATATACATGCATATTTATCACGCCTGTCTCCTATTAGGGTAGGCAGAAACAATAGAATGATAGATATTATCATCATCCTCATGTCAGCTTTTAACTGTCCACCTCTGAACATAAACCTTTCCTAGGAGGATTTTGCCAGTAGTTGCGACGTTTGGCAGACGTGTTGGCAACCGCAGTTAGGCTTTGGAAATATTTTAAGAGGTATGCTGCTGCCCATTCCTCGCCCTCACTTAGTCGTCTCTTACGACATCTACGGGAAATCTACGGCCTATTCTATGCCGGACCACACGGGAAGATATTATATTAATTATATATTATTTTAAAATAGGTACGTAATTATAGAATTAATTCATTATTATTTATTTATGTTGCCGTATCGCGTGTTGTTTCCCAATGAATAAAGAATAAAAAAGGCTGTCAAAAATTATAAAAGATAAAAAATACATATTTGATAAAAAAAAATGTAAGAGTTCAAAGTTGCAACTAACTACTGATTCTTGTTATACTTCGTTCGCATTTCCAAACCAACTACAGTACTAACTTCTAACTAATCTATGTAGGTAGGTACAAGTAGCAAAGATTTCATAGCAAATTCAACATAAAGTATTTATTTTCATTATACGTACGTAAATAATTATAAATAAAATGTTTATATTAAATAAATCTTCACTGTTTGAATAATAGCCGTCTGACTAACTGTCCAGTGCTGAACACAGACCTCGCCCTTGGGGGAGTCTTTAGTCTTGTCTATAGGCGACGGTTACCACTTTTCATCAGGTGGGCCGTCAGCTTGTTTGCCATTCTAAGTTGTATAAAAAACAGTCTTGCGTAACAACTAATGTGTTACGCTCGGCAGGCGGGTTGACAACTGCAGTTTGGCTGTAGTAATGTTGTAAAAGGGACGCTGTTGCCCATCTCCACCTCTCTCATTATGAGAGAAAGGAAGGGGTGGCCCATTCTATGTCGGGACCATATTAAATATATATATATATATATATATATATATATATATATATATATATATATATATATACCTATACGTATATATACCTATATATATGTAGATGGGTATTTACGGTTACTATATAAATAAAAAACTTCATTGACTAACTCATAATATATCAACGCATAGCCAAAATCAAGATTGTTTGCCATTCCAAGTTGCATAGAAAAAACAGTTGTTTACGTTTTTTTATTTCACCTTTTATATTACCAAAAATGTTTACCGCAATTCAACAAACGTAAAAATAAACATGAAATCCTTGCTAACTGTAGGTACCTACTTAATTATCAGAAATAAGTTATCTACAATTGTGCGTATGTTATTCACTATGCTGTTATCGGATGCGAGCGGTAAGGGCGCATTCACACTCACCGTTCACTTGTAAGTGGACCTCTTGTCGCGAGCTGCCGTGGATGTTCTCCGCGACGCAGATGTACACGCCCGAGTCGTTACGGTATAGCGACACGATCTCGAGCGCGCCGTCCGAGTGCAGCCGGTAACGGCCCACGGTGCCGTCGATCTATATCCGTTATTAATTATAATAATATATGCGCAAGTATTATATATTTGGAGATAAATAAAAAATATATATTTATTAATATAGTTGTGTATAAGTATATATTAAAAAAAAAAAAAACAGCAAGCAGTAGATTACAGATGCAGTGAAATTTTGAACTTATTACCAAAACATTAGTACTCTTTTACGATTATCTATAATACCTAACCAATTTCGTTTGGGGGAAAAGGATTGTCAGCAATGGGACTAGAGGTTCCGTTGCAAACAATATACCTTATCAGGTCGACTTCCACACGGTTCCCCTGGAAACTATCATCATTGTTTTTTTTATAAATTCATCACTATGGGCCAACTGGCCTGCTTTCATCCTCGCCTATCATCCCTCATTGGTACTCCACTAGTACATACCATTAGCGCATGCGAGGTTGCTATTCCATTATCGTCCATTAAAAAAAAAACAATTTCGTCTTGCAATGCATTTTTAATATTTAATTACTGAATTAAATATTAAAAATATTATTTAATTTTAAAGATTTGAAAGTTAATTATTTTTAAAGAATTAAATGTGTGAAATCATTGTAAATGCTGTAGCGAGCTCTCCTAGGTCAATGTGTCGGTACATATGATTTCGTTACCGTACACATGATAAAATTACGTCATTCTATTTCATATATAGATATCTAGTATGTATGTATTTGCGAAAAAAAGTATTTAAGTATGAATCAGTACACAGTGCAAAGTTAAGATATAATCTACCCATGTACTTTAAACGAACGTAGATTTTATTCGAATCCATTCAATAGTTTCTGTATTAAAGACTAACAAATATTCATCTATCAGTAAAATTTTCTAATTTATAATATTAATAGGATAATAGGATATTTTTAACTGTCTAGGGCTCATAGTACAAGGTGTGCTTAGTATGGCGGGTGTGTGCGACGTACGGTGATGTCCCGGTGGCTCCAGGTAATCCTGGGCGGCGGGTTGCCGTGGAACAGGCAGCGCAGCGTGGCGCGCCCGCCCTCCTGCGCCGCCACCTCGGGCTCCGTCTCCTCCGTGTTCGCCTGCGGCGCCTGGGGCAGCTCTGAGCAAAACCAGTGGACGTGAGAACAAGCCACATTGTTATATTTATAGAATGTAAGAAAATCACAAAAATCTTGAGTTTTTCTACAGGTTTTATAGTTTAATATTTAGTTTAGCTTATAATTTTTAAATCAACTTCAGTAAAGAAGAAAGGTGCTTAATTCGGTTGTATTTTTTATTTGTGTTTATTACCCCATAACTCGGTACTTATCATTAAAATCAAATAATCCAATTAAATTATAAACAAATTATAACCATCTGATAAATTACAACTTTTATTTGAAAATTAAGTAAATAGCAGATATATATTATAATTTTAAAATCACAAATAATATAACAATCACATTTTATAACATTATAGAACGATCTCGCCGTGTTATCGATGAACACGTTTTTGTTTATTTATTGCATTGTCATAAATACATAATAAGACATTACAGAATTTTTACATTTCAATTTGTTTATGGCCCTTCTTACATTGACCGCGGACCTCTGCGGTTAGCGGCCCGTACCACAACGACATCTATCTATCTATCTATCCTATTTAAGAGCTGCGCCCTTGTCGGTTTGAGCTCCTTCCTTGATCTGCCGGATGTAACTATGCCTTGGTCTCCCTCTTCCCCTCCTTTCTTCTATCTTTTAGTTCACCGTGTCGTATCAAGTGTCCCAACATTTTTTCTCTTCTGTCCTCAATAGTTCTTATAATTTGTCTCTTTTCCTTAACCCTAAGGACATACGGTCCAGAAATTTAGAAAAAGGATCTACGGTCAGAAGAAATACGGTCCAGTGTGTGAAGCAGAAATCTCTACACGGGCGTAGAGATTTTTGTTTAACGGACGCAAATTAGGTTTTGTAAGAATCAGAGGGCTTTTCATGAAGTGTTTTCCGAAATTTCGGAGCCAAATGAAACACAAATTTGATTTTAAATTACATAATACATGCCGTTTGGAAATAATAAAAATGTTAAAATATTCTTCCTTTAGACGTTTACGTTTACGTATGATGAACAAAATGTTAAATTCCATTTATTGATCCGACTTTGGTAAAAACTAAAACACGAAATTGAGTCCGAAATTTCGGATTTTTATTTTGTGATAGATCCGCTGTTCTTTTTTTGCGGCCGACCTGGCGAGTATGTGGTGGTGTGCAGCGCGTGGCCGGCGGCGGGCTCGAGGCAAAGCGAGCTGCAGCCGCGCGCGCAGCACTTGCCGACGCCGCGGCAGTCCGCGTCGTCGTTGCACTCGCGCCGGCACGCGCCCTCCGTTGTGAACGAGTCCTCACGCGGACACGAGCCCGGCTTGTTCACTGTGCAATCAAATCAATCGTGGATCACGACTTACATTATATTATTTATCTATTTATTTAAAGGAACACCAACAGCATATTGCATTATAACACATATAACAAACATTAAATATAATACAATATTAATGCATATGCATATTAAAGGTATTCACAGCATTTACTTTAACATAATTATATTGAATTTGAAAAAAGATTTAGCGATTAGTTTAACAACTTGTTAGCAAGAGTGGGCTTATTGTGTGCGACTTATTCTGTTATAAAAACAATTTTAATACAAAAGTTATGCTTAATCTGAAATTGATGTACAAAATATTAATAATTTGATGTTTTAAAAAAATTATAGTTAAATAATTTATTAGTAGTATACTAATACTTAGTATACTTATACTAAAACTCATTTTCAATGTATACAGTAATAAATTGAAAGTGTGTTTGTTTGTTTGTCACCTTATAGCGCTTTAACGGCTTTACTAAATGCTATGAAATTTGGTATACACGTATTACATACATATATGGAATGAAGAAGGCTACTTATTATCCCGGTAAAAGGTAAACGTATCCCGGTCACGCGGACGAAGTCGCGGGTAAAAGCCAGTTTTAAATAAAAAAAATATCAAGGAGGAGAAATTATATTGCAACTTTTTCATGAAAGAAGTCGTAGAAGAGTCCTTCTTGTTAGTGGGGAGGGAGTTTGTCCCGCAATTGGGCAGCTCGATACGTAAAGGAAATTGTTATTATTTTCATAGAATGGGAATAATGATATAATATGTATTTACCGATCTTGCAGTCGGCGGAGTAGTGCATGTCCTGCGTGACGGGGTCCCGATACGCGCTCGCCACGCACCGCTCGCCTTCCGGACACTGCTTGTCCGCGCACGGGTGGTCGATGCACTGGCATCTGTTATGCACACGACAAAAAAATACTCATTATTACTCAGTTGTGACATCGCAGGTTTTTGTACAAAAGTCGATTGCTTGGGTACCTCTGTCCCATTCGTGTTTCTACCGTGAAGCAGCTGTGTTTGCATGGCTGTGTTTCGGTTTAAAGGGTGGGATAAGGCAGTGAATTTACAGGGTACAGAGGAATAGCAACTGAGTCCTCAGGAATGGCAACGCATGGGAGGTATCATGGGCGAAACAGTATACTCTGTTATGTTCATGGTACTGCTCATGTCTATAGGCTACGGGTACCACTTTCCATTAAGTGGGCCGTCAGCTTGTTTGCCATTTAAAGTTGTATAAAAAAAAAATCAAAATTAATAAAAAGTTTTAAATATACAATCGGGACTTAACGCTATGTAAAAGCTTTTACAGGTAAGTAGTATCTACATACCTGCTTCTTTATTGCCGACGTTTCAAAATATATCGTATTTAAAATATGTGTAAACAACGTGAAAGTTTAAAATTAACTAGAGCAAAAAGTTTTATTAAACGTTTGGTGGTCCAACTGAAAGTCAGCATTGTGATTATATCATAACACAGCATATGGTGAGCGGAAGTCCCTTTCCGTATTTACAGAAGTACGTCATATAGTAAATAATGTTCTTCTATTTGGTTTTTCTTCTATGAAATATGGAATAAATGTTTTTCTACTCTATTCTAAATTATCTATAAAAGGGGGGGGGGGGGAGGATAGTTAGTAGAGGGGATTCCTCCATTACTAGCAATCCGATTTTTACGAGGACTCTATAAATCATCGTGATTTCATCCTCATCCTATCATCCCTCACTGGTACTTCTCCAGTGTATACCGATAGTGCAAACGGGGTTATCATTTCATCATCACCCATTAAAAGAATGCTAGGTTATGGAGGAATTCATTTTTTTTTAATGGGAAGTTTACTGAGACTGCCTGGAGCCGGGGCGGGCCGGCACGCAAGTACCTCTCGCAGCCGTCGTGGCCGCGGTAGCGGTGCAGGCCGTAGGTGCACTTGAGGTGGCGGCACTCCTGGCGCAGCGGCTCGCAGTCCACCTCGACGGGCACGCACGAGCAGCGCTCGCAGCCGCCCGCCGTGCGCGTGCGCTGCACACTGAACGCGCACCGCAGCCGCGCGCACTCCTCCTCGTACTGCGTGCACTGCTCCGGCTCCTCCACTTCGTTCTCGCTCGAGTCTATAAATATTTTTAGTGTTAGTTAAAATAAAAGGCTTACATCTTTCATTTATAACGATTATAGATGCACACAGAATCTTTTTGAAGCGATCGACACGCGAGTCCCGCCGTCGTGTGCAAAGATCACGGTTCGAAAAACCATAGCTCGCCACAAGGGCACAATGCGTATACGTGATGAAAAAGTAGAGCCCTGCGCACACAAGTATCGCTTGCTTGTAGTAGTGTTTTTGTTTCAGCGTACTTCCTAGTATCTTATGTTTCTTATCTTTTGGATATTCTCTATTCTGTGGCGAAATGCTGCCGTACAATTGTAAGTTTTTATGAAAACTGTGGGGTTTGCACACGGCGGCGTGGAGCGTGTGTGATGCGTAACTCGTACGTAAGGGACAGACATTTCACATTATAACAAAGTATATAAATATATAAAATGACAATAAAAAATAATAAAATAAATATTGTATCATATTAACAGAATAATAACATTAAATAATCATTATAGTATTTTATTCCTGAATGACATATATGGTAATAACGAAATATCAAGATTTGAGGCTCGTTTCAAATATTTTATGTATTGATCAATCTCGAGATAGGGATTTACAATTCCTAATTGGTTTTATGGCTAAAAAATTCAAAGTGCTAAGATACAGCACGGCAAGCTACAGTGACATTGCTTATCTTCTTAAAATTTGGGTGTCAATTATTATTTAGATGACCATGAAAAATTACATATTTAAATATTTAATAATTAGAATATTTTGAATTATTTTCTTCCAAATAAATCCCTAATAGTTGTCAAAATAAATGGATAGAATTATATGTATATATTATGTATGTACACGATGAAATCCAAATTATTACCATTCTTTTAAAGGTTTCAAACTTTATATGTGAATATTATGTGTAACTTATGCATATACTGAACTTTTTCTCCGAAGAAATATGGGGTGAAAAGAAAAAAAATATGAGAAAGTAGGCTAATAACTTTGACTATCACCATGTACATAAATGAAAAGCAAACCCCAATCATAAACACAAAAATGAAACCAAATTCAAAGTAGCAAAAAATGCAATTAGTAGATAGTGAGAGAGTGCAAGAAAGATCATGCAATCATGTGAGAAAGCGGTGCGCGTGAGTGCAGCAGTGAACGATTGCTCGAGCCCGATCTACACGCGCTATATGTATTGCACATGGTTAGTCTTAACTATATACAGGACAACGGCCATCATTACAAATTAATCACATTTTTTTTAAATGTCATCACATCTGAAATATAATTGTTAAATTCTGCCGTGCAGTTTCCTAAGATTCTTATCATCGGATTTAATGAAGCATAAGTAACAATAAGCATGTTTTCTTACATCGACCAAAATTCGCAGTTCTTTTTAGACTAAATACCAAGTTACGAGGCCGAAATTAACAATCGACGAACATTTGTAACACGAAGACAAATACACTGACTCTCCTGCATACACCATAGTCATCATCCTCTGGTGATTCAGTCCAACAAAGGCACGTCACAGAACTTAGTTCACGATGCAGAACAGCAAAGAGCGCGGTAGAGCAGGCGCGTGTGTCTCGTTTGCTGATACTAGTATTGCTAGATCTTATATATAGAAAGTCGGGACCAAAGACTACTATAAAATATTTATAGATCTAAAAAAAGCTAAGCACCTTAGATTAACTTGGTAAATTGGTTAACTTAAGTGTCCACTTCGAGTACTGTGCTTTGTGGAAAGTTTTGAATAGTCTCATCGTTGGACTTTTTGGTTCGTTGGATATCCTTGAAATCCCGACTTTCTTTTCAGAAATCTGTTAACACTGTATCGTCACGTGCCGTACCGGTATACTTCCATCGCTCGCAAAGTTCCACACAGTACTCGTACGAGGGAAAGTTGTTGTTAGTGCCTCCGCAGCCTCTGTACACAAGTGGCTTGCACTCGCCGTCCACTGGACTGTAGTAATAGCGTCTCGTTGGCACCTCACTACACGACGACCCCGTGTCCACTGGTTCTAGACATGCAGGCTCTAATCCCCAACCACCAACCCAAAACCATTAATTCCCATAAGAATAAAAGGAAGAATTCAAAAGGACAGAAAAGAAAATTAGAGTTTTCAAGAAAGTTCTATCTACTTTTGTTAGATTCTACTAGCATTTAATGATAATGAGTCTAAAATGTTTAGCAGTAAGACCAATGTTATTGGAGATATTAATGTTAGGTTAGGAAAATCATAAAGTACCAGAAGTCTAGATATGAAAGTTGAATATGAAAGTTGCGAAGCGACAATGGTGTCACCTCGTACACCATCTAGGAAACTAGATGATAAACATGTCTCACCAGGTCCAATGCCTTCACAGAAGTTCTCACATTCCTCGATAGTCGAGAACCTGTTTGGTCCACCGCCGCAGCCGCCATAGGTGTATCGTTCGCATTTGCCTGCTCTTATATCCCAGTAGTATTTAGGAATTGAATCCTTGCAGGTGCCCACGTCTAAGGGGTATCGGCATATCTGATACGCATCTGAAATAAAGATCTAAGTCTTAATATATTTAGGGCACACGTTATTTTTAGTTATGGCACAAAGAAGTCTTTGTTGGAAAGCAATCACACACAGTGGTCTATTAACTTTTCCTAACATTTATTAAATTCATGAAGATCTTGATTAATATCATTGCCTTTTACTGGAACTGGAACGATATGCAACATGATTGTAGCTGCTTGAGGGCTTATAATAGAATGATAGAATTACCTATTGAGACAGCTTTGTAAAAAGTAATTTGAATTTTTTCTTTTTTTTATACAACTTAGAATGGTAAACAAGCCTACGGCCCACCTGATGGAAAGTGGCAACCTTCGCCTATAGACATGAGCAGTACCATAGACATAACAGAGCATACTGTTTCGCCCATGATACCTCTTATGCGTTGCCATTCCTGAGGACTCAGGTGTTATTCCTGACACGAATGGGACAGAGGTACCCAAGTAATCGACTTGTACAAAGTCTCCCTCTGCATATGTATCTCTACCTTCAATTCTTCCCCTTTTACTTTTAGATAAAGGCACTGAATAAAATAAACAAACTTAAGTGATTTATGAAATGAAAACAAATTTGTATTGTATTGGGTTTTTAAGGAGCTCCCAAAAAGAGTTCACCTGTATTATTTGTATGTTTGTTATTAATGCTTTTTTAGAAAATATACTGCTAGAAAGAGGCAAATTCTTTTTCGGTTTGAGTTAAAGTTTAAAGAGATGTGTTGTGATATTACCAAGTCCTCGGAAGGTGCCGCAGCGTCTCTCGCAGTCCTCCTCGGTGAGATAGGTGCCGGGTAAGCGGCAGCCGCCATTGATGGCCGCCACGCACTCCTGCCTGCTTGGGTCGTAGTAGAACGCCGTGATGTTTTCGCCGCACGCCTCCAATGACTCGGGGATATTACATTCTCTATCTACTGGCTGAAAATTTACTGTATGTAAGTTTTTTTAAAGTGTCACGGTGGATGTTCTTTTACAAAATGGATTAGTTTTGAGCCGCGTGTTTGTTTGCGTGCATTAAGACAGTTAGTATTTTATAAGTAATGAGGACTAAAGAAAGCAATGAAAATAAAGAAAAGGCGTGTATGTATACTTAAATATCCTTAGACATTAGACAATTCTGGGTCCTACCCAGAATTGTCTCTTAAAAATGCACATGATGCGATGTTATGCATAGATAGAAGTTTTTTTTTATACAACTTAGAATGGCAAACAAGCTGACGGCCCACCTGATGGAAAGTGGTAACCGTCACCTATAAACATGAGCAGTACCATGGACATAACAGAGTATACTGTTTCGCCTATGATACCCCCCATGCGTTGCCATTTCTGAGGATTCAGGTGTTATTCCTCTGTATCCTGTAAATTCACACCATATTCCACCCTTCAAACCGAAACACAGCCATGCAAACACAACTGCTTCACGGTAGAAACACGAATGGGGCAGAGGTATCCAAGCAATCGACTTTTGTACAAAGTATGATGACGATGGCAAAAAGTGGATAACAAATAATAATATTACCTGTGCGGGTGGGGCGGGCGGCGCGGGGGTGGCGCTAGGCCGACGCCTACAGCGACCCTCACACTCCTCGCGGCTCTGGAATCTGCACACATCACAAATAACAGATAAAGGGAGCTCTTTTTTTATAAACTTTTATTCAATTTGCTTTAGTGGAAGGAGAAGGCATTATTGTTAATCCAGCACCAATGCGCGGTCTGCCCTAGAAACAACTGTGCTTAATTTCAGGTGAATTCATTACGATAGGCTTACTAACCTGTCTTTTCATCCTCATCTATCATCCTTTATTGGTATTCCGGCAGTGTATACCGTTAGCATAAACAGGATTAACACTCCATTATCGTTGATTAAAAAAAAAACTTGATTTGTTTGTTTTTTTATTCAAAAACAATCGATTATCATTTGCTGGCGTCTTATTGTGCTAAACTTTGTCACATTTATGTATGTTCGGTGACAGTACAATTTATGGTACCATATGTAAGTAGGGCTTAGGCGGGGCGTAAGCTCGGCTTGTTTAATAATGAAGATGGTAGACGGTCTAGGAACTCATAAATTACATATCACAAATTCGTAGTGTTTGGGCTCGTTTGATTTGTCTTTACCAAAAACATTACTCTGTGTGATTCCTAGAATCTAAGTATGAAGTTAATCTAAAGGCTTGTTTTTAAAAAATGTAAATTATATTACCTGTTATCGTTACCATTGCAGCCGCTGTACGCGAATTGGTAGCACGCGTCGCGCTGCTGCTCGTAGTACCAATATGTATAACTGTTCATGCAGTTACCAACCTCCAATGGTTGTGAGCACGGGTCTAGTCAAAAAGTAAGTGTTATATTAAGAAAACTGGTATTTTATACAACTTCCAATGTGAAAAATGTTACGGTTTAGATAGTGGGAGTACCACCGTCGTATGTAAACATAAATACTATCACGGATATTAATAGAATGTGTGGATTGGATACTTCCGAGGATGCAGAGAGAGAGAGAGAGAAAGTGAGAGAATAAATAATAATATAATTGTTACTCATATTATAAATGTGAAATTGTATATATTTGTTACTTTATAGCACTTTAAGGGTTTAATCAATCATTATAAAATTTGGTATACACTTACAATATGGCATGGAGAAGGTTATAGGATACTTTCTATCCTGGTCATGCGGACGAAGTCGCGGTTAAAATGTAGTAAGAGAACAATTGTATTTTGGTGATTTGCATCCTTCAGTTGGGTATTTAAACGATTAATAAAATGAGAACTATTATGCTTTTATACCCAGTAATATGGGTTGGGAGAGACGCCTTATTATTCGTCGGAGATACTAGTACAAACAATATCCGCAAAAAGTTGTCTGCACCTTTGCTCAGAAATATTACAAAAACACGATGAATGCAATACAATTACGATACTCCCGAACTGTATGCAGAAACTACTAACAAGAATTATCTGAACGGTAAATGACTATTACAGTATAGAATTAGCGGAGGCAAGATTTATATTTTCAGGACATAATACATTTACTCGGTACCTGTTTCAGATGCTTGGCAAATCTGCTCGCATTCTTCGATGCTAGAGAACCGGTTGGGCCCACCCTGACATCCGCCGTATGCGAAGTCGAGGCAAGATCCCGTTGCAGCGTCGAAGTAAATCTTGGAAATCGCCTCGCGGCACGGACCCGGGTCTTTCGGGTACTTGCATACATCTAGACAACATTCATAAACGTTAGCAGAACAAGATTTTGGAGTTAACTTCAAATGGAGTTCAATTTGAGAATTTTGAACGGATGAAAAGTGGTAATTGTCACCTAGACTTTGTGCCTATGCAGTTTACCTACTCTCTATCCAAATTCAAAATTTGCCTGGGATAGATCGCTTTTATCGATACCATTTACCCAATGTTTTCTCAGTGAGATCTTTTCATGTAATTGTTTATGATAAGTTTCATCATCAGCATATCTAATATAAGCTACCTCCTTGGGGGATTTTGCCAGTGGTTGCCACGCTTGACAAGCGCATTGGCAACCGCAGTCAGCTTTTGAAGATATTGTAAGATAGACGCTGCTGCCCATCCCTCGCCCTCTCTTTGTTGTCTCTTACGACACCCACAGGAAAGAAAGGGGCGGGCTATTCTACGTCTATGTCGGGACCGCACGGATAAGTTTACTACTATAATATTTTCGGCATCTCCTTCCCCCCCCCCCCCCCCCCCTCCTGCCTCCTAAATACGCCTATTGACAATTGTAGATACTGACCAATGTCCCGGAAGGCGCCACAGCTCCTCTCGCAAGCCTCTTCCGAGGCGAAGACGCCCGTGTGCCTGCAGCTGGCGCCGGTCGCGTCGTTCTCGTACGCCACGCACGCTCGCCTCGACTCGTCCAGGTACCAAACTACGCCTGCTTCCGTACACTCCTCCGCGGTGGGCAGAATGCGGCATTCTGGAGGTAGATTTTCAGCCTGCGAATTGTATGAAATGTTATATTTTTCAAATTTAAACATACAGAAATTTTACGTAGCTTTGCATTTTTTTAAATTTCTTTAGTTACATATCGGACTAAATACGTACACAAAACATCGAATTAAAAATAAAGTTTTTTTTTTTAACATTCCAGAGTCCGGTTTGAAATAATTATAATCATTTATAAAAAATAAAGACAATCTTTATTTTTTTCTGTCGGGTCGCGGTATAGGAAAGTTAATTATTACATCGTATTATTTAAAATTTCCTATTGTACAATACAATAGGAAATTTTAAATGTGAAATGAAACTAGAGTGATTGTGATGAAATATAAATAGTATTTACGTGAAATATATAGTAAAACACATAATTTAAAAATTTACCGTCCAAAGGGGATAAATTATTATGTTTCTCAAGGCCCACTAGTTGAGTAAGGAATTGACTCAACTGAACACGAGATGGCGTAAAAGATAAAAGTATGAATAATTGTTACGTCACCAAGCTCGTCGGTTTAGTGACGACTTACCGGCGCAATGGTGGTAGTTGTGGTGGTAGTGACCGGTGTGGCAACAGCCGGCCCAGTTCTGCAGCGTCGCTCACAATCCTCTTCCGTGTCGAACCTGCGTATACATTGATACGTTAGTACACAGTATATAGCAGTACTTAATACATAATACAATATTTATATGTATGTTGGGCACATATATATGTGCTACATGTAGGTACATGCTTTTTCTTGTTTAATTAACAGTTTTATTTATTGTACTGGAACGCTAGCGCCTCTGCCTTGAGGAGGTGGGCGTTGACAGCCACGACACAGTTATTTTTAACTAATGTGGCTGTTATAGTACACTACCCTACAATTGTAATTTTTTATGGTTCCAATAAATACATTTTTAATTTTTTAACTTACCGTAAAACTCTAGCTATTAAAATGTTCGGTAAGTTTAAGTGTCCGCTTAATATTAATAACAATTTAGACAGCGTAATAATTCCGTTTTCTCAAAGAAGGTTGACGCAGGCAGGCGGCTGGTCGTAAAATTAAAAACTAAATCTTTTTGTAATATGGATAAAAACATTACGCCGATTCCAAATAATAATTGGAATAAGGATAGAAAGAAGATGAATAACTCTGTTTGCCAGTAGTTGCCACGCATGGCAGGCGGGTCGGCAATCGCAGTTAGGCTTTTCGCGTTGTTTTAAGAGAGATGCTGCCGCCCTTCCCTTAACCATTCAGTTCCTCTAGTCGCCTTTTACGACACCCACGGGAAAGAAGAGATAGCCAAATTTATGTCAGAATGCTAATATTTATATCCTGCATATGCACCACAAATATAGAATATCGAATTTACGTGAATCAAATATGATAAAAAAAAAATTTCGAATAATGCTAACGATTTTGATTCGCCCTTAGTTAGTTATCTCTGATAGTGTTTGGTGTACGATACCGGTTGCCATTTCCTTCGCAGCCGCCGTACGTGAACCGGCTGCAGGAGTCGGTGGCCGGGTTGTAGAACCACTTCATCTGCGACTGGTCGCACGGGCCCGACATCATCGGCAGCTGGCAGATATCTGTGGCAACGTAACAATGGTAAATTGTGAGTGGAACTCGCAACCGTACGCCTATCTAGTTACATTTAAAAAAAAAAAAACTGTAAGGTGTCTTTACTTGTATTTTTTTAATGGTAACGATGAAATGGTGATCCTGGATGCACTATCGATATACGTTGGTGGAGAATTAGTGAGTAATGATAAGTGAGGTTGAAATCAAGTCTTTGGCCCAATATGACAAATTTAGGTACTAGGAACTGACCACGACTGTTTCCAGGGAGAAACGTGCGGAGAGCGACCATACAGGGTGTATATAATATAGGGTAGTTGGGATAAAAGGATTTTATTTATTTATTTCTTAAACTTAATATGGCAACGCATGGGGAGTATCATGGGCGAAACAGTATACTCTGTTATGTCCATAGTACCTACTGCTCAGGTTTATAGGCGAAGGTTACGATTTTCCATCAGGTGGGCCATCAGTTTGTTTACCATTCTAAGTTGCATTAAAAAAACTACCTCACAGGAATTCCTACTTCGATAGTTAAGTAATTTATCAACATCAACCATAACGGAAATAATCGATAATTATTTCTGAGTCAGAGGCTCCGACTACTTCATCAAGGGTCATAGTCCTGAGAATATTCTTTAGATTTATATTTATTGTTTCTTCCAAAAGATTACAGTATAATTTTGCAGAGACAAGAATGAATCATATTTCTACGTTGGTATTTACAGCAATAGTACACTCACCTTGTGAGGTAATACAATAATACGTGCAGTAGTCTTCATTAGGGAAGTTGTTCCTGTTGCCGCCACAGCCTCCGTACTCGAATGTGGTGCAAATACCGCGGGCGGAGTCGTAGCCCCATCGGGTCTCAAAGTTGTCGCATTGACCAGGGTCCAACTCCAGGAAGCAGAACTCTGAATTGGAAGGAGCTTATAAGTAACAGGACTATTGACCAAATCATATCATCAGTCGTGGAGTATGTTGTCCAGCTACTGACCAAAGGCTCTCCCCAACTTTTTTTATTTCTTTTTAGACAGTTTCCAATCATATTCTTGAGAAAAACAAACCGTATATATTTCATATTTTCTATAAAGGAATAGTCATAGACATAAATAGTCATGATAAACTATGACATGGCTTTTGTTTATTCCCGTGAGATTTTTTACCATTCCTTAGTTAATGTCTAATGCCAGTAAGGTCCTGGGGCATCTTACCTGCTTTTCTGTTTACGTCAATATAACCATGCAACTAGGTGATAAAGATTTGTATTATACATTCTTTTATAAAATAGGTCAAACATGAGTCTTACTGACTTGAGCTGAGACTTACTGAATAAAGAATATCGTTGAAATCCTTTCAAACGTTTTCTCGTGATGAGGTAACAAACAAATAGACGGGCGTCAATTGTGATTTTAAAGATGTCGTCCAGCGTTTTCGAAGTTTAATTAGTATTCTCTATTAAATATGTCACCTGAAGTGTCTGGATGGGCGGGCTGCCGCGTAGTAGTGGTAGTGGTGGTTGGATGTTTCTCAGCGCATCGCGACTCGCATTGTTCCAAAGAATGGAAGTTGTTTTCGTTGCCACCGCACCCGCCGTAGTAGAATTGTAAACATCTAGAACGATCCATCTGATCTTAATAATATGGAACTACAGTCAGTTTAATATATTTTAATAAAGAGGAAAATATGTTTTGTTGAAATTATCATAGAAACATTCTCTAAATTAAATTATTAAGAAACCGAATCATTAAGAATGTTAATCGACATTTTGTTTGTATTACCATTGGACATCAGTAAACTGTCCACAGTCGGGTCAATTATACGTTTTGTTTAACGTTCTATTAAGTTTTACTGAAGCAGAGTATACTATACGTGCGATATAAAGTATCACCTAACCAAATATATAGGATATCAAAAAACAAAGCCTTTGCAGAAGAGGGTTAGCTCTTGGAGTTATTTTCATCATCACATCATCAGATATTTAAAATTATCCTCTAAATCTAAAGTCAAGACTTACAAATAGCAATACTCAAATTGATCTCTAAAAATACTCCAAAAAACTTCCACTTCAAAAAACAATTTAAGTATGTAACTAAATGTAGGTATATTCAATACGTAAACAAACCTCTTTTGAGCTGTATCGTAGTACCAATTCTGTCTGTAGTCCGCGCACTCGCCGATTTCAGCTGGCAGCTCACAGATATCTTTGACTGTCGGAAAATACACACTGGAATATATATCGGTATAATGGAAGTGTGAGCGTTAAATCTTTTCTATACCGTAATTGATGGGAAACAAGAATATTACACGAGCGTTACCAATCCTGAAGAAATCTTATTTTATATCTTTTTTGGGGAACCCCACAGTGAAGCCGTTTGCAGAAACATCTCTGCAGAAAGCTTATTTTACAATTTGAGCTTTTGCAGATAAAAGCTTCTTTGACCCGGAATATACGAAACCATTTAGGGTCTAGCATTTAATTTAAATTTCTTGAGGATATCGAGTAATGCTATAGTTACCCATGGATATCATATCAATTAATTAAGAAACACGATGCAACATTAACTACAGATATAGGATTAGAGAAGACAAAATTATTTACAGCATGCCACTAACAAGAATTGAAGAGGAAAATTAAGACATAATCATGCTCTCTACAATGGCTGCAACCCATAAATTATGCTGATCTCTGTGTAAAAATAACTAGTTACCTACTTTGATATTGGAGTAGTTAATTATCTAGTAAACGAAATAGTTGCGGAGGGTACATTTGTTGAACTAATATTACACAAAACTTCAATACCACACGAGTACTTAATACGTAATATTTTATCTGTTGCCAATCTTCTCATTCACTCAAATCACGATAGTTGTTATTTATGAGTACATATTTGTCCAATACAAATGGGTACTTTCTATTACTTATCTATTAATTACTTGTATGATTTGAGATAATTTGATTTTTTGAACCCCAAATAGATATTATAAAAGGTCAGGAAAAAGATTTAAACTTTATTTTATGAGTGTTACAGTTAAACAGATTCTATATTTTGTCTTTCCTTGATCTTTAATTTAATCTTTGAGCTTACATATTTTATGTTCCGTAGGTATATGTATGGGTATATGGTCAACATCATCGTTGATGAAGAAATTACCAATTTTTAGGCTATCACCTACTACTCACCATGGACAGATGGACAATCATCGATGCAGTGTTGCTCAAAATCGAACCTGTTCTCGTTGCCCCCACAACCAGTGTAGTAGAATGGTACACATCGATTCTCTGTTGTACTGAAGGACCATTTGGCATATACTTCTGTGCAGTTTCCAGTGTCTTGCGGCAACTTGCATTTAGCTGTTAGATACAAGATAGCCTGATAGCCCGTGCAACCCAATGTTAGTGGAATTCTTCATTGGCTGGTCTGCATGAGACACTTATAAATACTCATTCTAGCAGTCAATGATGAATTAGGAAAATGTTAAAGTATTTTATACAAATGTTAAGAATGTAAATTATTAAAGCACGTATTAATAAATTGTATTCAATATCTTCTATTTTACTTTTGACGTGGCTTCTTGATTGATTGACTTTTCAATAGATTATCAGTTCTATATGTGCACCGCTCAGTTCAATTTATTAATACGAGCCTAAAGTTAACATTAAACAATTGGTAAACTTAGAAGCTTAGATTAGATTAAATTAGACTTGTTTATTTGCCAAAACATTGTATTAAATAAATAAATCTTCTAAGTTGACTAATTACTACATTAGTAACTTTACAACTGAAAATCCACACCGTAACATGCAAAAAATATCTATTTTATTTTGTTAAGATTACAAGAAGTGTAAGTATTAGTCAAAGAGAACATGAATCAAATAAGAACATACAGCAAAAATCTTTAATTTTCCATCACCATATAATAAAAACACATTACGATAATTTAGCAATAATCAAGATTCATGATAAAGTGCTATTTCTACTGGAAAATGTACCACAATCATGGCTAGTTATCGTGCAATATTTTCTAGCTAGTCAAATACCTGAACTTTACCATTTCCATGTCAAATACTTACGTTTAGGCTCTCCCGGAGTGTCGCACCGGTGTTTGCAGGCAGCCTCCGTACTGAATCTGTTGGTGTTGCCTTCACAGCCACCCCATGTGAACTGTTCGCAACGTCCACTGTCTGGGTTGAAGCCCCATCGAATATAGTTACCCGCGCAGCTTCCAGGGTCAAGAGGAAGTGAGCATTGGTCTGTAAGAATTAAACAGTGTGTTATATTTGACTTCAGTCCATGAATGTTTTTAATACAACAAGCATCACTTTTTTAACTTTATTAATTATTGTGACTAGGAAAAGCCAATAATAGCGATATAACAGATTGTACGCGTGCTCCCTCTCGAAACCATTGTGGTTAATCAGTGAATTCCACATGAATCCATCATGATGGGCTAACTGACCTGTATTCTTTTTCATCTATCATCTTTTATTGGTGACCAGCCTGCGTATGCTAGGGGGGAAGGGATTGTTAGTAATGCGGACTACCAGTCCCATTGCTAGCAATATACCCTGGCAGGTCGACCTCCACGTGGTTCCCCCTGGAAACAATCGTGCTGAATTCCAGATGCATTCATCACGATAGGCTAACTGATCTGCTTTTTCATTCTCACCTATCATCCTTTACTGGTGTTTCGCCAGCGTATACCGTTAGCGCAGGCGGGGTTACCATTTCATTATCATCCATTAAAAAAAAGCCAGCATATGCCAATAATGCTGGCAAAGTTATCATTCCATTTAAAAAACTTGTGATGGTTCATAGACCTTGGTAATCGTATACCAATATACGGGTCTTATGCTTGTTTGCTAGCACTGTTGTACAATAAATGTTTTATATAAAAAATACAGAATAGAAAATAATAAATTCAGGGGGAAAGTGCAAGTATTACATACCGACAGCTCTGGTGGGCTCGCACTGAGTCCTACACAGTTCCTCGGACTCGAAATTATTTCCGTTACCGAGACAGCCGCCGTACACGAACTGCGAGCAATGTTCCCGCGCCGAGTCGTAGTACCAGCGTAGCAGGTAGCCCGCACACGCGCCTTTTACTTGTGGTAGCTTGCACGCGTCTGTGAGAACATGTACATAGAATATCAATAATAGATCCACTGCTAGCAATGTCAAGTTGTTTCCATGCGGTTTCTCCTGGACACCATCATGGTTAATTCATAGTGAATTAATTAAGTCGTTAATTGACTTGATTTCATTCTTGCTCATCATCTTTCACTGGCGCTCCCTCCAGCGTATACCGATACCGTAGCGGTGGTTAACATTGCATTATCATCGACGAGTATTGAACGGAATATGCTTTAAGGTTGGTATTGGAAATAATTTATCGCTTATAGTGCCACATTTTTTAAAAGTGCTGTGGTACGATGTCTTATATACATATATAACGGGAAATTAAAGAAAGGAAAAGACTTCCAAAACAAAACACGATGAATTCCTTAATTTCCCTTTATATAAACAAGGTATTAAAAAATTAATATAAGTCCTAAAAATAATAAATGCTATGGCGTTGGGGAATATATTTGTAGCTGAAACATTACAAAGTTATATAACAGGAGCAGCAGAATTTTGTGCATAATTACTAAGTAAGAAGTACAAAAAATAAGAATATGTGCCTTAGACGCATTTTGCGGGTATTAGCAGAAGTAGTTTTAAAATAAGTTTTACAAATGTTCAAATAGTAGAGAGATATTACGGTTGAGTTACCTTTGGGCGACGGTTGCACGCAAACATCTTCACATTCTTCCTTGGTAGAGAATCTATTCCCGTTGCCTTCACATCCGCCATACCAGAAGCGCGAGCAGCCACCGTACTCCATGTCATAGAACCAATACACCGAGTAATTGTGGCACGAGCCACGATCGGTCGCCAGGCTGCATGCAGCTATAGAATAGAATAGAATATGAAAAATATATTGCCAAAAAACCACAATTACAAAAGAAAATACAAAAATATTACATATATAAGAAGTGTTTCATATTAGGCAAAAGGAACTGGCTCAGCTGATGCTGTGAGTGTTCCATTGCAATGTGTACAGTTGCACCGAGCTGGTTTTCAGCCAGTATCTCTTTTAACAAAATACAATAAAAATGAAAATGGGTACAACTGCAATTGCCTGTTACTGTACATATGACAAGTTCATTTTTGCAACGAAGTTAATGATCTTCTTTATGGATTGTGGTAATTATCACTACATCAAGTTAAAATACAATAATTAAATTAAAAACCTAATACGCTACCAATACCATCTGATATGTGTTGCCATTTTAGAAGACCAAGATGTCCTCAACGGAAATCGTTGCCCTTGTTTCTTAAAAGCAAAAGACAACAACGAAAATATATGTAAGTACAGGGATATGCTCTATTACAAAGCAAGTCATAAATTCTGGTTGTATTTTATGCAGATCTTGACCTTCAATTTATTAAACTTCTCCTAAAAGATATGATATTGTAATCGAAGGGCTTTCGCTAAATATCAACATTGTTTGGCTATAGTATAACGCTGAGCGTAGATAATTTCAGCAGTTTTGTATATATTTATATACTAATGAATGCTATATTAATTCGTATAAACACTTTTTTGTAAGTAAAACAATGTTTGTTGAACAAATTATTATTATTTTCTAAATCAAAAGCAAGTAAATAACATTTAAACCAACCTTGTCTACTTTCAGGAATGTCTGTGCATCCCAAGAATTTCTTTCCTTTAGCTTCAGTTTGTCCATCAGGGCAGCAACCATACTTGCTGGATGCGCAATCGCAGCCCTCCATGTTAGGTCCAATAGCTGGAGTATTCTGGTCACCACAACATCCATATTTGGATTCACGGCAGTGACAGCCTTGACGGTTAGGACCCTTAGCGATGGTGACGCCATCCTCACAACAACCGAACTGGTACGTGTGACAGTCACAGCCTTCGAACTCGAGACCTTTGGCTGGCGTATTTCTGGCGACATAATAGTTTACAAATTATCTGTCTACTTGAATTTCTTTGCATAATAACGATTAACTTCCAGATAAGTGGCAAACAAATCTATCGATGAAATTATTATCGCTAGGGACTTCATGAGATAGAATGAGATAACAACATCTAGTGTCTTGTTCTTTTTCATGCTAGAGCTCACTGAAACAGTTTTATTGATAGAATTGTTTGCCACTTGTCAAGAAATTTAGAACTTGGTGAGATTACTTGATTTAAACCATTACGCCTTATTGTTGTATCCACCGTTAACTGTCCACTGTTGAACATAACCTCCCCATAAGAGGGTTATGCTAGTATTTGCCACGTTTGGTAAGCGGGCTGGCAAACGCAGTTTGGCTTTTGGTGATATTTCAAGAAGGATGCTGCTGCCCATCCCTACACCATAAGCTCCCTTGATCGCCTCTTACGACATCCGTGGGAAAGGAAGGGGTAGCCTATTGTGTATCGGAACTTACATGGATATAATATACTAATTGGCCTTAGACTAACATATCTTAATAACTTGAAAATCAACCTTAAGTAACAATTTGAATGCCATTTATATAGCAATATAATTTTAGAGAGCAACTTACTTTATTTTGTCTTGATAAACATTTTTGGGGAAATATATTTATCTCTAAGTTTGTAGTGCAATCTAACCAGATCATGATACGTTTTAAATAAAGTTTTACTTAATTAATGAAATGGTTAAAGTAGTAGATGCCAATTACCCGTCTGGACAACAGCCGAACTCGCTAAATTGACAGCCGCATCCCTCATTTTCGGGCCCACGGGCGGAGGTGACTTCATCTGGGCAGCAACCGAACCGTGTGTCCTTGCAGTTGCAACCTATAAAAAAGTGTGTTTGCTCTTCCATAATCTTAATGATCTATGTTATTACTTAACTATTTGTAAGTTAAAGATGTTTATAGATAATTCAAAACAACAAAACTGATACAAAACGATATAGAGCACAGAGGCACAGTAATAAATCATTTCGAAATAGAGGACCATGTTAATCTAATATATAAAAATACGAAATTTTTTAAGTTGTTGTTAATTGTTAATAGTTAAGTTGCAAGATGGCAATCGAATATAATAATTGTAGTAGGATAAATTTTCATGTATAATTCTCGAAATAATGTATATGGTAAAACAACATTTGTTGAGTCAGCTAGTAAAATACTAAATATTGAAAATCTGATAGGGAAACCCAAAAACATGAGCCAATGATGACGAAAAAGATAATCAACATAGAATTACTACTTCTAAAGACTTTAATGTGTCGCAAAATAAAATCATATAGGATTTGTTCTTTGGGTTTTAGTTTCTTTTCTAATTTAGGAACTGAATATATTAAACTTGGATCAATTTGCATGCCCTGGCTTGTAGGCAACTACTTATTTAGATTTTTCTTAAAAATAAGTATTACTTTTATTGTAATTAAAACTTATAGTTAAAGAATGAGTCAGACCAATTATAATTATGAATCAAAATCATAACCTAGAATGCAGACACGTAAACATTGGTTCAAATGTCTTGAAGTGACAAGTTCATGAATTCGTTACCTTCAAAGTGTGGTCCTTTAGCAGGTTGGTAGTTATCTGGGCAGCAGCCATGCTCGTATAATAGACAGCAGCCCTCGTTGTCGTAGCCATGCGCGGGAGTCTTCCCGTCTGCACAACATCCGAACGCGGACGTGTTGCAGTTCGCACAATTCGTCTTGTCTGCGTCGTCCGCTGAATTCAATATAAAATAAAATTGTATGGTCAACCATACAAATAACATTTCTTGTGATATAGTAACGTTACATATTTTCAAATAATTTAAGAAAAACAACAAGTAATTGATTTAACCTCCAATATTTGTTCTGTACTAATTCTTGTTTTATGATAAAAGTTAGTACATTAAATAAAAATTTAAATCAATATAATGTTGAAATAAGAGTTAGTTGACGAAAATTTTCAATCTAATATCTAAAATGTCTTAAAGTAGGATAATAATTTAAATACGGTTCACTCGGGTTTCATTTCAAATGTATACGTCAGTAGCAATGTAGGTGTAAATTATTTATAATATAATAATTAGTGTCTAATTGCATGTAAAATTAGAGAAAAAAAATGCAGTAATATTATAGAACATTGAAATACTTTATAATATACTATTTATCCTAAAATATCTTTAAAAGCCTAACTGCGGTTGCCAACCCCTTGCCAAGCGTGGCAACTACTGGCAAAACTCCTGTTATGGGGAAAACTTATGTCCAGCTGTGGACAGTTAACGGCTGAAATAATAATAATAGTACTCATCTGCTAATAGAATAATATAATATATTTCCAGCAATTCAGAATATATGAAACTTTGCAGTAAAATAAGAGAGAGAGAGAGAGAGAGCCATAAAAATTGCTTTCTCCTGATCAATAAAAGAGATAGATGTTGAAATATTATTACCGGTAGTAACACCATCAGGGCAGCATCCGAATTCAGTTGTATTACAGAGACAGCCGGCACCTTTTGGTCCGCTCGCCACGGTACTGTTGTCAGGACAGCACCCGTATTTAGACTTCGCGCATTTTGCTCTTTTCTGCTCCTCTTTCTTTTTCTTTTCTGCTTGAGCCTTCTTCTTAGCTTCAGCTGCTTTTCTCTTAGCTTCTGTGTTAGTCAAATTGATTTTTTTTACACATATACTGTGAAATACCATATGTGTGAATATTTTCAATAGTTAATATTATCAATTACCTGTTTCAGGACATCCCGCCTTTTTGGGACCAGTTGCTTTAGTTGAACCGTCTTCGCAACAGCCATATCTGAAATGATATTATTTTGATTAATAAACAGCGAACTTTCCTGCTTGTATAATTAAAATTTCTAAGAATGAAATTTATACTGAAATTATGAACTATGATGACAATTTAGGAAAAGTTGCTATTTAAAATAAATACATACACTTCTTTCTTAACATCCATTTAAAGAATATCCTATTAGTAAAAATGGACATATTTTCTGAAAAACATATCGAAAAACGATAACACATTTCGAACAATACTACACACATCTAACTATCAAGGTGGTACGAGAAGCTCTACATTTGGATATCATATTTCTATATCTACGATTCTTTGGATAAACTCTTTGGTTTTACTGAAAGAAACGAGTAGAAAATGGTTGCCAATAATTTTAATTTCATACTGCACAAAATTACTCACTTAGAAGATTTACAAGCCGGCGGACATCCTTCTTGGTCGTTGCCTTCAGCGGGTGTGATGTGGTCAGATTGGCAACAGCCATATAGTGTCTCGTTGCAAGGCAGCACTGGGCAGTCTTGCCCTTTAGGTCCGGCTGCAGGAGATACTCCGTCCGGACAGCATCCGAATTTAGACTCTTTACAGGTCTTCGGGTTGGGACAACCTATTGAAAATTTGTAAATATTTTATAAGAAGTGAAAATTGTTTCAAAAACATAAAAATGTGATACACGTTTTACTAATATAATAAAATTTTAACTAGACGATGTTTGTATATAGGAGATATTGAAGGAAAAATAATATGTGGAGTCTTAATAATAATTTTACATGCAAAAGCAATAATTTTTAGAAATTTTATGTTATGTGTATGTTTGTTTCGGAATTACACAAAAACCACTGCACCAAATTGGATACGATTTTAGTTCATATATGTGTAGAACAATTTAGTAGTAGTGCAACAAGTTTTTTTGATGGTGATAATAGAAAGACAACCCCGTCTGAGCTATCGGTATATGCTCGTGGGGCACCAGTACATAATAGAGAAGACAGAAATCATGCTAGTTGGCATGAATTTACCACGTTATTAATTTACAGTGTCTCGACACAGTGTATTGTTAGCAATGGGAGCACTCGATAGACTCAATTACTGATAATCCTTTCTTTTCAAGATAACAAGTTATTGTTTTTTGTCCTATGTCTTTGTTCACGTCATTGGGATATGTTAATTCAATGAGATAAATATGTAGCCTATATCCTTCTTCATCAATAGACGTGCATACCAAATTTCATGATGATTGGTTGAATCGTTAAGGCGGCAAGAGGTAATAAACAAATTCACTTTTGCATTTATATTACTAGTTATGTATCATGGATTCGCCCTTAGAAATCAATTATAAAGTATCCAGTATTCTAAGTTAGTACGTATATAATCTCTTCGTGTACCAAATTTCATTTAAATTCATTTAGTAGTTTTTGCTTGCAAGAGTAACAAACATCCATCCATCCAAATATACTTATAAATTTCCGCATTTACGAGTACAATAGTATCTAGCAGGATTATTACGAATTTTTAGCAATTGTACCTTCATCAAATGGTCCCGCTGCGGGCGTCCTCATATCTGGACAGCAACCAAACTTGCTCATTTTGCACTTGGACTTCCTACGTTTGCATACCCTCTTCTTGCCTTGCATTGTTGTTGAATAGTCCCAGATCGCTATAATAAAACGTTATTATGTTTTTAAAGGAATTTATACGATATTTATAATTACGTAACATAATATAAGATTATTATACATTTCATTTCAATAATCTCCATATACTTACTTGATCCTTCCGATTCAGTGCTCCATTCTTCTGTACTAATTTCTGTCGTTGAGTATCCTTCTGAACTACTTTCTGTTACTGAAATAGATTAATTCTCTAAATTTATATTTGTGATAAATAAATGAATGTAAAAGGTAAGGGACTTGAAAGTATTTTTATTAAATTATAGTTATAAGTATTAAATAAAAAATTACCTTCAGTATCTGTGCTTCCAGTTCCCTCGGTGGTACTATATTCAGTTTCAGTAGACCCACCGGACACCTCAGTGGTACTAATGTCAGTTATATCTGATCCAGTTTCAGTAATCTCAGTCTCAGTACTTTCAGTAGATCCCGTAAATTCAGTTGTGCTCAAATCTGTTGAACCTAAAATACAAAGGAAATTAGTCAGTATAATGTTTTAATTTGCTAGCTAAAATTCTATAAATTGTATTAAGAGAATGAGTCACTGTAAAAAAGATTTCCTAAGAGCATTGACAACAAATGTTCTGTGTGTAGCAAAAGTATTTACTAGATCTGTAAATTAGAAAATATGCAGATGAAAATCTCTTATTATGTAAGAAACAATAAGACTAATAATAATACCCAGTAAGAAAGATTTTTTTAGAAATCCCCATAGTAACGGGAGAAAATGGCTTCGTTCTACATAAGTAGTTTTTCTTTTTAAATGTAAAATTTTTAGAATGCTGGTAAGACAGATTACCTAAACGTTTTAATTATAAAAGAAAGAATTTAACTTACTATCAGTAGAACCAGTTTCACCAGTACTGCCGTATTCAGTAGTAGCACCTGACTCAGTTGTTTCACCCGTAAATTCAATTGTAGACGATTCTTCACTAGAACCAGTCTCAGACGTTATATCAGTTGAGCTATCAGTTGAGCCATCGTTTGTGGTTGAAGTGAAATCACTTCCGGTTGAGCTTTCTGTCGGTTCTGATCCGGTAATATCTGTAGATCCTGATTCTGTTGTTATATCGGTTGATTCTTCTGTGGTGCTCGATTCTGTACTTTCATCAGTAGAGCTAGATGAAGTTGTAGAACTAATATCATTAGTCGTATCCGTGGAGCTTAGATCGCTGGTTAAATCAGATATAGCAGTAGAGCCCGATTCGGTAGTTCCACCTGTAGAGTCTGTTTCACTTGTTTCATCAATGACACTAGATTCAGTTGAACTATCTGTCAAGCCAGAGACAGTAGATTCTTCTGTAGACTCTGACTCACCAGTTACCGTTGCACCAGATTCTGTTATATCAGTTGAGCTTAATTCACTCGTCTCAGTCGAGCCAGTTTCAGAGGTTTCAACGGATTCAGTTGTATCAGTAGAGCCAGATTCAGAAGTTTCATCAGTGGCTCCAGATTCTGTTGTTTCAGTGTTTAATTCGCTTGACACTGTCGAAGATTCACTTTCTGCCGTATTGGTGTCTGTGTCGGTTGTCAAGAATTCGGTCCAACCTGACCCTTCTGTAGTGAAATAGAAGATGTTCTGTTTAATATATACATATAGCCCCTTAACAATTTAAAGAAGTAGCATACCAAATACAGCCACAGTGGTGATGCTGGTTTATATTAATTGATATTGATATATGACATATGATATGAGAGTATAGTATAGATTTATATGTCGCATAGCTGCCACTGTATTTGGTATGTTAAATTTATATTATTTTAATATTTAATAATATAAAATCATTACCTCCAGATCCAGATTCGGTTGAGAGTGTCCAGCCTGATCCTTCTGTAAATTAAAATAGCTTAAACAATAAAAAAAAAATCCAAATGGATTAAAAATATTGGCAATATACTATTTAAAATAGATTACCTATTGTTGACGGGCTATCGCTAAACATGAGATCTTCCATCTAAAAAATATAAATAATATCTATTATTATTTACAGTACAAATATAGATACAATTGTGTTAGGTTAGGTTTCGGGAGCAGAATTACCGTGAAAGGCGTACTGGCACTTTCTTCTTCGGCACCTACTTCTTCATACGCCTCAGTATCTTCTTCTTCCTCTGTACAATCTTCGTCTTCGTAGTCTGCGTCAATAATAGGAGCAGCGCTTGCATTCACTGGCAGAGTTTCATCTAAGGAGAAATATTTATGTAAATGAAATAATGAATGTATAACTAACATAATCACATTTACAATATTTGATACATGGCGCAGACATAGTTAATCTAATTAAAATAACTAATTTTTTACACTGTCTTTAATCTAGGCATTCCACCACCTGTGCCACCATATTTTCGGTATTTGCCTTCTTAGGACATACCATTTTGTTATTAAATTTGAACATTAGTAGTCAATGTAATAAATCTATATTTTTACTTAACACCATATCGTATCTACATATGGGACGTATTTGCTTCAAGTTGTAGTCTTAGGGATAATTAGATTCGTATGTGTATCGATCTTGGATAGACACTTAGTATAAATTACGAAATTGCCTCAAGCACATCCCGGTATTTTATTAGTTACATTTTAAAATGCATACCTTGTTACCGTTGTTGTTGTTATTATTTGTAAGATTCTTGCAAATGCTTCTAACCGTAACAAAATTGTATTAAGTCTTTTCATATTGGGATAGACAATTCGGTCAAGTCAAGCTTAGACTCGATGGTCCAATATGGATATCAACCGTACCTTTGTCACATGGCCCGGTGTTGCAGGACTGGGTAGCATCGATGATAGTGTTCAGGTCGCATTCGTTGACTTCCTTGTCCTCCCGGATGCACAGGACGCGCCGGTATTGTTCGCCGCCGCCACACACTTTAGTACACTGCACAATGTACAATCATTATTATATAAATATACCATGTCAGGTTGCCCGTTCACGCTAATGTTTGAAACAGCTCAACCAACTTTAATTATTTAAAATTTTCTAAATATTTTTTGTTCGTTCCAATTTGAGAAATAGTTTTTATCTCGAAGCAGTATAAAGAATATGATTTTAGTAATAGAATTAAATTATCATGTAATTTACTTTTATTAGAGCAAATACTTTGGATAACTTGAGAAATAATATAAAATAGTAGCATTATAGTTGAACTAGCTGTATCCTGCGGTTTCGCCTGCGTGAGCCAGTATACGTATCATATTAGTAGTACGAATTATATTTTACTTAACTGTTATTTTCAAATCATATATATTAAAATAGGTTCATTTAAATATATTAAGCAATTTTTGCGTGAAAGAGTAATAAATATCGTCATAAATTATTACAGTAGGTTTTGTTAGATCTATGTAGTACATATATGTTATGTGTTCGTACTTATATCTAATGTAAAAGGCAGTTCTTTACGAGTTCTACAGTTGATAAATGTAATATATTCCAGAAGGCACTTATGATGACATCACTAACCTCAGACCAAGGGCCGGCGTACCACTTAGCTGGACATTTATCTTTGGGTATTTCGCATGTTTTCGTGTCGTTGTATTTGGTCTGATTCGCGCATCGGCTGTCGTTCACTTTCAGCACAGAGGAGCCGTCGAACAGGCCGCAAAATACACGCCGCGACTGGACACCTTTGCCGCAGTCTGCTGAGCACTGTTGACAAATATTAGCACCGTATTGTTTATACATTTCTTTTTAAGGGTAATTCGTCCCAGTAAATATCTCAGTCATATAGAGTAACGAATTTTTTTAATCAATACCAATACCAACATAAAATGTTACGTGATTTCTAAAAAAAATTACTCCCACGTTGGTTTTGAAGAAATATGCTAAATATTTATATATACAATCATTTTATACGTTACTGTCTCTCTTTTATAACTAACAACATAAAAAAAACTAAAAATAAAAATTTTAAATCATTATTATTACCATGATAGCAATCCATTACCTTTTCGCTGTTGAGTAAGGTAAGAGTTTCTTTTTACAAGAAAATATCCACTAAGCTCGGAGTGTAGATGAGAGCGTTCATCTTTTTCCAACGCGTGGGGTACCTGCCACTGCACCTTGCAGGCAGACGGCCGCTGTAGGGGCGGAAAGCGCGAGGCGGGGGACCAGCTCGCTTACCTCGCTCCACTGCGTGGCGTACCACTGCACCTTGCAGGCAGACGGCCGCTGTAGGGGCGGAAAGCGCGGGGCGGGGGACCAGCTCGCTTACCTCGCTCCACTGCGTGGCGTACCACTGCACCTTGCAGGCAGACGGCCGCTGTAGGGGCGGAAAGCGCGGGGCGGGGGACCAGCTCGCTTACCTCGCTCCACTGCGTGGCGTACCACTGCACCTTGCAGGCAGACGGCCGCTGTAGGGGCGGAAAGCGCGGGGCGGGGGACCAGCTCGCTTACCTCGCTCCACTGCGTGGCGTACCACTGCACCTTGCAGGCAGACGGCCGCTGTAGGGGCGGAAAGCGCGGGGCGGGGGACCAGCTCGCTTACCTCGCTCCACTGCGTGGCGTACCACTGCACCTTGCAGGCAGACGGCCGCTGTAGGGGCGGAAAGCGCGGGGCGGGGGACCAGCTCGCTTACCTCGCTCCACTGCGTGGCGTACCACTGCACCTTGCAGGCAGACGGCCGCTGTAGGGGCGGAAAGCGCGGGGCGGGGGACCAGCTCGCTTACCTCGCTCCACTGCGTGGCGTACCACTGCACCTTGCAGGCAGACGGCCGCTGTAGGGGCGGAAAGCGCGGGGCGGGGGACCAGCTCGCTTACCTCGCTCCACTGCGTGGCGTACCACTGCACCTTGCAGGCAGACGGCCGCTGTAGGGGCGGAAAGCGCGGGGCGGGGGACCAGCTCGCTTACCTCGCTCCACTGCGTGGCGTACCACTGCACCTTGCAGGCAGACGGCCGCTGTAGGGGCGGAAAGCGCGGGGCGGGGGACCAGCTCGCTTACCTCGCTCCACTGCGTGGCGTACCACTGCACCTTGCAGGCAGACGGCCGCTGTAGGGGCGGAAAGCGCGGGGCGGGGGACCAGCTCGCTTACCTCGCTCCACTGCGTGGCGTACCACTGCACCTTGCAGGCAGACGGCCGCTGTAGGGGCGGAAAGCGCGGGGCGGGGGACCAGCTCGCTTACCTCGCTCCACTGCGTGGCGTACCACTGCACCTTGCAGGCAGACGGCCGCTGTAGGGGCGGAAAGCGCAGGGCGGGGGACCAGCTCGCTTACCTTGCTCCACTGCGTGGCGTACCACTGCACCTCGCAGGCAGGCAGTGTGGAGCGATCGCAAGGTTCTTGTAGTACGGGCGCCGGGTGGTAGGCGCACTGGCGCGGGTCCACCACCTCGCGGGACTTGGTCGCGCACTCCGCCGCACGTGTGCGCACCGTCGATATGCACGTGTCGCACTGTGGGGCATGCATTAGAATATACTAAGCTATAAACGGGAATTAATCAAGGTAGAGAAGAATAAATAATAACAAATATTAATTTATCTGACAAGATTTTGTTACACTGACAAATGATGGTTACGATTTGGTATAATTTACGCATTGTTAGCGTCATAATAAAGTTACTCTTGATAAAATACTATTAAGTACTTATAATGAGAAATAAGAAATATAAATGTAATTTGTAATTTGGTAATTTATGTATTTTAACTTCAAAGTCAGATTGGCAGATATGAAGAATTGAACAAACCATGCTAATGTAAACAAAGTAGTCGAAATCAGTGGAATCTATATGGTTATATCGAAATTTATACAAGTTTTGTACAATTATTTAATTAACGTTTAATGTAATAATCAATATAAATGTATTATTTATATAAACAACACATAATCTCAAACATTTCTCACTCTCATATTACTGTTAATTGAAACTATAACAATATCATTATTTTCTTAGACTGTGGTTTATCAACATTTATTGTTTCGAAAATAGAATTATTACATGGAAGTATCATCTCACCCCAGTCCAATCGGAGACGACCCAATCAACACCTTCGCAAGGATGCAAAGAGCACGGTTGCTCAGCATCAGGCTTTTTATCCTCGCATTTACTATCCTCCAGTACTTCCACACGGCCAGTGTCAGTCTTCTGATAACAGACCACTTGGCGTGTCTGCTTGCCTTCTCCGCATAGTTTGTCGCACTGTAACAATGTAACAATATTATTGGAATGCAAAGACTAACATTGAAATCTCTTTTCGCAATATTCGCAAATCAAGAATTAAGCAAAAGATTAATAAGAGAAGTAATGTTTACTTACTGGTTTCCATGGTCCAGTGAACCATTTTGGACAAGAGGCATTCTTGTTGCACTCTTGGAACAGTTCCGGTTTAGGGCCTAGTATATCGAAGCATTCCTTGTCAGCTACTATCGAGGGAAACCTGAAATTCACTCTAAAACATAGCTTTTTGTTTATTTGTTTAATGGTGTAATGAACGTGTATGTATGGTAGGTCGTAATTTGTGAGGTGTGTGCGTTCTTACCCGTTCGTAATAATCTTTTGGCATTGAACCTGTCGTGATCGACTGCCACCTTCTCCGCAGGCTTTGGAGCAGGGGCTCCAGGGACCCTCGATCCATTGTGCCGGGCAGGCATCCGTATTGCACGTTTGGTTACTAGGTGGCTTTAACGCTTCCTCACATAATCCATCGTCTACTATATCCAATTCTTCTCGAGATCGGCAAGTTACATTTCTGGTCTGGAAACCTGTTGTAAGAATGTTTTTATTGCATTGATAGAACAATTTTATAATCTAATAAAAAATAAAGTCATAAGTGCAATAAAGTTTGTACATAAAAATTAATCTTCGCGTTATGTCGCTATCAGGGCAAGCAGAAATAATCACATGCCAGAGAGTTTTTCATATCCAAATTTCTGGCTATCTAAAGTCTGTGGAATCTAAAGTGGTTTACACTTTCATAACGTTTACCTCAAGTACTACTGAAATAAATAAGTAGCTGCAAATGTTCTAAATGATTTTTTTTTTTGTGATGCATGAAATGGCAATCAAGCTACTGGCCATCTGATGTATCGTCACTTATAGAAATTTAAACAGCACCATGGACAGTACATAATATCCATGGTATCTCTCATGCTTTGTCATGCTGGATGATTATGGGCATACCTCCTCCACAAGTGGCAGTGCAAGGCGTGAAGTTATCGAACACCCAGTGGTACTGCTGGTCAGCTAAGGGCAGCAGCTCCGGTGCTATGCTGTATTCGTATTTGATGCCGACATTCTCGTCTTGGAGTAAGAGCTAAAAAATATTGGCCAAGTAAGAGAAATATATTTAGATAATAAAACAAAACAGAAAAAAAAAACAAAATGTTAGCTGTTGTCTATGTAATTGTTAATGATATCGTAACTACCAAAGAAGTAAATAGATTTTACTACAGCATTTTCATTTCAAATATGAATGATGATGATGAATTAATTGAGATGTTCCTATTAATATTTGGTGAAAATCAGAAGATTATCGGTGACAACTGTTATAATATCAAGTTTTGTCTTAAATCTTTTCTCTACATATTGAGATTCCATGAAGGTAATGAAAATTACATCATCAGAGTTGGGGGTGTATTTTCCATTAGTTTATTGATTGTTAAAATTATGTTAATTGGGTTACTGATGTACATATCTTTGTAAATTACAATAAAAATAGTGATAATAAATAACAAAAGGTGATATGTATGAATGAATAAATGAATGAGTATACTTTATTTGCATTATACAATATAGGAAATAAGCAAGACAATTTACAAACACAACGATACAATTGTATAAGTACAGTAAGGCGGTCTTATTGCTGAGAGCAATCTTTTCAAGACAATCTTAAGGTAATAGACTAATTATTGTACAAGTAAGTATGATAGTACTATATGTATATGATGTAGTTTAAGTAAAGATTTTAGAATACTGGGAATGAACGAAGAATTTAAGTAGAAAATACGAAGGTAGGACATTTATGAAAGATTGCGCAGTATTTAGAGAGTAAAGTTAGCTGATCCAATTCGTAATACTGCGAGAGCGAACTGGGATTTCAACGTTGATATTTATATCGATACTTTAATTCAGCTGATAAAACATATTGTGAATAACTATAATGTAATAACAATCAATCATAATCGGACAGAGTACGTATTAATTGAAAGAGAAGTAAAGAGACTTCATTACGGGCGTGCATCATAAGACGAGTTATATATAATGGATCATCGTAATATTTAATCATGTTTAAAATGAAAATGCTATATTTAAATCTATTCAATTGTTCGGGAGTTACGATGTCATTAACAAATACATAGACTACAGCTAACAATTTGTTTTTTGTTTTGTTTTGTTTTATTATCTAATATAATGGAGTATTATAAAATAGAGATGGATCAAGAGATGTTTGTAATTTTTAAGCCGTTATCAATCAGTTCTTTCTGTCTACTTACTGAAAGATGTGGCGTAAGGATAGATAGGTATAAATAATTTACCGATAAAATGAGTGGTTCGTTGATGGGTCCCAAGCAGCGCAGTTTGTCTGGTGCTGCGAAGCCGCGTTGGTTGCGTTCGTAGTGCCAGTGAGCACCAGCGATTATTATGCTCCTAGGGAAGTCGATGTGGTAGTCTCCGTTCAGATAGTATGTGCCGCTCTTTGCTCGTATCGCTGAAATAATATCGTTAAAGTTGAATTTCAGAAACTACTTTATTATTACTATAAATATAGCCTGTGACAGTATATTTAATTTGTGCAGAATAAAGTTAGGATTGTGTTGCAGAACATAGCCGTGTTATATAAACATTCCAGGTAATGGTTGTTTTTTTGCATAATTAACTCCAATTAAAGTTGGTACCTGCTCAAGCGTTTGTGTTGTTCTTTTGTGTTAAATGAATAGTAAATTTTGGGGAGCAATACTTTAAAAATAAAGAATTACTTAAAATATTAAGGTGTGTGTAGGTATGAAGGTTTTGCAATTGAAGAATTGTGACGATCTAAACAGAAATTATGAGATTTTGAAGATAAGTTTTAAAAATGAAGACTTAACCCCTTATTTATAAACCTATTTTACTTATTGAACTGTTGCTCTTTCTTTTGTGCTGAATTCCTAATTTGAATGAAAGTAACAAAACAGTGTAATAGTTTATAGGACGTTTTATAAATAAGGGCGTTATTTTATATTATATCTACTAGCATTTTGCTCACTATTTCGTACATGTGGTTTTTACTAGTAGGAAAATCAATGAAAGAAACTACTTCTACAGTTACGTATTAAGATAAACTCATACCGCTATTTAATTGAGGAATATAACTGTAAAAACCGCATCCAAATTTGTGTAATAGTTTTTGCGTGATGCTGGAATAAACATACATACAGACATACAGATAAAATTGCTAAAAATCTTGTCTTTTAGCTTCTATTGCACTTATTTTCTTTTTCTTGATATGAAAGAAGAATATAATTCTTCTTTCATATCAATATTTCCTAAATATCTCCTATGTACAGACATCGTCCTATTTCAATTTTGTGGTATTAGTAAGATAAGGTGTTTACACAAGGAAACAAAACATATTTTAAAATAAATTATCTTTTAATAGTGTATTATCTTTTTATGTGTTATAAATGCACCTACTTACCAAGATAATTCGTCGAATCTCGAACTTCTTCTATCACAATACTCGTAGCGTTTTGTGGTATGAGTAGCATGTCATTGTAGCCTGGAAATATTAGAGTTCATGTGAAATTATTGATAGATTGAAAAGAATTGATTCCAATGGGATTCTAACTAGTATGTCTCTACTAATCCGGACTGGATATGTTCTTAGTTGCATAACGTGCACCTTGTATACAGTCAGTTGTTCAATTGTTACACTTCGGTAAGTTTCGGTATAAACCTCCTTTAATAGGGATGAGACGGCTTGAGTCGATGGGATTCGAACCCACATCACTCTGCTGTCTAGGCTCTCAATATATGTATACACTCAATATATGTATTCAATTGTTAAAATTTTGTTAAAATCGACTCAGTAGTTTAGTTTTAAAATCAAAATAACTGGTTTTGTCATAACTGAAGAAGTTTTTTTTTGTATGGAACATAATCTTAAATATATAGAAAAATTAACAATTTATTCCGTCCTTGTTACACTTCGGTAAGTTTTGATATGAACAGGGTTTCATTCAATCTTGAATGGGTTCAATCAGAGTAAGAAACAGTACGAACCTTTTCTAAGATCTTGTGCGTCCAGTAATCCACTAATAGTTCGGCAGTTCGCCCCGTTCCCTCGACACACGAGACACTTGTCTTCTTGAGCCGAGGAACCCAGCATCCTGTCGCAACCTACGGGCTGTAAGTGTTAACAATCACATTAAGACTCTAAAAAGGTTTGTTTACTCTATTTTACGAGTATATTTTCCTTTTTTTTTTATAATGTAATTAAATTACGGTCAACAACAAAAGACGATGGAGACGTTTCAAAACCGATGTTTTACGATGTTTATTCAATGATCATCATTAAGCTAAACTCGTTGAGTTGACTTACATATGCAACGTGTTCAGAGGTTTTAGAAATCTATATGTGTTGTGTTGTACTGCATTTATAAAATTTCAGCCTTTTACAGTTTTTTTTTTTTAGAAAATATGATTATTATCTTAACCAATATTATAAAGAGGAAAGAGTTAGTGTTTATTTGTTTGTAATGAATAAACTCAAAACATAAACGGATTTTATAAATTCTTTAATCTATAAAAAGTTACATTTATCAGCGAGTATTATTATTGATAGATAGGGTTTTTCAGGCACTAAAACCTGTGACTCTGCTACCTTTCTATATTCTTTTATGCTCGCTCTTTTTTAAAATTCGCTGCTAATTCTTATCAATGATAGGAATTTTAAGATGTTTTTTGTAGCGACGTTTTTATCTTCTCAGGATATAGTGTGTTTACCAAAGGAGATATATCGTGTATGTATGAGTGGGCTACAGCCACACATTCAGTGCTGCGGCGTTTCTTCCTCATTGTGACAAAATCTGCAAATACTCTTTGGGCATAAGCCTAGTTGGGCCATATGCTCGTTTAGTTTGCAGTATCCAGTAAAGGCCCTTGTTAATACACACATATTGTTTTTCCTCAAAAGAATTAATTTCTTAGAGTAATTTTATGAAACCCCCTTGATCAGGACTGTTGAGTGATTTAATCCTTAATAATCTAGTAATTTAGGCTATATAGGTATTATTATTAATTTATCTAAAGTATTAAAGCTAATATGACTATAATATACTAATAAATTCTATTTTATCTACCAGTGTGAAGCCGGTGTGGATCATTAGTAGTGAAATATTGTTAGAAGTAATTTAATTGAGAACCGACCGACCGTCATGATTGCCTAAAATATAATAAATGTGAGTACCTAAAATAGTTTAATAAGGCCTAAAATATAAAAAAGTGAATACCTGGCATGTGCCGTTGACGCAAACATTCAATGACTCGTCATTGCAGAGCGTGCCGTCAGTGACTTTCGCCTTTTGCCTGTAGTAGAATCTCTCGCCACGCGGCATGCAATTCAGTTCGCAAGGATTCGGCCCGTTCAGATATGGTACCCATCTACAAATACATAAAAGTTCTTATGTTTCTGAATGAACATTTATCTGAAATTTAATGAAGAGAATTAATCGTAATGGTTTTTAAGATAATTATCAATTTGTGGCCCCGTTTGTCTCCAAAATGAATTGGCATGACAATATATTGTCAATAATATCGATATTAAGCTACAAAAAATATATAATTATTAATTATGAAACTTATTACAGACTTTTAAAAACGTACTTCTGTTTACTTAAAATTTAGTGTATTTTTTTTTATAAATTACATTTATTCATAACTTCGGGATTGCCCGTTTGGTTTCGGACTCGATAGAAGTCCTTATTCATAAGATTCCGAAAGTAGTCGGGCAATCCCGTAATATAAATCAATAACATGATTCGTGTATTATAGTTATTGTCTAACATAACACAGTTTTTTATATTATTAATAATATTTTATTTACTCTTTATTGCATCAGATAAAAAATTAAATAAAAAACGTATCTTATAAACTATATAAGACGGTATAATAGTTGAAGCAATTTCTTTCAGATAACCTTTACGTAGACGAAAAAAAAAGTATTTGTATGTTATAAAGTATATCCACTTACTTATACTTAATGCCCTTAAACGAGATATTGTCGTATTCCGAACACTGTTCGGATCGAAAATCTTTGGAGTCCGGCGGGCAGTCTTGCGTTTGACACGAGAAGTACTTGGTGTCCCCGCCCGTGCAAAGAGGCTGTCCATCTGGTCTGCGAACAAGAATTTTATATTGTAAGCAATCGATGTAATAAGTGGCGTCTAACGTAGGATTACTGCGTTACTAGTAGATATAAACTTTAATATATTTTGGGGTTTCACCGTTTAGTGTCAGCTTAATTTGTCGAATAATAAATATTTTTTTGTTTTCTTTTTCCAAATTTTTTTTCATAATATATGGGGAAATTGAGCATCTCCACCACCACCGCCACTCATCTAGACAGTCGGGATGAAACTTTAGTTTGAAGCGGGTTGTACGATGTTGAAATTCAACAGCAGCTATCAATCCGAACACTACCTCAGAATATTCCCCTTGATACTTTTGATAAACATGCATAGAAATGCAACGTCTCCACGAAGTTTCAGTGGCATTCTATTAAAATGAGCGAAACGATTCACAAGAGACGGGAATCACGTACTAATAGCGGCTAACGTGGGCTACGGTTGTCCTTTATTCTATTATATGCTTCTTATATCATAATCTTCATCATAGAAAAATTATACATATTTTTAAAACTTAACTTATTTTACACCATAACTGCAGTGGGACGGTGAATACAATTCCAATAAGTTCTTTCTATTAAAAGTATGCCATATTGTTACATAATTTAATACAAATATATATAAGAATAGAAAGATATGAACACTAAAAACAAAGCTATGAAGAGCTTGAAAATTTTTACGAAAAGTTCCCATAAATAGCGGTGAACATTATCGATTCCTTTCTGTCGCTATTATTCATGTGTTGCAAAGATAACTAATTAAATTATCATTACTTATCTAATTTTCTTTTCCAAACAAAAGAAAGATACGTTATAAAATAACATTACGTTTGTAGCCGTGTGGTCCCGGCCCACCCCTTTCTTTCCCATAGGTGTTCTAAGAGGCGACTAAGAGAATTTAATGGTTGAAAGATGAGCAGCAGCGTCCCACTTAAAACACTACTAAAGCCTAACTGCGGTTGTCAACCCGTCTGCCAAGCGTGACACTACTGGCAAAATTCCCCAATAAGGAAGGCCTATGTTCAACAACGGACAGTAAATGGCTGATTACGTTGTTTCATTTATTCTATTGTAATTAAATTGAAACATTACGTCTACGTACCCAACCTCAAGACATATCCTCTTTTGACTGGCGACACCGCCGCCACACGTTCTGGAGCAAGGAGTGACCTCGCCCCACTCGCCCCACGCACCCGTGCCCTCGCCTCCGGGGAGGACATACGAAGCTGATAGAAATAAACCGGCACCTTGCCGTCTATGTCTACTTCTGTGACCATTTATCTGGAGCAAATGAAAAAAATACTCATAATTATACACGATTTTCAAAGATGAAATGTCATATTGCACTGTTGTTTTTTTTATTATTTTTTTTTCAGAATTGACTGAGATCTTGTATCATAGTTATTTTTTTTATATTTTATTTATTTATGGCAACAAACAGTCACTTATAAATGTTAACATAATATACATCACAGTTTCACAACAATGGTCCTTATAGTGGAATTAACAGTATTTAAAACATAGAGTTATTATTAATGAAGTCCCATGGAGATACGCAAGAAATGTAATAACAAATCCAAAGCATATATATGTATATATAAAGTATTATTACGCACAAAACTTTTAGTCATCCATTGACGATGATCTTTGAGGAAAATATTTTTAGATATCTACGTCATGTTACTTAAAAATTCTTTTATATTTCCATGTAGTACCTGTACTCCAAATTTCATGGTGTTTGGTTAAGCTGTTAAGGTATATAGGTAACAAACAAACAAACCCATTTTTACATTTATAATAAGAATTTATAGTATTTATAATAACAATTTAACATTTTTTATTTTTTTATAAACTTTATTGTTTTTAAAAATTTACAGATACCGGTATGAATAGAAAAAAGATATATAGCTCGATGTAAATGCTCATCATTTACATTAATCTATATTTATTTTGATATCCTGCTGTTAAATTATGAGTAAACTAACAATACAGCAAGTCTAGGAGAATCCATCAACCTCACCACATTTTCTATAAACCTTCCTTCTGGCTCAGTAGAGCAAGAACATAAATGTTAGATGAAATTTTATTCTACATTTATTTTTTCATCTTTAATAATATGTTTAATGGTCTTTCGAGCATGCATATTATGATATCCATTAAATGAAAATGTTTAAGAATAAATTTTTTATATTTTGGCGAAAATATTATTGCAATGTCGGCTCTTAAGAAGGCACCCATCAAATGTTTTACGAGTGTATTATAGAGTTATTTATTGTTTTATTGGCATCGTAAAGGTCTACAGACAGCCGTGTATTGATAAATGACAATTCTCCAGTCCGCAGTCGTGTATAATGCATATTCGATTTGAATGCACTTGGTCCCCGCGTCGCATACAAAGTTACGATGTTTTTCATATCTAGTGAAGTGGCTTCGAATGTGCTATTGAACATAGGGTAGTCACAGTATAAGTAAATTTTCGAAATCTAGATTTCCTGTCATCTGTAAGTAATTTAAGCGATTTAATATTATTTATGTTGTCCAGTATCAATGTTGTGCTCTCGTTGTAACTGTCATACCTATTATTTTTATATTTTTTAATTAACTATTATTTTTTTGTCTCCATCAATTCACAATTTCAATAAAACATTCAAAAAACTCTGTATCTTATAATTTAAGATTTTACTGTACAATAAAGTGTTACAAATAAGCTGGCTTTTTGCCCACTACTTCACACTTATGAGATTCAGAAGTAGGAAAACCGATTAAATATATCACTTCTAGATATTGTAGATCAAGATAAAACGTATACCAGATTTTAGGTTAGATCTTCAGAAGCGCCACTGTGAAAACTGCATCCAATTTGTAATATAGTAATTTTTGTGTGACACCGAAACAAAGACACAGTACAGAGTAGACAAAATTTGTAAAAAATATTGTTTTGCCATCTATTAAGAAATCACGTACCTATTTTTCTTAAATTTCTCCCATGTCAAGACATTGTCTAGTTAGATTTTTATTGTATTAGTAAAATGCTTATTTAGTTCCATAGCATTAATTGTAAACTAGGTTTATTTCGAAACTAGTCGCATTATTTCTAAACATCTAAGTATTATAGATATGCGACGAAGTTTATTCATTTATTCATTTATTTATTGCCATTACATGTTGTAACAAAATTGGTCTTAATTTACTAAAAGTATAGAATCAAACATGAACCCTGAAAGGGCACAGCAACCACATTAATAAATCTTATATAAACTACATAATTAAATTTTTACATTATATATATGTATCGTCGATTAGTATAAAAAATAAAAAAAAATAAAATAAAAAATCATCATTAAATTAAAACAAACAGGCACAAACACAACTAACTTTTTTCCTTGAAAAATTCCTGTAGCGCATAATAACTCTTTGCGATTAAATATTTTTTTAGAGCTATTTTAAACTTTTTAGAATCATCCTCACCTTTTAAGTTAATTGGTATTTTATTGTAAATTTTTATTGACATTGCGTAAGGGCCAGAATGGAATAACTGTAGCTTCGAGAATGGTCTTGCTAATCTACATTGCGGTCGCAATGCCTGAGGGCGGGTATATTGTGGAAATAGGTGCATATTACATTTAACAAAATGACACGCTTCTAATATGTACATTGACGGTAAAGTTAAAATTTTATATTTAATAAAGTATGGTTTGCAAGTTTCCCTGTTATCTATGTTAGCAATTATTCTGAGACATCGTTTTTGCAATTTAAAAAGATCAATCACGTTTGTACTATTACCCCACATCAATATGCCGTACTGGAGCAAAGAGTGGGCATATGCATAATAGGCGCACATGGCTGTCTTGGTATCAGAAGATATCTTTAGTTGGTGTAGTGCATAAGTGAATCTAGACAGCTTGGTAGCCACACTCTGCACATGCGCTTTCCAATTAATATTCGAATCTACATTTACACCTAATAGTGAATATTTCTCTACGCAATCTATTTTAATATTATTGAAAGAGTAGTTAATTTGCAGCGGGTTCTTTTGGAATGGACTGAAAACCATTAATTTAGTTTTATTAAAATTTACTTTTAAATTATGTGAGTGTAACCAGCTCACTATTTTTAACATACTACCATCCAGTGTACTTTGTAGGTTTAGGTTATTTTTACAGGAGACAACAACAGAAACGTCATCTGCAAACAATGTGCAGGGGCTGTCCATCACTTCAGGCAAATCATTTATGAATATTAAAAATAATATACATCCGAGGACGCTTCCTTGAGGTATTGAATTTATTAATTTTGAATGTTGAGATCTTACTGTTTTTATTTTTCCAGTTTGATTATTTACATGGTCTATTTGTACATATTGGGATCGATTTGTGAGATAAGAGGTAAACCATTTATAAGCGGGACCTCTTACTCCTATGTTGTATAATTTTTTCAATAACGTTTTGTATTGGACGCAGTCATAAGCCTTACTCATATCGAGCAAAATGCCTACGGCATATTCTTTGTTGTTTATGATATTAATTATTTCGTTAATATACTTGAAGACTGCTAATGAAGTTGACCGATTTTTCCTAAAACCATACTGATGCTCGCTGAAGATATTGTATTTTTCGCAAAATGAATATAGACGGTCACACATTGCAGTTTCAAATATTTTTGAAAACTTTGGTAACAAAGAAATGGGACGATAATTATTTATATCTAATTTTTCACCTTTTTTATAAATTGGTTTGATTAGGGAGATTTTCAGAGGGTCTGGGACTATACCTTCTGTAAATGACTGGTTAATAAGTAAGGTTAAAATAGGCGTCAATTCTTCAGCACATTTTTTAATTAAGACAGGTGGAAACTCATCGTAGCCATAGCTACGCTTATTTTTTAGTTTTTTTATAATAGTTTGAATTTCTTTTAAGTCCACCGGTTTGAGATACATAGAGTTTTCGATGGTGCTACTCATACATTTATTTAATTGTAATGGCTGACTTTGGTTTACATTATCATTTCCAATAGAAGCAAAAAACTGATTAAATGAGTTTGCTATTTTTGTGGGATTGTCTGTGATATTATTTTCAATTTTTAATTTTATATTTTTTTTAATATTTCGAATACTTTTATTTGTATTTTCCTTAACTATAGACCACATTGTTTTAATTTTATTTTCAGATTTCTTTATTCTTTGAATATTTTGAAACTTTTTTGATAATTTAACTGATTTTTGCAAAATTTTTTCATATTGTTTGTAATTTTGATTTAAAATAGGACTATCAATTTTACAAATAAATTTTTTTAACAAACGTTTATTTTTACATGATGTTTTTATTCCTTTCGTTAACCAAGATTTATTTTTCTTATTTTTAATTGCTATTGTAATTTTAGGTATACATTTATTTAATATTTCCTGTAATGTTTCTATAAATATACTATAATTTTGATGTATATTTTTATTTATATCGATTATTTTGTTCCATTTAACATTACTTAGTTCAAATTTAAATTTTTGTATATTTTTTTCATTGAATATCCTTTTATCTAAGTACCAACATTTTTTTATTTTATTTTTATCTGTCGGTATAGTCATTAATATACCTTTATGATCTGAGAAACCATATTCATGAATTTTTAACTGGAAATTACTTTTATGGAAATTTGCAAAAATGAGGTCTATACATGTAGAACTTTTGTTCGTCATTCTGGTAGGCTCATTCACATATTGATGGAAGTCCGAACACCTCATAAGATCTAATAGATAATTAGATGAAGATGATTCTAAAATATTTATATTGAAATCTCCTCCTATAACTACATTCCTTTTATTATATTTTATTTGTAACAACTGTAAGAGATCTTCCAGTGATTTATAGAATATCTCTGGCATTCTGTTTTTATTTGGCCAATATAAATTAATTAATATTAAGTTCATTTTAGGTATCTCTATTCCACTTAACTCAATAATTGACTCAATAGACAAATCCACAACATCCTTAAGCTCCTTACACTCTATATCTTCTTTCAGTAAGATACATACTCCTCCTCCTTCTTGGTTACTCCGACAGTATGCTGAAACCAACTTAAAACCATCCATATGTAGTAAGTCCAATTTTCTTTCCGTGATCCAAGTTTCTGATAGGCAGAGAGCTTGTAAATTTCCATCTTCCTCGATTGCGGCTTCCAGTAAATGTTTTTTATTTTTTATGCTTCTTATATTTTGGTATAATATATTGAATTTATTTTCGAAATGTTTTTTGCATAGAAGATGTTTCAGGATTACTTGCAGATAA